ATTTTTTTATTGGGGAGTTGTTTCACAATTAAAGAAACCAACCTGGCAACGAGGAATAATATTGTTGATTAATAATAATAATAATAATATTATTATTCAATGATTAAAGAATAGGAATTGACTCTGGCCATTCACCGTCTTTTCCTTCATCATGTTGATGGAACAATCCAAACCATGAAATAAAATTAAAAAATGCAACCAAGCAATCCTTCGCCTTCATCATCATCGACATTCTTTTTTAATCCGATAGAGAATTTGATGCAACAATTTCAGGCAAAATGTAAATTGATGAAGGAAAATATTCGAAAGATGAAAGTAGAAGAATTGATCGGAAATGAAAAGGAGAGAGAGAAAGAATTTATGAAAGGATATGCTCAATTATTAGAACTTCAAGCACTACAAATCCAAATTAATTTATTTCAAAAGAGGATGAATGATTTGAGAGTTGAAAGGAAAAAAGAAATGGAGCTCCCTCTTTTGGAGTATAACAATATTTCATGCGAGGCTAAATACTTCCGACGAGATATTGCCATTTCCAAGAACTATTATTCGAGACATGTGGAAATTGATCTTCCAAATGAAGAATACTTTGCTAAAAAAGCACCAAAGAGTTATACACAAGTGTTAGCGGAACTAGAACAACTGAAAGGAAAAGGAAGTACCAATCAAGAAGAGGTTATGAGCAAGCAGCATCAATTAATGATGAACCGTTTAAAGTTTGAGCTTGAAGAACGGGAGTCTCTAGAAAAAGATATCGAACAATTGAAATCAGAACAAGAAAAGATCAAACAAGAGCAATATAATATTGAGAAATATATCAACAATATTCCTAAAAATCTCGCTACAATCAAAAAGACAATGCTTCAATTTGAACCAGCAATTAATCCGCTTAAACACAAATATTCAGATTGGTTTACAGCTGAAGAAATTGATTTACTCAAACAATTACCAACTCCTCTTTTCATTCTATATAACAAACTTATGGAATATAAACAGACATGTGACAACACGATATTATTGTCCATTGTTGGAGATACAGAGAGAGCGAAGCAAGAATGGGACGATCTTGAAAACTCTACAGTTTTAACAGATAGTTCTATAGCAGAGGAATTAAATGGAGAGCCCAAAAAGAAAAAGCTAAAGCCTGCCGATTCAAGTAATGAATCATTTGCCTTGTTTCCACTTTATATTCAGCTGAGAGTGCACCTCAAAATTTATGGTAAGTTAACAGCAAGCCGAAACGACGAGATCGGTTCTTACAACTTGCATCCACCTGATACCATAGACACCAACAAAAAACTCTTGATTGAATTTGGTTATCTTCATAAGAGCAATCTAGTAGTTGTCAATGAGGCAAAGAGTGCTACTTCTGTTCTTCCAACATTGATACCAGGTGATGATGGAGCTTTTTCACCAAATATTAGTGTAATGTCTGACTATGATTTCCGCAATTTCGAGAGAGGAAGACCATATCGATGGCTTCAAAAGATTTGTGGACTAGAGTTTATTCCTATGAGAATGCCTAATAGCGATCAAGCCAAAGGAAACAAACCAGAAGAAGATAAGGAGTATTCTCTCCATTATATTTTGAACTTTTTCAAGTACAAACAAAAGGCAAAGAGATACTTGCTGCATCAACTTAAATCATTTGATAACCTTGAACTGAGAAGTGAATTTCCATCTTGTTTGCCTGTTTCTCCAAAACTTGAATCTGCCAAACAAATATTTAGCGATTATACCTCGTTGACCTATATTTCAACAATTCGAGTTGACAAGTACCTTTTTGAAGTTGAGATTTACATTGATGTCACTGATTATCCTTTGAAAGCACCTCATTTCAGAAAACTAACCCAATTAGAGCCAGCAATTGATGGTAATGAATTGGATAGTATTCCTGAAGAGTTTAGAACCATTATCGAAATTGATTCAGCTGTGGAACAAATACGACATGAAACATCAGCTTCTAGCTCTGCATTATACCAAATTGAAAAAGATGTTAATTATTCATTCGTCTCTGAATTTAACGACGAGCATATTTATCAGGCAGATGATCCGCAGAATATTGAGCATTTTTGCCTTATTTCCCACCAAATTCATCGTCTAATGACTTGTCTAGCTGTATTTGTTGAAACCAAGAACCCAGATTCAAAAGCAATAATCATGACCAATAATAACATGCTTGTTGGAAAAGAACTTCTATTGCCACTCCACTACGATGAACGAAGTAACTGTTTTACTCACAAGCTGCTCTAAGGTGATTTACGCTATAAAATTACTCAAATTTTCATTCATGATGATATTTCTACTTTTTTGACTGCTGTTGTGATATTTCCTTCTCAAGTTCAGCCCTTAATTGTTCACCAATGTCTCCTTTCTTCTCGAAAAACTCATCCATGATCAGTCCAATTGTCAAAAATAACAAAGATAATCTCTGATGAACCAAGAAAAACGTATTTGCATCACACAATGTCACTATTGCCATAAACCTTTGGGCTTCCAAGAAAGAAGCATCTTTCTTTAAAGTGAAGAATTTTCCATCATGATACGCAGTTAATTTACCATAGGGCAGCTGAACATTCTTGAATGTAATGTCTTTTGCTGCATACATTCGTTTGTATTCAATGTCTTCAATCTTTTCTAATGGCAATACGCAGTAAATAGAACACAAAGAAATTAAAGCATTTTCATTGTGTGATAATTCCTTCCAAAATAATTCGGGAACTAAATGGTCAGTAAATTCGTAGTCATGTTTATCAAGAGGAGGCTCTTCTTTCATTGTTGGAGAAACCTGCAGTAATATTTCTTTTCTATTGCTTTCCGATAAGGATTTTGTCCACCACTCCGAGAATTCAGTTCCTAACTTTTTCCAAAATAAACAGCACTTGGCATATAATTCTTTTGTATTGTCTTCACCTTTAATAAAGTTGGGACTCACAGAGTTTTCCTCCGATTGAGTTGAACTATTCTTTTGTGTGTTGTTGTGTTTGTTTTGTGATGAGTTTTTCATTTTTTTATTGTCATCATTGATAATTTATTATTTATTTGACTTAATCTTTTCCAATGCTTTTTGCAACTGTAATAATGAAAAATTGTGATCCAATTTAAATAGATTATCATAATAACAGCGATTAATTGAGCCATGTTGTTAGATGGTGATCCGATGTGTGAGATCATCAAATACTTACGAAATTTTGTACACGTTTTCGTTCTGCTGCTGGGCCAGAAACGTTATCAAGTCCATAGGGTGGAACAATAACACTGTCCATGACTAGAATATCCTTTCCTCTCCATTTACAAGGTAAAGTCTTTGACAGATTATCGAATATAGCTTGAGCCTCTGATGACACATTAGAACCTAATCTTTCTCTTCTCTCATGGATGGCCATTTCCTCTCGTCTCATGATTTCCTCACTATCCACCTCTGGCAATGGAATAGATGTATCCGCGAATGGAACTGTATCCAAAAACTTTTCCGACACTGATCCTGATTGACTAATATGAGTGGCCTTTGTGTTTGATACAACTTCAACAATGGAGCCTACTCTAATAATTCTAAAGTTCTTTCGTGTTGATGAAGCATGTTTTCCTTCATTGATGAATAGAGCAAGAAAACCCAAATCAGGATCAAAAGCAAATACCTCTCCTTCCAAAATATTTTGGCCTGGATGTAATCTTAAAACCACATGATTGCCAACATCGGTATTATCCAATGTTAGTAAAGGGGCTGATGGAGTATTGGTGGTTGATACATCGGTTTGATTAGAACCAACAATAGAAGTTGAGCTCGAAGCGGTTGTTGGTTTCGATTTGTGATGTACATTTCTGTTATGATGATGATGATGGTGCTGTTGTTGTTGTTGATTGTTGGTGTGAGTTGTTTGTTGTGAGTTTGGTCTATTGACACCGGAAGAATGAAATGTTGTTGAAGAACCAGAGGTGCCTCCACTGCTGGTAGAATTACTTGATCCACTACTCGAGGAATTACCTGCTGATTGCAAGGCTTGTTTGTAGCTAGGCGTTTCTCTTCCTAACATGGTATTCTTCTGGTCATTTTTTTTCATTTTTTTGTTCGTCTAAATATGGCGTGGGGATGTGCTTTCTCTTGTTCCACGGATTGACCTGACAAAGAGAAAGATCATTCTTGATGTTACCCATTCCGTGGAAAGTAGTGGAATGCATACGAGAAATCCACTTGTGTTTCCAGCTTGTTGTTGGTTTGAAAGGACCGAAAAGAAGTGGACGTACGAGCAATGAATGCCATGCTTGGTTTGTTTGCTCAAAATTCAACAATTTTTTGAATACAAAAAAATATCAAAAGACTCAACAATGGTATGTTCGTAATGGCCGCGTGTGTGTTCGAAGAGTTTGGTCATCATCATTTGATATTCTAAATGTTTTTGCTTGTTGTTGATGTTGAACATGTAATACTCGGATGATTGAATTCCGTTTCTTTGAATTTTTGTTGATAATAATAATAATAACAACAACCACTCAATGACATCCACACTCGTCATATGATGAACGGAATTGCTGCTGTTCCTATGTTCAAATGTTGACTCTTCAACTATAATTTCTCCTACACCTCATTCAAATCCTTTACTCTTTTTATCATCAACAGGCAGAAGTAAACCCAAAAGCATACCCACTTGCAGATGATGATCTCACTGTTTCAATTCTTGATTTAATACAGAGCGCTCACAATTACAACCAAGTCAAGAGAGGAGCCAACGAAGTTACAAAGGCTGTGAATAGAGGTATCGCTTCCTTTGTCATCTTGGCTGCTGATGCTGAGCCAATTGAAATTTTGATGCATCTCCCAGTATTATGTGAAGATAAGAACATTCCATATTGTTTTGTGAAAAGTAAGACTGCTTTAGGACGTGCTTGTGGAATCTCCCGAGAAGTTATTAGTGCAACAGTGATAAATAACGACAACAATGCTGCTTTGAAGAAGCAAGTCAACAGTTTGAAGGATGCTATTGAACGTATTATTGTTTAAAATCATATAATAAACTACCTAGCTAAATTTACTGATTTCTTTATTGATGGAAAGTCGACGGAGGCAAAGGTTTAAGACCGAGTTGACAAGCTTCTAATTGTTCCTTGGTCAACTTGTAAATCTTGGGCTTTCCTGAGATTGGATAAGGAAGAAAGAGTCTGCGCGGATTGGCACAAATAAAGACATAATCAGAATCAGATTCTTGTTCCTCACTTGGAAACTTTTCTCGATACTCCTCACTCGACACGCAATCAATAACATCCACGCAACCAACAATCACACTTGTTGGATAGTGTTTGGGATAACCCTGTGTTCTGTTAAAGGTGGTCTTGTAGTAAGTTTCAAGTTCTTGAATGCTTTCATCAGTTGGCTTCTCAGCAGTACTTGCAATCCACAACCTTCCTCGATGAGATGTATTCCATGATCTTCCTTCATGTCTTTTAATACCATAAACAAGTAATGAACACCAAGGTTGATGCATGGAAAGACAAAAACCTTGATCATCCTCATGTGTGCTAATTGGTTCACAGTATTGAATGATAGGTTCAAAACCATCAATCGTGTCTGATACTCCACCACCACATGTGATGCTATCAGAAGAAATATCACATGCTGGTTCGTCATCTTCAATGTAATATTGGTTTTGTACAACTCCACCAGATTTGCCTTCGTTGACTGAGAGAACGTTTGGTTTGTTCTTCTTTTCCTTCGATTCGATATATTTAAGTTTAGTGACGTCCAATAATGCAGATCTTTGAGTTCCTACGGATGATCCTTCTCTCGTTATAACGTTTATATTTTCTGTTTGTGAAATATTGCTCTTGGGGATTGTCACTTTGAGGCTTTCCATTAACCTATCAATTTCCTTTTGAGTTTCAATTTGATGAGATTCATCCAAAAGAATTCTTTTTCCAGCAAAATCAAAAGTGTATCTGAGAGGACCGCTTCTATTTTTCAATTGTTCCTTCAACTCTTTAATCCTTTCTTCAATTTTCTCACGTTGCTTTTTTTCTGAGTCAGAAAGCCAAATGTCTTTTGATGTCGATGAATTACCATATTCAGCAGCTTGCTCATCAATGACTGCTGTTGTTTGAGAATAATTTTCATCCCATCGTAACAATCGATTTCGCAATTCTAATGCTTTTAAATAATCTTCGTTTTCCTTCTTGTTTTTAGAAAGATTGAAATCATCGGCTGAATTATAATATTGTGTAACAGCTTCTGGTGTAATATTTGTTTGACAAAAAGGACAAGGTCCGAAGCCTTCTGCTGTGATAATTTTTCCACAACAAGTACAGTTTGTAAGAACTCTATTGTTCTTCAACAAATCTGCAAATTCAAATTTTTTGTTAATACGACTTAAATTTTCATAGGCTTTATCGGAAAGATCATTTCTTTGTGATTGTGGTTGAGAATGTTGAGCGGAAGGCTTGTGGCTGTGGAATTGTTGGCCCGATGTTCCTCCTCCCTTTTTCTTTGCAAATTTTACAGGAATATGCCCAATGGCATCGCCAATTTGTTTGAATGACCTGTCTTGTTGGGGCAATGAAGGAAACTCTCCATTCTCTGTTTTCTTGTTGTTGGACATTTTTTTTAAATTTGAATATAAATAATGAAAATTTGTGCATGATCAACTCTGGATTTTACATTGTAGTGTCAGGTTTGATGTTGAATGTACATTACGTTTGACATCTCCTTCATTAGTAACTCAATTTCACTCTTCGTGTCTTATTTCGAGGATAATTTTGCCATTGTTTTTGTTTTGTTCCATGTATTCGTGAGCTTGTCTGACATCTTCCATTTTGAAAACACAATCAATATTAGCAACCAGCTTTTTTGTGACAAAGGCGTCCTTAATGTAATTTTGGAATTCTGTGAAAAGTTCAGCCTTATATTGTGGAGATCTGTTTCGAAGCGTGCTGTATTGAATGGTAAGTCTTTTTCTCAGCATTTGAGAAAGGTCAATGTTTGCAGACATTCCTCCCTAAAATATAGTTTTCAATGATTCAATTCAATGATTATACAATATAAACTCATTTCCTTCAATTTAACTTACCATTGAAGCAATACCAATGATTACAGCATCTAGTCTTGCAATTAGAACGTCCTGTTCAAGATAATGATTTCCTCCAATAGGATCTAAAATATAGTCAATAAGAGGAACTACTTCACTTTTTTCTGTCAATAATTCTGACAATTTTTCACTCCATTTTGGATACTCCTTGTAATTCACATAATGAGTGGCACCAAATGTTTTGCAGTACTCTCCTTTTTCGTTGCTTCCACATGTGACACAAATATTCGAACACAATCCACTGAGTTTACAGAGCTGTATCAAAGCGAGACCGACACCGCTTGCTCCGGCATGGATAAGCACATTAAGACCTCCTGTTCTATGATGTAATTTTCCAATTTTAAAAAAGCACTGAAATGCAGTAAGAAATGCTTCAGGTATGCCCGCAGCCTCTTTCAAGCTTAATTCATTTGGACAATGAAACAATTGTGTGACTGGAGCAATGCAAAATTCCGAATATCCTCCACCTTCTACAAGAGCCATCACTCGATCTCCCACTTTAAACCCATTTTCCTCGTGATTGTTTGTGCTAAATTTTTCAATATGACCCGATACTTCCAAGCCTAGTATGGTACTGCTTCCTGGAGGTGGAGGATACTTTCCATTCCGTTGGGCAATATCAGCTCTATTTAGAGCAGTATAGTACACCTTGATCAATGCTTGAGGCACTGCAGTTGTATTGCTTGAAAATGTTGGTATTGGATAATCGGAATCAATGTATAAATCAGAAGCTGACTGAGTGATAGGCTCTGCCACTCGCACCACACGTTGTTGAATATTCATTTTTTTTAAAGCTCGCAGTGAGGAAGCATTAACTTTCCGAATGAAATTGTACGAATGAACACGTGCTTTATTCAAAAGTTGAAGACATGTCATCGTCGTCGTCCATGTTCCTCTCTTCATCAAAGAATTGATCAATCATTTGGCTAATAGTGGCTTCTGTATAAGAAATATATTTGCTCTTGTTGCTTGTGAAATCCACATTTCGAAATTGTTCTACAAATTGAGTGTAGGGTGGAAGTACTTCCTCTCTTGTCCTTTCACGAAGTTGTTCCTTGAGCTCAATATCTCGAATACAATACGTTCTTTGGATAGTATGAATTTCTTTGAGTTGTTCATTAAACTTTGAGAAACGTTTCTTAATTTCTTTCTTTGGATATTTGCCGTTCTTGTCTGGTTTAAGCTTTTCTTGATCCTTAAAGACAGACAATGTGTCATCCCATGTTGCGGTTATATACGTATTAATATCGTCGTCTTTCAGTTTCTTGTATTCTCGCTGTTTAGCTTCTGGGACATGTTTCTTAATGTTTTGATCTTGTAGATTCTTGAAAATGTAGTAATGGTTGTTCAGTACAAAAAGAGCAGCTAAACTCTTCTGCTTTGTTCCATATTGCTTTTTCTTTTCCTCAATGTTATGTTCTACTGCATCTAATAGTTGAAGTAAGTATTTCCCAAAATATGTTTTGACTTCGGTATATGTAAATGTTCGATCCTTGTCAAATCTCTTCTCTTTAAGTATGTTTTCAATGGATGGATATTCGAGAAGCCTTCTCATAAAAGAAAATGCATTGCTTGTGGCTTGATGCACCACACCATCTGTGGATCCTTTGATTTGATTTGTGTGGATATTTCTATGGAACTCCGACAGAAGGTCATTAATATTATTCTTAAAGGTTTCGCTCAAGCTACGGAATGCCTCCAAGTGTTGTGTGTGTGACAATACTTCTTCAAAGTTTTTAAGAAGTTTGTTTTCAAAGTTTTCCAAAATGTCTAGCAGTACGAACACCTTTTCGCTGGTTCTGTTCTTCTCAGCCAAGTCTTCTGCTTGGTCTTTGAAGATTTTCAAACTTGGTGAAATGACATCTCCATATATTTGATTTTTCTGAAAATCAACACCAACAACCTTCATGCAAATCTTCCTTTCAGATTCTAATAGCTTCAAGTAAAAATTCATGTAAAAGATAAATGGATGTGATCCTTTCTTGTAGTATTTCTGACTCAGAATCATATCATCATCCTTCTTTTTCAATTGTTTGATGGCATTCAAATTGCTGGCTACTTGAATAGCAGTTTTGTCTTTTTTCTCGGGAATTAATACATTTAGAGCAGAGTTGATCAACTTGGATCTCAATTGAATATAAGTTTTTCTAATAACAATCTTGCTTTCCAACCGTTGAGAAATCAAAGCGAGTTGTTCAACCTTGTCTGGAGGAATTAAATCATTAGTTAAATCGAAATCATCCCTCTCCAAATCTTCTTTCCGATATCGGAATGGATCCATCACCACAGATTTTGCTCCAACATTTTGCAAAATATTCTGAAATTCTTGTTCCAATATTTGAATGGCCTTTTGTCTCAATGATCGACACTTGTCTTCTAACTTATCGGCTCCTTTATAGTTGCTGTGCTTTGAAAAGAAATTGATGGTATCATCGTTTTGTTTCATTGCAGCGAGAAATCCTTCCAAATCATTCATGACTCCTTTTTCTAGCCTCTTCTCAAATGCTTGTGGTCGGTTATATTTCTCCAGAGTAGAATCAACACTTTTAATTGTTTTATCAATATTATCATGAGCAACCTTTAGCACATCAATTCTTTCGTTCATTGTTGTCATTTCCTGCTCAAGTTTTGAAAATCGGGATTCAAACCGATCCAATATATTTACAATTTGGTCTTTAATTTGCTCACTTTTGTTCAAACTCTCCTCCAATATTTTGAGATTCTTCTCAAAGTGACTGAAAGACTTGGCTGAAACCCGTTGTTGAGATGAAGACATTTTTTTGATGATGGAAGATGGTCACAACGATCGCTTTGCAACTTGTCACTTTTTTATTGTTTGACTGATGTTGCATCTTTTGCAAGATCATGGTCCTCTTGATTAATTGGAGCATATATCTTGGCAACGTCTGTGTTGGTGGTCAACATTTCAATATCCTTGTCTTTAGAATTTCGTTTTTTCTTTTTAAAGTAAGTGTAAAAAACAAATTGACTAAGAATGGTGTAGTCAAGAAATTGATTGCCTAAACTACTGGTTAACCAAGGTATCTTCGAGCATAAATACGATGAATCAATACTGAAAAGGAAAATACTCAGTGAATAAAATAGATTGCCCACTACCGAGCAAATGAATAACACAGGATTCATTCCTTCAGTTGATCCTCTTCGAAAATTGTTAATAATTTGGGCAATTCTTGAGCCCATGTAACATACTGTGGAAACACAACCAATAACATATCCCACGATGGCGTATGGTTTCTGAGGTGGAAATTCACGAGCGTTGTGATCCTTTTGAGTTGATGAAGAGTCTTGAACTATTTCCGAGACATCTGTTGTTGACAACAATTTTCTTCCAATTTTCCTGTGTAAAGGTTGGATGGTATCTATGGTTTGTTTGAAAGATGTCGAAAATTGGTACATGGAACACGACAGTATGATCAAAATCGTGAAAACTATAAAGAATGTGGAGAAGGAATAGAGTTTTGTGTTGGAGGCATTGTTGGAAGTGTTCTCAGAGTCCGACGTTGGAAATTGAGGTAGAGTTGAGGTTTGAGAGGTGGATGAGGTGGATTGATGAGATTGTCTTGAAAGTTCCACTGTTGTGGTGATTTCAGGATGGTGCACTGTTGTGGTAGTTCGTGGATTGGGCACCTCAAAGTCAACTTGAACATTTTCTCCAGTGATTGGTGAATTTGTGTCAGACGATGATTCTTCATCCTCTGCCTGATAATGCAAATGTGCTGGCATTAATGCTGATGCACCAACGCTAGCACCAACACCAACTCTTGCACTGACATCTCCTGATATATGTATCCCTTCTAAAACTTCTTTCCTTTTCGTTACATCCGTTATTTCAAATGGATGCTCATCGAGAGTTTCTGAATGAAGTTTGTCTGTAACAGTTATTATTTCTTGAAGACCATCATGGGTTGGTTTTGAAGAGGATGAGGGTGATCCAAAGTCCTTCTTCTTTTGAACATGCTTCCTCCACAACTTTCTTGAATTATAAAAGATGTATTGTCCAATGAAAATAAAATCCATTAAAACAAAGTAAGCAGCCAATAAAATTTGTGTAAATAATTGGCCTGTTAAGGCAGCCCCTATCAGATTACTTCCGTCCGCAATCATCCATTGTGCGAGAGTTACTACCGAAAGACCATCTGCATGACCTTTCCGAAAAGTTGTTATCACTTGAGGAATACCACCAAATAAATATAAAACAAGACTGAGTAAACCAACATAGAATGAGGCTTGTTCCAAACCACTGTGTACACATTCTCCCATAACATCGTACATCCATGATATGTAAGGCCGTCCATCGGGGTCTATTTTCAAACAGTCCCCAACGTACATACTCGAGTTATAAGGACCGGTTATATTTGGGTTGAGATGATTAAAAGGAAATTCGAGCCTTGAGGATGCCATTACTGCATCGATGTCATTGATGGAGGTCATATCGGAGTATATAACAACAGACGGCGAGGTGTGAGAGGAGGAGCCTGATGGGGTAGTAGTGCAGCAATTTTTTTTCTGAGTTTGGGCGAGCACTCAAAAAATCCAAATAAGGACATTTGAACAATGGTAATTGAATCAAGAAAATATTTTTTCATAGTTAGTAAAAGTAATTGAGAATTGCTCTTAAAATATGTTTGAGAACACTTGCACGTAATATATATTCACAGGCATATCAAAAAGCACTCAACAAGGATTTGGAAAAAAACCATTGCCATCCACAACATGATTGTTGTAATCATGAAGATTGTGACCGAAAGTTGACAAAAAATCAAAACTGAAAAAATGTCTCTTCTTCAAATTGAATCCTTGACTCCAAATACTCATCAACGTGCAAAGGAAATCATTGTGAAAGGATTAAAGGAACGTTTTGGAGAGGAAAATTTTGATGAATCTTTTAATCCTGATTTGAATCAATTACAAGAAGCGTTTCTCTATTTTTGTGTTGGATTTGTCCATTCAAAAGATCTTGACACCACTACCACCACCGAAGAGAGATTGTTGAATCGAACAGACATCACCACCAACAACAACAACAACCAATTAATAATGATTGCAACAGGTGGCCTTTCACTTGATTTTAACTATTTCGGAAATGAAAATCAATATTGTTTTAGAATTGAACGAGTTTCTGTGTTGAAAGAATTTAGACGAAGAGGTTATGCTTCACAAATAATTTCACATTTAATGAATGTGGCAAAACAAATTGCTGTTCCAACAATCGAACCTACGATGAGAGATGAGTCATCATCATCTCGTGTGTTGAAAAAAGTGTGTGAAAAAATTGAAACCTTGTTGCAACCTCACAAATTGCTTGTTCGTAAAATTGTGGTCGAAACAGACACTCCATGGATGGAATCTGTCGAGTTGTATAAAAAGATGGGATTTATGGAAATTTGTGAAAAAGAAGGATGTACACATTTTGAGCTTGATTTTTAAGTTTTGTGTGATCTTCACACAAATATGTACATATTTGGAGCTCGAAATATTGTTGGTTTAGAATGAACTGTGGCAAAGAGAGGATCAAAAAAACACCACGACGGTTTGGAGAGTAATTCAAAAATTATTGGCCTAGTTCAATTTCTTTTTGTAAATCCTTAGTTTCTTTCCATTTCTTAAATTCTGATGTTAATTCCTTTCTAGAAAAAGTATCCATAATATTGAGCATTATTTGACCATGCAATGCATTCTTCAAGTCACTAAATAACACTTGTGATGAGTATTCATAATCTCGAGTATTTTGGGCTCTTTCCAACAATTCATTAAATTGTTTTCGAGCTGATGCTGAAATATTCACTTCAAAAGGAGAAAATCGTTTCATAAATTGCTCCTCAATATATTGCAAGTCTTCCAAACTCACATATGGAGAATTCTTTTCCAATTTTTCCAATTCTTCATACATTTGTAAATTCTCTACTGCATATTCACTTGTGGAATATTCTCGAAACATTTTTCGAAATGTTGGATCTGTAATGAGAATTTCAAATAATGGTTTTCGATGACTTTCTGATTGCAATCGAGTATATTTGGAGGATCCATATCGTATGAAATACAAGAGAGACATGGTCAGTTCATAAATGATCACATTTCCACCCACAACCAAATAACAAATCACAAGAAGAATAAATAAAAGAGCTTTTGAAGCTTGTGTGGTTTCTGATCCAAGGCCCAAATAAATGAAACAAGCGAGTGCTGCCACGACAAACATGAAGGCCAAATCAATTCTCAAGTAGAAGGGATCATCAAGGAAAAACTTTTTCTGAAAAGTTTTCATGTTTCGAAATGTTACAAGAAAGGTCCAAATTTTACATGACAGGATGTTAAATAATCATTGTGAATATGATTCCAGGGAGTTTCATTTCACAGAATGGTTGGATGAATAGGGCAGGAACAATTTTAATTTCACACAATGAATGGTGAATTTAAAATTTCACATTCAGAATTAAAGAACAAAAACTTACAAATCCTTGTTGTTGCACTTTCTTTCGATTGGCAACTAAATCCACCACAAGACATACAATACAAATGAGAGAAAGTAGAATCACCAATGATGCGAATGGAACCAATAAAAGCATTTCTAATTGAGTATTATAGGCTGAAATGCTTTGAACGTCCGTACTTCCATAAACATTAAAATAATAAGCGAGCCAACATCCAAACACAAAAATGGTGACAATTATTGTTGAAACAATTGAGGCTGGTTTGGAGACCATAATTTTGTGAAATTTCATGTTTTTGGAACTTGTCTTACTAGTGCCCATTTTGTTCATGATCCAATATAAATTCTTTAAATAATAAAATCTCAATACGGTCACACTGTAGGTTGCAAAAAATAGTGAAATGAAAAAGTTTGGATAAATTCCAGTCACTGAAAATGATGATTTTGATCGAAAGATGTCAATATACTGATTATTCCAAACAGGTTCAATAAAGTAAATAGGAAGAGCCATAAAACAGAGTGGTCCAACGAATGGTAATAAGAATCTTCTTCTCACCGTAATATTTCCAGTCTTTCTGTTAATGAAATAGGTCAAAAATAGTCCAATATAGAAAATTATTCCTACAAAAACAATCAAGTAAAGCATAACATCCTTATAAATAAAGTATCCATAGGCATCCACATAATTATAGTGATACATGGAGAGATAGGAATTATAAGAACTAAAACATGTTGTTGGTGTGAATCTTTCTGAAATTATATACTGAGCATATTGTCTCCACAGCATGAAAAGTGACACTAAATGTTTGGAACAGAATGGAGCGGATGTGTTAAAACCAACGTCAAATTCAGGTGAATTGATCACAGTATCCAAATATCCATTCTCATATAATTTTTTCATTGCCTTCCAATAGAAATAATTTGTATAGGAAGTGAAGGGTGCCTCAAATGCTCCATGATAGACGTCAGCATTGATGTGCGCCAAATAAACAACGATTGAGAGATATTGTTTGGTATTGATCCATCCAAAACCCATAATGAGTCGAATTAGGGCAATGTGATAATTTCTCATATCGTGTGTAGCAGTTGAATTGAGAATTTTACAATCTGGGTAATGGACTTTAAAAGTTTCAAGAGTGTTCACAATATTCATAATGTCTTCTTGAATCACTCCCGAAATTTCATCAATTTGTTCCGGTGTGAATGTTTGTGTGATGTTGGCTGAGAGGTCCACTGGAAAGGATGTTTTCAAAACGAGTATCGACTTGACACCTTCTGTTGGGATGGCTTTGAACATGTCATTAAATGGGAATTTTTGTAATTCATCCAATGTCAAGGAGTTGTTCATTTTTGAAGTGTGTAAATACAAATTATTCTTTAAATTTAAAAACAAGTGATCCAACAAATCAATTTCCATGGCAATTGCTGAACGACTGGCCCAATATTGATCCAATAACCAATGTGTCTCTCCCAATTTCACATTAAAATTGGCTCCACTTAGAGAGGTTTTCTTTTGTTTGATATTCACTCCATTTGCTGAATGAGTCGATTGTGTCTTCTCGGCATGAGTCTTCCATAATTCTTCATGCACTCTTCTTTTAATAGTATGATCAAAACTATTAACAATATTATTGGGATGATCATTTGAATAGATTGAATACTTATTCATCTTGGAATAAGGTGACACCCATTCAAAGTCACTAACTCCAAGTGTCATACTCCAATTATGTCTTGCAAAATAATCCTCCGTATAGGTCCATCCAACCATCATACCATCATCATCGGCACTACAACATGCTTGAGGTTCTACAAAGTTTTTCGCAAAGGACGACAAGAATCTGAGCATCTCATAGGGATTTTCAATCTCTTCGAACCTGGTCAAAAGAGTGTCATAATAATTGTCCATATCGGAATCTTTCACTCCACTCGTATTGAAAGTGATGAATGGTTTTGGAGTCACAGCAATTTGATGGGATCGAATATGAATGATATGATAATAAGATTTTGGTGTGTTGTTTGATACATTCCAATCAAATTCTCGGATGACTTCATAGTATTCTCGAATGGAGAGTTCTTCAATGGTGACATTCATAATTCCAAGATTCTTGGAATGGTCACTGGATGAATACTTGACAAGTTTTGCTGATGAAAATGTATAGAGATTCGGTATGAAGGAAACTGAGAGAAGTGAGAAGAGGATGTAGGTTATGAGGGGAATGAGTGTTGGTGGAGAGAGGGAATGAGAAAAAGACCAACATTTTGACGGTTGCATGATGGTATGGTTTTTTTTGAAAATTTTTTTGTGGTGAATCTTTCTGGATTTCATGAACCGTCGCAGCATTATCCTTTCCAATTTTGGTGCATGTCTTTTTTGTAAGAGCGACAAAGCTACTTTGGCAACTTGACAGCGAAGGAAATGTGCATCTATACTGGGGGTCTCATTAATGCAGCTTTGTGAGTGCTTTCCATCTTCTGTATGCTTGTTGGACTGCATTGAATATCAAATTCAACTCACAAATCAATAATTCCCTTTCTTGTGCGTTCATATAATTTCTCAGTAATGGAGACTGGTCTGTGTGAATTATAAATACAACCTTCTTATACAGTTTCAATATTTCAGGTCTATCGGCACTTATGGGAAGAAGCAAAGATGCATGGTCTTCCTTATTGGGATGATATTTCTCAACGACATGATTTAAAATTTGTCTAAAGGTTTGATTTTTTGTCCAGGCATTAATTTCCTCTTGAATTCTATCTTTTTCTTTCTGAATAGTTATTCGTTGAATGTCATATCTCAATTGTTCCAATCTTGTTTGCTCACAAGCACTTTCATTTACAATAAAAATTGTCTTTCTTATTTTTGTACCCTTAAAGTAAAAATGGACTGAATAAACTCCTTTCCATAATGGCGTAAAAGATGTTTTCAATTTTGGTCCTTTTTCATGAAAATAAGTTGCTTTGATTGAGGAGTGATTAGGTTGAAGAAAGTCAGCGTATTCAAGATATTCGGCAGGAGACTCATACCGAAGCTTAATTTCAATGTTTGCATTTAAATCATCCAATTCTAACTCGTTCTCATATTCATCTACTGCTGTAAAGACCATTGAAATCGTCTCCATTGATGTATATAGTGTGCTATCATCTTCTGAGCAGCAAATGGTATAATGGTCAAAGGTTGAAGGAACTACTTTGCATACCAATCTACTATCAGTTTGGTTTGGTGAGTTGAAACTTAGGCGCCTATCGTTCACTGTATAAAACATCTCAATTTCATAAGTAGAGGATTTCTTACTTGAAAATGCAACGCTAATCTTTGTTTCAGATTGAATTATGACAATATTCAAGAGAGAAGCTTCTCCGTCTATGAACTGTCCATTTGCCCAAATATATCTAGATTTTGAAACAACTTCAAAAATTTGAATTTCTAACATTTCCAAATTAAATCCTGAAAAGGATGGATTGTTAAACATGTCACAAATATGCAGATCAATAACTTTCTGCTCATTAGCTTTAGCAATTTCTTCATCCTGAAAGCAAATGTAGCTATGTTTAAAGCTAAACTTTGAAGATTTGACAGAGACAGGTATTATCTTTTTCCATTTCTTGTTTCTTTGACATTCCAATTCCAGTATGTACTCTCCGCTGATATTGGTTGTGAAAGCAAAGATTGTTTTAGAATCAACATGAGAACAGATGTCACAAACTTGATTTCTCCTTATTTGTTTGACATTTTGTTGATTTAAGGTGTGTGCTATAAGCGTTGCCTTCCATATGGGCTCCAGCGTCGCAATTTTAACATCCAGAACGTCTTTGCTCAGTACCGTAAAAGAGTAAGGTATTCCAGCAAATGCTAACATTTTCATGTCGGACGATAGGGAGTAGGAATGTGTGGAATCGTTCAAGGATGACACTAATAAGCATGACAAATTTTCACTCATTTGTAACCGGTCATGGCATTTAAGCAATCCATATAGAAATATAATTCCGAATGAAAGGAATGAGTTGATATTGTCAAAGGAAAAGGATAGAGGTGTTTGATGGCTGGCTTGAAGAAATGTAAGCTCATTTTCTTTGGGAAGGTCAACCTCTCTGATTGTTTTGATATCTATTTGTTTTTGTCCATCAATAATTTCCAAAATTCTTTCTTCTACCCAAGGAATACTTTTAAATCTGATTTTTCTTTGATGAGGCTTTCCATGCAAAGAATGTTTCCATACGTTGAACTCCATTTCCTCAGTCTGTTGTAAAATATAGCCGTTCTCATTCATTCGTGTGACCATCTGCTCCAAAATTTGATTTAACCTGTCAGACCAGTCACAACTGCCATAATCCAATCTTATAGATTTTGCTTCTTGACTCCATAGATCACGCGCATTGTTGCTACATGTAAGGGTTGTGGTGGAGTGGTGGTGTGAGGACTTGGCAGGTTTTTTAGGCATTTTTTTCTTCACTTTCGGAAACAAACATTCAATCCTAACAATGAACTTTCATCACGATCATTTAATCTTCTTTAAACCTTTTTAAACACCACACCACCTCTTACATCATTCTTCCATAAAGGCGAAACACATCTAAAATTTGCGATCTCTTGTGATTTCTGTTTGAACGCCAGAATTCTTTCGTTGATGAACAGCAATGACGAACAGAATGATGGCAACCGCAGCAACTAGTCCGAAAGAAACAATGAAATGAGCCTTTCTTCTTTGTTTTGCCTTGGCTTGTTCGAGGACTCCTTTTACTCGTTCTCCCATAGCTGCTTGCTCAACTTTCTTTTTAATATATGCTTGTTCGATGATAAATTCCAAATCTTGGTCTTCTTGTGATTTTGTTGTGCCTGGTGTTTGTGTCTGTTGTTGTTGTTGTTGTTGTTGTTGGTTTGTATTATTCTGCCCTTCTCCTGTGGTTGGTGATGATGAAGAAGATCCAGTCCGCAACTGAAAAGAGGTGGAGAAGCACCGAGCTCGGGATGACTCAATAATTCGGAGCAAATTGAACTGGCGAGAGAATGGATGTCCTCGACAGTGAGGTCGGAGAAGCAAAACCATTTTTATTTCTTTTTTGTGAATGACTTTCGAATCGACTTTCATGACATCGAGAATGTGGTTGCTGTTGGTCATGGAAGAAGTTTCATCCTTTCAAAAAAACAAACGACAAGGCTTGAATAAAATTCATTCTTAAAATTGGTCAAGGAATATTCTTCTAAGGGAGAAATATTAAAGTCGAATAGTTTTGAGGACGTTGAAACATGACTCTTGTCAAATAGTTCACACAAATAGGAAAAACATTCTACCCACTGTTGATTCGCAAATGCAGAATCGATTTTCATCGAGCTATAAAACATCATTTGAGGACAATCAAAGTGATTCCTCTCAATAAGGGAGGCAATATCGACAATTTCCGTTGCTGATAGATCAAAATTCAAGAAATTCATGGTACCCACAAGAGTGGAAGGAATGTTGTTGTAAGGATTGTCTTTGAAAAACCATTTCACTCGGGAAGATAAAATAGATTCAATAATTTTCATGTCCTTACATGGTTTGTGAATTCCTTTCGACATTAAATATTGTACCATCTGTTTGAAATTTTCAGAGAGAACTTTTAGATTTCGCTCCAATTGCTCCTCAGAAGTAGCCAAGGATGATTCATAATCAAACAAATGTTGATAATAATTACAGCATAAAGAATGAAGCAAATGAAAAGGTTGCTCCCGCAACAGCTCTGCCATTTCTTCAAAATTTTCTATCATCATTTCAATTAAGAGAGATTGAGTTTCAAATGTAATGCGCTTAACAAAAATTCTGTTGAGTAAAGATGCAACAGGTTCCAAGTTCGATGGATTTTGTTCTAGATATATCTTGGTTAAGGAAACAATGTCCATCCACTTATCAGAATGAAAAGTTATAAAGTCCAAAATGTCCTGAAGACGAATCTTGTATTGAACTTTCTTGTTCATTATTGCACTAGTTAATCTTGTTGTTGATTCATAATGATAAGCAATGTAAGATAATAATCCATGTTCGCTTTCAAAGGTTATACTGTGGTTGTTAGTGTCACAAAATGTGTGTAGTTCGTCAATAATTTGTTCAAATAAATAAAAGTGTGTCGGAGGGAAAGGAAGTACAATGTTAGAAGGAAGTTTTTCAATTAATGAAAATTTGATATTTGGTAAAACAGTCTCCAAATATATTCGCTTAAATATTAATGAAAAGGTACTGGAATGAGACGACCCGATCAGAGAGCATGCATAATATTTGCTCTCATTAAGCTTTGCTAATTGACTACCGAAATCTTCCTCTAAAATCTCATGAAAATTTGGTTTTTTGTGATATTTGGAAACACTAGTTCTATAGTGGTCACAAGCAACTTCTAACAACAACGCATAGGCTTCTTTTCTTTCAATGAGTTGATTAATGGCAAGTAAGCGGTTCTTAAATATGGTCTCGCTAGAAACAATGGAATGTAATTGTTCGATTTCTAAGGTCAGTAAACTGCAAGAGCTTTGATCTCCTATTGTATTTCGGAATGCAAGGGCTACCGATAGTTGATAAGCCTCATGTTCAAAATTCAATGCACTTCCTGCATAATTGTTATCATATCTCATCTTGATAAGGTTTCTTTCAAAATTTTGAATGAGAAAAGCATTATTATTGATCGATTTTCGAGATGAAAAAGAGCTTTTGAGGTTATAATCAATTTTTTCCAAATACTTATTTAAGGTCACTCCTTGTTGAAACCTCGGAACGAATTCATGATACCCAGTAGAACAAACAACTTTCCTATAAATCCTCAAAAAGATGGTTTTAGGAGGATCATCTCTTGATCGATCGTGTATCAAATTTTGTTTTCCGAGCCAACACTGTCAAGGAATCAATATCTCTTATAAACTTTCCCATGGTAGGAATGGAACCATAACATCCACGATTTTTCTTGACATGAGGCCACAACATGATATGAACCAGGAGCTTCCAAAACCAATCATTCTCATGAGTTATTTCATACATGGTTTTACAACTCAAAAATATATTCAAACATTCTCTAAAATCTTGATCAAACACTCCATAGGCAAGAATTTGCACCCATTCAATGTTGGAGAGTTTTAGAAAAGCTTTTAGAGTTCGGGAAGGTTCCTTTCGAAACAACTCTAGCGATGGAAGGGAATTTAAAGGTTGTTGTTGTTCAGACTTGGAAAGGTTGGACATGATTTTTTTTTGAATTCAATTTGAATTTGTGCAAATTGAGAGTGGCATTCCAACAAGGAACTTATAAGAACAAACCAATCAGCATCCAACAAACATTGTTCATCATTGAAACAACTCTCAAATCCTGAATACAGGAATGCATTCTTTTGTTGTTAATAATTTAGGGTTGATCTTAAAATGTTCCTTCTTTCAACAAGGAAAAAATGAATCAAAAGCTTTCTTCCTTGTTGCTGCCTCTCAGCTTGCACAATTTTATCGGAAGACCATTGCATCTGGTTCCAACTCCTTGTTTGCTGATTGATGAAAAGGCTTATGAGCGAAATTTGATGTTAATGAAAAATCGTGCCAAAGAGTTGAATGAGATGGTCATGACCCGAGCACATTTTAAAGCACACAAGGTATGATCGTCCTGTTTTTTCTCATCTCTATAGACTTTTGATCAACAATGAATTTCAGTGCCCGGCAATTGCAAAAGATCAAATCGAAAGAGGAGGTGCAATTGGAGTTTGTTGCCAAAAATTAAGTGAAGCTGTTGAAGCTCTAAAAGCAGTGGATGATGTTTTAATTTCGAATGAAGTAGTTAATGTTGATAAATTGAGAGTTATTAGAAATATGAACGAAATATCAGGGAAAACTATATCGCTATGCGTTGACAATGAACAAATTGTGACTTTAATAGATAAAATCATGGCTGAAAGCAATGAGCCAAATCAAAAGCTTCAGCTTGTAGTGGAGTACAATGTTGGTCAAAACAGATGTGGAACCAATTCCGAAGAAGAAACTTTGAAATTAATCAAACTTATCGAAAAATGTAAACACGTTGAATTTAAAGGACTGCAATGCTACAAGGGTGCCAATCAACACATTGTCAAATACGAAGATAGAAAAGAAGCAGTAGCCAGAGTTGTTGAAAAAGTTAAAAGATTATTAGATTATCTTTCTCAAAATGGAGTTTTTGTAAAATATGTGACAGGAGGTGGAACTGGCACATTTGAGTTTGAAGCATCTAGTGATGTATTCACAGAAATCCAACCTGGTAGTTATTTATTTGGTGATGCAGATTATGGAAAAATTTTGACAAGCTCCAATGGAAAAACCATGTTGGAAGATGAATCAGCCTTTTCTCAAAGTCTTTACATTCTTACCACAATAGTGAGCAAAGTGCCAAATACTCGAATTGTGGTGGACGCAGGTCTCAAAGCTTCTTCGTTGGACAGTGGAGTTCCAATCATTGCAGATGCTGAACATCGAAAAATACTGTCGAACTACAAACCTGGTGGTGATGAACATGGTATTTTCGAAGCTCACTCAGAAAAAGCTCAAGAGTTAATTAATTCACTTAATGTTGGAGATGTATTGAAATTAATTCCTGGCCACGTAGATCCCACCTTTAACATGTATGACATGGTTGCATTTTTCAATCCTGATAATCATTTAATCACTCGAGTAGAATCTATTACCGCACGAGGCCCAGGAATTTAAATTATTGGCGTGGTTGTTTCCAAGTTTCATCAAAATTACATTATAAATTAATCGGTTTTGCTCAACTTGGTATTTGATTTGTCAGGTAAGGTGGATGTGAGTGGAATCTCAACTTCATGGTATCTGTAATAACTTTTGAATGTCGAAACTATGGTCCAAATAAGATATCTTGCAAATCCTAAGTTACACACACTCTCGATAAAGGTCACATGCTGTTCTTTGAAGCATCCCCATAAATAAGAAAGTAAGGCTTTGAAAGGATATCCTGCGAAGGAAAATACATCAAGAATCGAAAATAATAAAATTCCCTTAAATGAAAAATGGTTGGAGTTGTAAAATTGTCTTGAATATTTCCAGTTCAGCAAGCAGGAGTTGGCTAATGCAAAATACGTGATAGCGACAATCATTGAAATATGAAGCACAGAAAAGGGTATCTTTTGAGGGAATATTTGACATGTTTTCTTGGAGGTTCTAGGATTGAAAGACACAATTACTTTTTCAACAGAATCCGCTGTGTCAAATCTAACCAGAGAATCAATAGTTTTCACAATTTCTGGTGTATCATTCAAATACAAGCTCACACTATTCACAACGTCTGACTTCATGTAACCCGTTTTTGAAGTAGTAATCTCGATTTCAGTTCCAGGATACCAAAAATGCTGAAGGAGTATTTCATGACATAGCCTTTCCTGAGCAGAGTTGGAACAACACCGCACAAATTTTGAAAATATTGAATACCATGTATCTGATAAATTCTTGATCATTGGTTGTGTTTCTAATGGTGTATATCTAATGTTTTTCAATTCAAAAACTCCATCCTTCATCGTAGCACTTCCTCTTATTCTCATGGGTTTATCAAAATTAAATTTGTTCGACAAATACATGGACAACTCACAATATTCATGATGTGTTAAGGATCTGTTACAATATACCAACTCCACATCTATGTCATCTTTCAAGGTTTTTGAAAGGTTTGGATGTTTCTTTCCAATGATCTCGTTTTTAAGAATGAAAATAAAGGAATTTCTCTCAACAAAGCCCAAGAGAAATTGTAACTCTGTGATACTCCAGCTCTTATTTTCAAACTCTGCAATAGCTCTTTCTTTGTTCTTTTCTCCTTTTGATTGTTGTGGTTTTCCTCGCTCTTCAATGGAATATTTTGGAATAATTTTCAATTTATCCATAAATATGAATTTAAATTCATCTGGAATACAAAGAATGTTACAGATCTCTGTTTCAATACAACCATTCCTGAAATAAAAGGGAAACTTTTGAATCGTACATTTTGAAGTATATTTGAAAATTCGGGAAAGTAGAGCAATAGGTCCCAATGATCGTGGGTCGAGGCTTTGAAATTGTTTCCTCACATGATGAGAGAGAAATTGCCTCCAATAAATCTCAACCTCTCTATTATTATTCAATGGAAGATGTTGCCTTGTCCATTCATGTGTTTGGCCCATCGTTGAGTCAACATCTTGATGAATTTTACTCCTTTCCATTTCAATGGAATAGACATCCATTCCGAGAACATATTTGAGAGGGATCAAAAAGGAGTCACTCAACACCAATCGGAGAGGAAGATATTTTGCAATTTCAATCATCATTTCCAGTGGTAGAGAGGACAAGTTCAGTATTTGTAAACTTGGTGGTGAAGAAGAGTTCATGGTGGTTCTCAACAATTTTTTCTAAAAGAGAATGAGAGTTCTAAAATTCAACAATTTTTCCTAACAGAGAAAATGATCCGAATTGTTGTTTTTCAGTGTTACAAAAAATGATTCCATCCAATGCAAACACTGATTTCACCTCCTCCGAAACTTGATGAGAATTGTATTCCGATGGTGGAAGAGTGTTTAAAAAGAAACAATTCTCAAATAATAATATTAAATAATGATGATGATGAGAATTCTGCTACTGCTTTTCGTCTGAGTAAAAAGAAAAAGATTTCCGACAATCAAAATCAAGAAAATGACACGATCAATAATGCAAAAATGGTCATGAATGATTTCGAAAATGTTGTAGTTTCAAATCCTTCAAATAATTTTATCAATAATAATAATAGGACTTCATTAACATTTCTTGGGATAGATTTGGCAGATGATATGATATTCCATATGATGGAATTTCTTGAACCTGAATTTATTTTTGGTGTTTGTATGAAAGTTTCAAAAGTGTGGTACAGCAAGACATTACAAATTTCATTTCGTTTGAGATATTGGAACAAGTCCATATCAATCACCAAGTTGCAAAACTTAACGCAATGCCCAAACATTCTAAACTTGATAGAATTAGATTTATATTCCCAATCTATTGGATTTATCGGTGTGAAACACATAACCTCTAGTCCCTATATGAGAAATTTGAAAGAATTAAAGTTGGAAAACAATTTAATTTCAGATAAGGGCGTGGAGTTAATTGTATCAAGTGCTTATTTAGCAAATTTAACCATACTCGATTTGAGTACAAATCCTATTTCCGAACTTGGAGCCAAAAGTCTTGCCCAAAGCTTGAATGTGAAAAATTTAACACATCTCATCCTAAACAAGACGAGCATTATGAGTCGGGGAGCAAAATTCTTGGCAGAAAGCAAACACTTGGAGAGATAAAAATATTTAGATTTATCTGGAAATGTTAGGTTCTGATGGAGCGAAATTTATCGCAAAAAGTAATCATATGCAGAATTTAGAACGATTAGATTTGGAACAGAATTATATTACCTTTTCAGGTCTTCGATGCATATTAATGAGTTCCAATATGAGAAACTTGAAATATCTAGAATTATCCAATAATACAATGGAGATTGCATGTGTTGAGTTTCTCTTAGACAATGGACAAAATTTCACTTATCTGGAATATCTTGGCTTATATGGAATATTATTAATAAGTCCAGACAATCGTCACAAGCTTCCTCGTTTTGTGGTCATTTAGAGATCATTGATTCTAATTACAATGACAATTGCTAGAACTATGATGAATTGCAATTTACAATGATAACCACAACTTTCCTATGTTAACAATAGACCTATGCGCATATGTTTTACATTTTAGAAAGTGTGCATTTTGATTCCTTTTCCATATTTTGTAAACATTATGAAGTTGTGAGCATGGCATCAACCATCGACAAGTGCTTTCACATCTTCCATTGTCATCATGGAATTGTTAAAGTAATATTTGAGAATGTCTCCTCGAATACATGATAGGATGCAACGAATCCCAAAATAGTTGAATCTGTGCATTAAAAAGTGAAAATTCGAGGAAAACAAGAAAAAACCATGAAATCAAGCAAAAACAAGGGAAATTAATTCAGCATCGATGTGCGAATTTGATCCAAATTTGTTTCATTTTTGTCCTTTCATTCAACATGGCAAAACTCAAAAAGGAGGAACATTTCTTTTCTTACACACCACACAAGTGTTTATTTCATACATGAATTGATCACAGAGATGTGCCAAAGTATGTGGTATTATACATCACTAATTGGATTTAAGGATCTCGTTCCATTGTTCTGGGTTAATGACTTGGGATTTATCAGCCTCGAGCAAATGCTTTGATGACTCGTAGTAACGATTGTTTCTTGCAACAATTCTCCAGTCATTATTTCTTACACCATGTCTAATCATTTCCGCATTGGCCTTACGAGAAATAGCTTCACGAATATAGAAGGGTTGGTTTGGAACAAAGTGATGGATAATGTGAGTGGCACCAAAGTTAAAGCAGAATAATTGGAATGGCCACATAGTCCAGTGATCAATAACTTGTCCTTGATAGAAAACATCACCAGCAGGAACATCTCCGTAATAGTGGCAATAAGAAGCCATCAAATTCAAGCATGCTTGTCTCAAGATATTAGGCAACAAGATCAACACTCCCAAATCTCTCACAATTGGCCAAGCCCACAATGGCAAGTACAAGACTGGATCAAAATCGGTGATGGTTAGTCCTGAAATTGCACGAACATATCCAAAGAACAAATGCCAAAGAACAGCGAATGTGAAAACTGTTGGGATACAGGTAATAACGAGTCCCCATCTGCTCCAGTCAGAACGATTATCCTTTTCAATATCGTCCAAAACCATGGTATTAGCCCAAGGAGTCAAAACAAGAGCAAGACGCAAGAAACCAAATGGCAAGCCACTTCCGATGAGTCTTTCCTCCAAATCGTACTTGGATCCGGATACTTGATGATGACGCAAATGCATAAACTTTCTGTACCATGGAGTTACGGAGAATTTGGCAATATAAATTACGGCATACATCACATGGTGAACCCATTGATTGGTCTTAAAGTAGAGATTGTGGATGAGATCGTGTTCCAACTCGTGCAAGATGGAGGCAGGCAAAGCCAACAATGGAACAACCAAAGCCCAATGGAGGCGTCCTGTCAAATACAAGTAACCAACAGCCAACATTGAAATAACGCTGATACCGAAAGCTAACAAGCCCAAAGCATCTTGGTATTTCAACCACTTGTACTTTCTACGAAGACGAGCTTCTTCGTTCTTGATGGTATTACGGATAGACTTTACAGCAAGTTGAGTATCCTTCTCGGACAAGAAGAGTTCACGCTTCTCAGCGTACTCGTGCTTTTTCAAGTACTCTTCAGTTGGAGCAAATGTTGGTTTGATAATCAATGGTTGAGCTGCGCTGTTGCGGTTTGCAGAGTTAGCGGGAGCAGAACCGGTAGAGACAATAGTTTCAGTAGTGGATACTGACATTTTTTTTGTTTTATTTCCTTTTGATTCGATTTACAACATTGTGAATATTCTTTCATCCATCATCTTTGTGTTATCTCATCAAGCAACAGAATTTGAGTTAGAAGATGGCCCAATATGGTGACACGATGTATGAGAATTAAGAAAAAATGGTCAAAATACAAAACCTGATGAGAATTTTGTGCTCCGATCTACATAATGTTCTTTCTTCTCACTCAAATTTTTTCAAACCACAATTTCTTTTTCAGTTTTCAAAAAAATGTCACCTTCGGACTTCAGCTAACAGCGAACTGTGTTGATGTTCCAATTTGACGAGTAGGAGCTTAACAATAGGATTGTGTCTTGTGTTCGATGATTAAAACTATCATTTATTATTCCTATGGTGCTGAAGAATCTGTGATCGAGTAATTATCGCTGAATGAGAACAAGAGGCCATTGCCAAATCACGAATTTTGTTATTTTATTTGCCATCATTGAGATGCATGTCTCTGTAGAAGGAATTTTCCTCATCTTGCATCTGCAATAACTTGTCGTTCTCTTGGGGAGGATTGAAAAAGTCGAAAATCAATGTTGCCTTCTCCCTTTCGAGAGGAGTTCGTGCAATAATTTCTTGAGGCGATTGGCACAAAATTACCTTCGAAACAGAGCCCATTCCTTGCAACAATACACTTGCTTCATAACTTGAGAGACCATGAGCAATGGGAGAGTTGACAAATGCTCTCTCTGCATTTGCCTGATGTTGATTCATGAACTCTGCTAATTCTTGCTCGCTATGTTTCACACGTTGCTTTCGTCCTTCAACCTTACTCAATTCTTGAATACATTGTATCATCTTACCCGTTGAGCTGCAAGGCAGTACTTGAGGAGGTCTATACGGAGCTGGTGCATCTGTATCTGCACTGCTGTCGCACTTGCTAGCTGAATTCGGATCCTCTCTTTTTCTCTTGGATGGATTATGGTCATCATGAGATTTAAGGAACATCTCTCTATTCGTTTGCCTTTGAATGACATGAGAGGTCAACATTTTTTGTAAGACCAAGAGCTTTCCCATTTGATTTTTGTTGTTGATCATAACAAGAACAAATGATCTCTCAAATATGGAGCCAATAGTACAAATGTCTTCCAGAGTTGCTTTTCTAAGCATTGATAAATCAGAAGGTGTTGAGGAGAAAGAACGATATTGGGAGACAGAGGGAAGAGCAATATTCTTGATTCCAACTTGTTCCGAGTAGTTTGGAAGAACAATATTCTCGATCCCAACCACTATGAAGGCTAACCTTAAGGATGGAAATATGACATCAGCAATTTGATCATCATCAATGATATTTCTAATGCCATAATACTTGAGAAGTTCATGTCGGATTGGAGGATATCTTAGCTTTTGGTGTACAATAATATTCTGCTTTTGAACGTGGCTTTGCTGAGCGGATGATTGAGGCTTTAGCACAGAGTTCGGAGAGATTTGATTTGTGTTGGGCGTGATTTGCTGCTGGGAACGCTTTGATATGGTCTGATTCACTTCATCCTTACGTTTTATATTCGGTCTTTCATAAGTGTTGTTCTTTCGGGTGCTGGTTGAATTTTGAAAGCCTTGACGGTGTCGCATGATTGATTTTTTGGTCAACCAATTTTATAAAATTGGTTTATTGGCGGCTGAAGAGGTTGTTCTGACATGAAATCTTCATTGTTTGCAAAATTGTGAGGGTATGTGACTCTTATTATTGGGCACATAATAATATTATTAGAAAAATACATCGGTTTCTTTGTGATATGGATATCTGTCACCCTCTCGGAGTGCATGTTTGTACCGCTTCTTTGGTTGTACTGGCCCTTTAACACCTGTTTTCGTCTTGGACTCAAATTCTAATTGTTCCAAATATTTTCGATATTTTGCAATTTTCTTTTCTAATTGTTTTGGAGTCCATTGAAGATAGTTACGCTCGGTATCCCATGCCATAGCTTTATAATCATCTCCGTACGTGTCGATCAACGTCTGAAGGGTTTTTCGTTCCGATTCATGAACAATATAACATAATTTTGATTTAAATTGTTGTTTGTTACTTTTGATTTCTTCCAATTTCTGTGGCTCTTGCTCGACGGGCAGTGTTTCCTTTATTTCTTGCACTTCTTTCTCGGCCATATTTGGGTTGGCAGTTAAACCGACACGAGCATAGTTGAATTTTGGAGTCAATTCTCGCTGCCATACTTTTCCAGTACTACTTTTTAATTGATATTGTCTCTTTTGCTTCTTCTTTTCCTTTCGGATTTGTGTCTTTGTTCTGTGTTCTTTGAGGGCAAGACCTCTGTGTTTGGCCATTTTTTTGAAGTTTTCTTTCACCTTCCAACTTTTGTTTGACACATTTTATTTTACATTCACAGAGAGACCACAACCTGAACAAGATTGTACTTGCACCTAAAGGATCAAGCAAGAATTTTTCTTCTTCTCTGTTTTGACTTCAGGAGGATACAAACCATTGTAGAGAGCTTCCTCGAATACTTCTTTCACACCATTGTTTTTCATTGCGCTGCATTCCATGTATTTGACCGCTTTAATAGCCTTTGCCACTTGCTCAGCCATTTCTTTGGACACGATTTCAGTTCCTTGATCTTTGAGTTTGGCAACTGCCGATTTGTCTTCTCTGATGTCTGCCTTTGTTCCCACAAGAACTAATGGGCAATTTGGTCGATGCTTCCTAACTTCCGGTACCCACTTGTTCTTAATGTTGTCCAAAGAAGTGGGACTATCAACTGAAAAACATAGTAAAAACACGTTTGCGTCTGGATAGGAAAGAGGTCTATAATCATCGAGAAGAAATAAGTGTTTAGAATTTCATGGATTTAAGGGTAAAACTTACCGAATATGATCATAGCTGTACAACGAGATTTTCAAAATATTAATGAATGAATAATAAATCCCGATTGAAATTCAAACTTACTCTTCCTGTCCAGCAGTATCCATCAACAAAAAGTTAATAGTCTCATTATTCACCTCAATCTCGGAAGAATAATTGTCAAATATACTGAACCATCAAGCGATAAGGATTGAACAGAAATCGCTGTTAAGATCCACTTACGTTGGAATGTACTTCTCGGGGAATTCTCCTTTAGCAAACACATGCAATAAACAAGTTTTACCCTGTGTTTTTGAAAAAGCAGTGATCACGAATTACCTTGTAATTAAGTAAAGCCTTAGTACCTACCACTGCACCATCGCCTACAACCACCAAACGAACGGTCTTTGCTTCCATTTTTTATTTAAGATTTTTTGTAACGACACAATCATCATGATGATTGACTCTTGTGTCTACATGTAGATTAAATATCGAGATGAAGCACAACACAACAATCTTCAAATAATTCACGTTTCACATTCTCAACAAGATATTCTTTGAGAGCCACTTCACCCTAATATCATGAAAGAATGTGATTCAACACAAATATTCTCATAACAACAGAACATAAAAAAGACATACCTTTTCAGTCATGGTGTACCCATTTCCTGCAAACAAGTCTCTAATGCCACATGCAAAATATAAAAACGCTCTCACGTCAATCAAAGAAGGTTCTTCATTCTTGGTTCTCTTCTTTTCCTCCATGTGCCGTAAGAATTTTTCTTCTGTGGACCAATACAGAGGATGACTAGTACCACTTTGTCTCACTTCTGCAAAATCAAAATCCGCTCGTTTTCTAATCTCATCAAAAGATGTGGATTGCAGCTCATTAAAATACTTTTCAAAGTAAGGAAATGCTTTTGGGAAGAGATGTTTCACTATTTTGTAAACTCCATTCCAATCAGCTCTCTCAATAAGAGCTCCAGTCTGCTTTAGAAAGCAATCTCGTTGCACAATGATCATTTCAAAACGAACATTCTGTGAAATCTTTTCCTTCACATAGGACTCTTCAAAGCCAATCAAATGAAGAATTTCTAAAGCCTCTTCTTCAGCAAGTTTTCCATCTTGACATGCCCTCATCTTGCTGCCATTGTTGTGATGATTTTTAGTGATTCCATTTTCAGAATGTGGTTCAGTAGTGCCATCCTGATGATGATTCGTGTGCGATTGGCAATTACCATTCTTATTGGAAGCATTCGATGTGTGATTTGGATCAGAATGAGAACATCCTTGATTCATCTTTTTATATTTCGCAGCAATATGTAAAATTCTTTCCACTCCATCCTCTCCGAACATGAAAGCTGTTTTGTCATCGGGATCATCCGTAAGTTGAAGAAACGCTTTTGCATTCTCTCGTTTTCCTTTACAGACTCGACCGATCAAATTTTGAACTTGAAAATGATCTGGTATATCTTCTGGATGATGGATCATGTGATAGAATTGTTGTGGTGAGTCAATCACTGTACCCACAGAACAGCAGCAGGACGGTGTTTGTTGTGACATTTTTATGTGTGCTATTTTTGTGTGAACTTATAGTTAAGATCAAGATTACGACACGGCACGAACCAGCTTATCGCCATGACCATTCAATAACCTTTATTAATCTGTACAGAAAGATTTCAACTAGTCTTAATAAACATACAAGGAATCTTTCTTTTTATCGCTTCTTGAAAAACCGACTGAAAAAGGAGAACCTTTTGTTGCGAGTGGTAGTCGTCGTCATGGATGAAGAGGATGCTGTTGTTGTGGTTGTTTTGGTTTCAACAGTTGAAGAAGATGGAGAGGAGGATTGAGAGCTGCCATTCGTGGTTGTACTTGTATAAATCCATTCACCATTCTTCCAAATGTTCTTAAGAGTCGTCTCATCTACTACTTTCTTTCCTCTCTTTTTTGCTAATTTTACAACAAAGGTTTTTGTGTCAGATTCCAAGTCTTCATGAAATGCTTTTTGAATATACACTTGCTCAAAGTGTTCCACTGCAAAATTGAGACACATTTCTCGAAGAGAATAGGCAGCATGTACGTCACAAATGGCTAAGAGTGGAACAATGGTTTCCAAATCAATGTATTTGGAAATAAATGTTTCACAAAAGGTTTTGAATTGTCGAGAAGTGAAATAATTTCCAACAGCCAAACATTCACTGGCATTGAGAGTGGACAAATTGGCATCATATCTGTCCATCCATAATTCCTTTCGAGATCTTTCGCCACAATATAAAAAGTAAATCATGGGCAACAGATTTTCAACTTGAAATAAATAATTGTCATCATCGAATTCATTCCTGTCCAATTTGATGCAATTATTATCAAAAGTTTCTTGCATGTTTGAAATAAAGAGACTTTTGAAAAATTCTGAAAGAGACAAAACTACTCGATGACCACTCAGTGAACACAATTCTCCAGGTTTGCTTGTCATTTGAAGAGTACAATCATCATACGTATTGGGTTTGGAGAAAATAGTGTGTAAATGTTTTGCAATTCTGCTTTTTCTAATTTTTGGATCTTCAATATGAACATCTCCATAGAGGAACAAACCTCGTGTTTGTCTGTTATCTTTGGATAAATTTTCATATTTAGAATTAGATTTGGTCCATGTCAAGTACGACTTTAGTAAATGATCAGAGATTAAATGTTGAGAAATGGTTGAGTGTGAAATTGGAGTTTCGTTATTCCACAATTGACTTTCCAAATAGTAAAAAAGCTCAATAATTTTTCTGGTGGTTAAATTAATCAATCTAACTTTTTGTTGATCCTTTTCTTTTTGAACATCGATATGTCTCTGATCAGTGTATAAGTATGAAAGATAAAAGTAAATAGAGTCATAAATAATTTTCAAACCATCTTCAAAACCCCATTCTTTTCTTTGTTTGTCTGAAAGAGTACAATCAATAGTCACAACAGTTCGAGTCGAATTTTTACAAGTTACTTCCATTTCTGTTGAATATTCCTCTTCCACACAGAGTTGATCGTGAGTGTCTAAACCAAAAATTGCTCCACGTAAGAAACGATTCAGTTTTTTAGATTCTACTAATTGGAGAAGAGTTGGACATCGTGCCAATAGAATGCATTTGTGTAAATAAATTTCTTTCATATCGTTGGTTCGATGAGACCTTAATTCTAATTTAAGATCACTAAATTCTTCATTGTTGATAAATTGAGAAAATACAGTTCCAGAATCCTTTGCATAGGCAATCGCTACAGTAGATCCACAATCGATTTGATCAATTTCTTTTCAAAGTATATACACATTCAAGTACAACAAACAATTAAACAAACAATTAAACAAATGTGAAATGGCTATGAAATTCAACAATATGCAATTCACTTACTTTGACCATAAAACGCTGTCACAAGTGTTCCAAAAAAGCATCTTGGTTTCGTTGGAGAGTGACCACACATCAAACCATTGTTTCCTCCCCAAGTGAATACATCTCCATTCTTGGTAAGTGCAGCACAAAAGTAATGCTTGTTAGAACCCCAAAATAATAAATTATCTTTACATTGTGTCACTTTGATAATGTCTCTCAGTCCTGGTACTTGCGTGAAAGTGTTGTCACGAAGAATTAATTCACCACAATAAATAGTCTCATAATTCATTCCAAGAGAGTAAACATTTCCCAAACCTTACAGAAACAATATAATAATATATATTATCGATACATAATAATTTGATAAAACTTACTGGACAAGAATAACACATGATGTTCCTTCACTGAACCACCTATCCAAACACCTCCATCTGGGCAATTGAGTTCATTTGCTTTTACAGGAAATTGTGAAGTACTTCCATGAAATACAAGTGTCTTACAATTTTCATCAGGAATTTGAAATGCAAAGTCATTGGTACAAAGCAATTGATGAGATGGATGAAATCGTCGAACGGTTGAGATATTACCTTGATTAAGTACGGAACATTGTTTGAGAGCTCCACTGGCTGAGTACAATTATTGTTAAACACACAAGGAACGTTTTTCACACTCGAATGAGACAAAATCCATTCAATAACAATGAACCTACCATAATGTATGACAAAGGAATCACATCCATCTCCACTGATTTTCTCAATTTTTGAATGAGTGACATCTTTATCTTCCATCAAGATCATGATGGATGCATGTGGTTCTTTCAACCAAAACAATTTTCCAAAATTTGATAAACCAACAATTTGGTTTCGATTCAAGCATACGATCATGATTAAATGTTCATTATTTGCCACATCTTCCTCACGAAGAGATATTAATTCTGGTGTTGAAATATTTGCAAATTCACTTTCTGATGTCACCAAATTGGTGGATGAACTTGGAGTGTCTGACACATCGCTGTTTGTTGTTTTGATTAATTTAAATCGATATAATTCTCCACCATCTATCAAAGTCATCATGATTGGCCAACATTGATTAATTCGTGTCACCACAAATTTATGAATTTCCAACAATGTTTCAAAGAATTTCATACCAGTAGTGGATCATCATCACACATTTTGGAACATTTCACATATACATTTCAAAATTATATTTCAAAATTTCAAATGGATTTTCATATCCAAACAGGCATTCATGGTCATTCCGAAATGTGAACAATCATGAACAAACACGCACCCAACAAGATGTAAAAATCATTCAATCCAGTCGCAAGGACTTGTTTCACAGAAAGAGGTAAAGCAAAATTGACAAGTTTCGGCAGATGTGAATCTCCCCATATAAATACTCTTCCCATGATAATGATGAATATGAATTGGCGTTCCACACTTTTTTTAGGTTTAAAGACAAGTTCCAAGTTCACCGCCCACGTTCCAAAAGAGATCTCTTTGATATTTACTTTATGATCCTAATCTCCTTTACAATGTCATTTCAAGAATTTAACCCTTCTTGAAGGTAGGTGTCAAATCAAAAACAATTTGGTGGTGAGGACGAGTTGCTGTGAGCTTCCTTCTCATGATCTTTAAAGACTCAAAATTTCTCATCAGGAAGCATTCTTGAGGCACCATTTGAGATGTTTCGCGCCCTTTGTGACGAGAAATCTTTTTTCCATCATCACAAAGGGCATGACAACCCTTCAACGAACAAGATCCTTTTCATTGCTGTTCGTTTCTTTTTTTTGATTACAAGAGACGCTTGTTTGAATCCATAGCAGCGCATGGAGTGTCTATTTATTGCAAACTAACAACACTTTCACTATCGTACCGTATCCAAATGGAAGGTTCATAAACATATTTTTATGAACATGGGAATTTCAAATGCTCACTTCATCGAGTTGGTTACAATAATCGATTCGTTTAAGTTTGCAATTCAAGGTGTTTCATCAAGTGATGTATTTCAACAACCCCAACCACACAAGGATTGAAAGATTGCTTGTCACTTACAATTCATACAAAGGTTGTTGCGGTAGTGTCGCCATTTTCCGTGTAGATATCCCGTCCATATTCCATCAAGAGAAAAGAGCTATCTAATGAAAGCCACACAGTTGAATAGCTTGAAGAAACTCTCAACTTTGTGCAAAGTGATCTTTTCTATTTGTGATTGGCACTTGAATGAAATTCGCAAAATGTTTTATTGTAATGGAACAACACATTGAAGTGGGTTGAAGAAGAAAGTCATCTGTGCTTGGATCATCTCCATGGATGATACTTTTCATGCAAAGATGCCAATGTTCAAAAAAGTTGAATTCCGCCAAAGTTAAACATTCAAACATGTCTCTCTCTCATACGAATATTCCTGAAACATTCACTGCCATTGTCAAACTCGACATTATTGAGGTGAATTTAACATCTTTTGTAATTTCTTTGATCCCTACTTGTTTCTCAACAAGAATCATCTCATCGTTCAGAAGTCGATTAGTTTCTACTCTTTCAAGAGAGTCCTTTCGTTTGGAGTGTTCTTTCACAATCGAGAGTATGAGCATGGATAAGATTGCAATGGATACCGTGAGGAGAGTTTGCTTGATCGTCCATTGCAACAGAGTGGTGAAAAGAGAGACAAAACACCAACTCGTCTCAAAGAAACGTTGTTGTGAAAACGACAACCGTTGTTGAGGGAGATTGTCTTGTTCGTCCAGGGACATCCTCTTGACAGCACATCTGTCAGGTATTGTGGTGGTGGTAGTGGTGGTGGTGGTTGGTGGGAGTGTCGTTGTGAGTATCGATGAGGAAGCATCCAAACAGAGATTATCTTCTGGGACATCTTCCATGATTCGGTTCATGTTATTGTGGTGCTCATCCAAGGTTGTTGTGAAATCCAAGTGAAGGACAGATGGATGATCGTCCTCCTCCTCAATCATGGACGTTAAAAAGTCTTCTTTCATTTCTTCTTCACAAGAAATCCATTCTTCTTCAAGGGGAGCAGTTATTGAAGAATCACTCATGGCCAATGGGTTCGAGGATTCCTTACACTTGGGAAAGACAAAATGTGCAAGTTGAGAATAGTCAAAGACATTTGACGGCGAGTCTAGATCATAAAATCTGCGCTGAACGCAATGCTTTGATCCATTCATCATGTGTGTCGTCATGTTGTGTGATACCTTTTTTTATGAATGTGTTAAAGTGCCATTCAAGACCAAGCGCTTTAAAAATCCTTTCTTTGCAACCGTCGCACAATAGGCTCCGAATGCTCACTCGTTATCTACTCCTCGGAACATTTCTAAATGAACACCTGATGCTCTTTACAGGCAAAAAGCGATGCAATCCAATCCATTTTGTTCTTTTTAATTTCCACCAAAAAAAGAGTGAATGACTATTAGATTAAAAGTCGAAACATGGAAAGAAGGATTCAACAATCATTTTAATAAAGGCGCCAAATAGGTTGAATGGGGTCATTGGTCGAACAGGAAAGAAATTACCCATGAACAAGATTGAGAGACACTTTTCAAGTTTGTGGATCATACGACATTGGCGTAATCTCCAATCTCCAAATGGTTCTTGTTTATTTAATCCTCAACATCTTTTTTGAATATTCTCTCTTGTTTAAACACCAACCATTTTGGGATTGAAGAATACACCGATGTACGATGGTAAGAGAGAATATTCAAAAAAGATGATGTGGATTGAATCATGATGAAAAGAGCGAGTGACCAAAGTTGGCTCCTTGCACATGAGAAAGTGAAAGTCATGAAAAGCAATTGTTCAGTCAATCGCATAATTGCAAATTTACTTAATGGTTTGGAAGTACATTTGGGAAAAAGATTCCACTGCCTCAACCATTGAATTGAACCTCTAAAACGAAGTGACAATAAAACAACAAGCCAAGCTTCTTTAATATTTTTGGGGAACCGAATGAGGAAAGTTTCAAACATTGATCATCATTAAGGTTGAAAGAATGAATCGAAAACATCGAATCCATTTTTCAGGACCACCTTTTTACACCTTTAACCATTCCAAAATGAAACTAAACTAACATTAAAACTATATTTTACGTCTTCATGTAAGGGTTGTAAAAATATATATGATGTTTAATCGACCAATTCTTCTGAAAAAGATATTTATAGAAACCACAAAATACTCTCTTGAATGATGTTATGAACTGAATTCAGGCAAGAATAAACATCTTTGAGCAGTACAAAGTGATCTCACTGCAAAAGTACTATTAAAGTCGAACAGGATGCTGAAGGCTGTTGTTGGTTGGATTGCTGTCCTCGGTCTGCTCCTAATGACAGCTGGATGCATCTTTTCATCTTTTGTCCATAAATAATGTTCTGTTGTTTTATTCGGCAACATTGGAAGGCCGTTGAGAAGGACAGTTTTCAAAGTTTAAATGAATTAATGTTCGTAAGGCAACTTGAGCAGGTGTCTTTTTCCTATTGAAATGAATAAAATAATGGGAACAATTGGCTACGGCCATATCACGATGAATACACCTCATCCCGTCCGATTTGAGAAGTTAAGCATCGTCGAGCTGCATCAGTACTGAGGTTGGAGACAACTTGGGAACCTGCAGTGCTGTAGCCTTTTTTGTCAAAGGACTTATTTAAGGAAAGTGTCAAACAACATTAGAGTCCTTTGTTGTATTTGTTGAATGACGACGAGAACAACAGTCGTCCTTTATTAAATGGCTTGTAAAATCCGAAAAGCTCTTAAAACTTGCCAATCAAGAGAGCAAGAACAGCACAACCCAACAAGTAAATCACAAATGCCACTCGACTCGTGACAGATGCTTCTTGTTGAGGATTTTGTGGCTGAGCTGGAGTACTTGGAACAATCACAGGTCTGGCATCAGGTATGGTGTTTAAAACAGCATTTCCGCATGATCCATCACTTTTAGCACTTGCAATGTTAATTTGAACAAGTCTAGCAAAATTATGCATATTGGTTTCATCGATACCATTGGGACCAATCGCTGACATGGTCGAACCAGCAATCAATAAATCAGCATCGGTACGAGAAGCATTGAAATCAAACATTTTACCACTAGAAACCACAAGCTTTCGCTCAAAGTAAATGTGCATGTCTCCCTTAACTCCTGTACGAACGATGGCAGTCTTGAGAGAGTTTCCTGGAGCACTTCCTGGAACACCATTACTGAATGGGACGAAAATGTTGTTGTTGTTGAAGTGATCGTCATATCATCGCCATCACAAATCAGAGTCAAAGGGGAAAACATTTGGTAGTGCAGAAGGATTGAATAAAATCAGAGTAGTATCAGGAGCAACAGTTCTTGTCGTAATGACAAATGTCATACACACAACAATACTTACCCGGATGCCAAAAATTCATAAAGTCCATGAGCATCAGTCACTGTATTTCTCCATCCCAAGTAAATGTGAGAATTGTACTTGACACTTCCCATCTTACCCAATGGTTCACCATTATCTGGATCGTAGGGCAATAAATAGTCTCTGCCGTATCTGAAACCAACAGCTGCCCAACCACTGCATGTGTGTGATTTTGTGAACATTTCAATGATCATTGAATGATGGTAGGATGATGATGATTATTTCATTCATTAAATGATTCACATGGGAACAATATTGTGAGTGTCAATAACAACAGAGAATGATGATTTGAAGAGAGAGAGGATCACCACAATTCCATCATCATGTGATCGATATTTCCAAAAATTTAAATTCATCACATGATGAAACCGTTACCGTTCGTATGATCACCAACCACAAGCTCAGAGAATTTTATATTACTTACTTGTAACCATTCTTAAAAATCAAACGAGCACGAATATAATCCAGATTATCGCTTCCTTTGAAGAAGTCCCATTGGAAATAATGTCCACCCACATTTATACAGTTTGTAAAATTGAGGTTTTGAGCTGTGACATTTGACACCGCCAAGCAAAGAGCGGCTGCTACAAGTAAAAGAACAACAACAAGTTTCATCTTGTTAGTTGAGTGTGTGAAGAGATCGAGGCACTGTCGGTTTTTTTCTTGGATGTGTTGCCTGCTGTGTTCGCACCAGTGGTGGTGGTCGAAGTGTTGGCTGTTGCTGATTCAAATCAGCCTGTCTTTAATCGTTGATTTGTGAGGAAACTTGGAAATTGCTGATTGGTGGGATCAGTGGAATTTTTTGGAAAGGTGACGGTTGAGGTGTTATCGAGGAATTGGATGACTTAGGGGACACGCAGCATCATGAAGACGAGTGAAAAGTCAAGCGATTCTGATTCGATGGAATCAGCTGAACAACTGATTTGTATGCGTGTTTTCAAAGATGTAGGATTTGATCATTGTTGGAAGTTGTCCATGTTGTGTCAATGTTGAAACAATGCAATTGATCAAAAGATGATCATAGTATGGAACAAGAAGAGGTTTATCGAAAGCACTGAACTCAAACAATATTGAGGAAAGAATGTTCAATATTCGAGTGTGTCCTGAAGTACATTAAAACATCACCTCCCACTTTCTAGTAGTCATTCACATGGTGAGGAGAATCAATGTTATGAGTCCTAATTAATGTCTCAAACTGAGTAAAGGCTCCCATTCTCATCATGAACTTGATTTGACCTTTTATGAATACTCCAGTGCCCTTAAATCTGCCATTACAATGATCGTGTGTGTTCTTTCTCATCTCTTCAAAAGCATCATCAAGAATTTGGAATTCATTTGGAGAGAGTTGTTTTTGATAGGAAGTTCCACTATGAAACAAATATGGATCAAGCATTCCAACAACAACAAATGATGACAAAAGATCATCGATGAAAGACCTACCCCGAATAAGTTCCAGAACAACTCTCCATCGGTGATATGGCATCATAGATCAATAAATAATTATTTAATCCCAACATGTTGGACAAGGAATACATTGAAAAATTATTACCACAACCATCGCAGAATTGCCACACGAGTTGAGCTCCTTTAGGTGGCTGCTGTGGACCCATCTGTTGTTGGAAATGATGAATTTTTTTTGTAATGTCTATTATTATTATATGAACTTGTGTCCAAGATCTTTATGTCTCTTTAGCTTGAGGTTTTTGTCATGCACGTACATTCTGATAACTATCCATTCCGTTTGCTATGAAATAGATGAATTCGAGAATAGTTCGTTTATCAAATATTTAAATATTGCAATACGTATGTGTTGCCGAGAGGAAATGAGACCAATCAAAAACTGAATTTTTTTAAAGTCAAAAAAAATGAATTTTTTGCGAGAATTATTCGGGAGTGGTCAATCATCACCTCCGACAACAAACAACACAAGCACAGGAGGAGTTCCCGCATCATCATCATTACCCTCAACAAATGTTCCCACAACAGATAACACTGAAATAATTTTGGCGACTCGTGATTCATCGTCTAGCGGAATAACAAGACTGTTGTTATCTCTCTCGGAAACCGGTTTAACCTTGCTGCTGACTTTCTTATCGATAAAATATTTATTCATGCCTTTGTTGTCCAATTTATTAGCTAACTCGAGCGGAAAGCAAGGTACAAGTAATTTGTTGCCAAGAAAAAAGAGAAAAATTGGCGAGTTGATATGTAGGAGCTTTGGTTTAGAGGAACCTAAAAAAGATGAAGAAACTTTCTACACAACACTCTATGAAAAGGCTTTAAACAAGTATGAGAAAATAGTTTCCGATTTTTTGGTATTACCCGAAGATTTAGATCATAATTTTAGTGATATTGGAGGAATGGAAAAACTGAAAAAGGAAGTTTATGAGTCTGTATGCTTTCCACTTAAATATCCACATATTTATGAGAATGCTACTGACTCTACCAGCATGAAATTGAGAAGATTACCAAAAGGTGTTTTGTTTTATGGTCCACCAGGTACTGGTATGTATTATTTATTCTTCACTGTGAACAATAATTTCAATCTGTACTTCACTGCCCTAATTAGGTAAAACAAGTTTAGCCAAAGCCATTGCAAAAGAATGCAACTGCGCGTTCCTGAATGTCAAAAGAGAATTCTTGTCCGACTTTTTGTACGGTGAGACAGAAAAACTGGTGGCAGCTCTCTTTAGCTTTGCCTCCAAAGTGAAGCCTTGTATAATATTCATTGATGAAATTGAGAGTCTTTTACCTTCAAGACAAACTAGCTTCCAAATGCATGAAGTATCTAAGGCAAGAATTAGTATCATCCTTTCAGCATGGGATGGATTTGAAACTTCATCAGAGGGTGACCAAGTTATGGTAATTGGAGCAACAAATTTGAAGTCACAGCTTGATACTGCGGCTTTAAGAAGAATGCCTCTTCAATTCAAGATTGACGCACCAGATAGAACAAGTAGAATCCAAATTTTGAAGCTCTTGTTGAAGAATGAGAGAGTATCACCAAATCTAAACTTTGAAAAGCTAGCAGATATTACTAATCGTTTCAGTGGAAGTGATCTTACTGAGCTGTGTAAAAAGGCTCTCTCTTTCCCAATTAAAGAGCTCATTGATAGAGAGTTGCAATCGAAAACTTCCATGACGAACATTATGCCAAGAGAATTGGTCTATGAAGACTTTGTTAAGGCAAGAGAATTCGTAAATCCAAGCTGCGTGGAAGAAAACGAACAATTAGACATGTCTCTTCTTGTCGACTAGTTTACTTTAACCTTTCTTAATTGGCTCACCGTTGTTGTTGTTGCGATTGAGAGGCTGACAGGCATTAGGCTTAATAACATTTGACGGTACAGAATTGGATACAGAACTTCAAATTTACAAAGTGAATAGTTTATTTGTTTAAACTTGACAAGTCACTAAAGTTTTCCTTTAATGACGTTCATTAGTAGACGTAGAATTATTCTCTAGGTGTGATAGATTTTTGGTTTGACCTGTTAAAGTAAGCCATGACAATCCATGCAACCTTGGCCTTTTCTTCTTGGCTGTACTTGGTTCTTGTGCAAGTTTTAATGTCGTTAGAATTGTACTTTCTTGCAATTTTTACAATCACACTTGCACATGGTTCAATGTCTTGCTCTGTGTAGCCCGTGTAGTATTGCAGAACATCGTCCCAACTATTCTTCTTTTGGCAAAGTCTGCCAGCAATGTAAATACAAGCACTTGATATTTGAGATGGGAGATAGTATAGAGAGGCTTCTTCGAGAAGAGACAACTCTGCCAGATAGTAAGCAAGGGCTAATTGATTGAAGTCACATCGAGCACATTTCAAGTACCTCTTCAAGAATGGATAGACAGTGGCAACTGTAATGTTGAAATCCAATTCTTTCAACAGAATTCTTTCCATCTTGAGAAGCTCTTCCTTAGAGAAGGCATGTGATGAGATTTCCACAATCTCGGACGATATTGGATATTGTAAATCTTCATATTTGGAAGCTACAAACATACAAGTTGCAGCCAATAATTGTAGATTTTTGAGAGAAATGTCTTGCAAGGAGAGGAATCGATCCAAAAGGTTCACCGCCAAAAAGAGAGTGGCATTGCTGAGTTGGAATTTCTGGTGCATCTCAATCATCCAATTCACAACTGTGAATCTGTGTTTATGTCTCATGATGGATTGTTTCGAGAGATAGGTTGGATCTGCTCGGTACTTGGTTTCAATCTTCTTAAGGTGGGAATGAATATCCTTAACATATTCTACACAGGACTGAGGATCATGGACATCGGACTTATCTATGCCTGGAGAAGTTAAGAATTCAGTGGTCTTCTTTTGGGGAGTACATGTTGTTGTATGTTTTTGAGAAGAGGTAGAACCATTACTATTGGTAGTGGCCGTATTCTCTCCGGAGCTGCTGACTTCCAGTAGTTGTGAGGTCTTTGATACTTGTGGATCCTTGTTTTCAGAGTCTTGTTGCTGTTGTGGTTGGTTGTAGTTGGATGTGGTTGAAGTGGATGAGTTCGTGTTGCTCTCATTGCTCACCTTTTTCAAATCCTTTCGTTCTGGATCTTCAGGCTTTTTTGGCCGCGTGATCATTTTGACTCGATTCACAATGGAAGAAAGAGCTGTCCTCATTCCTGCTGTATCTTCTTTGGTGCTTAGTACTCCTGCTGTGGATGAAGTATTCATGGTCTTTTTGCCAATGACTGGTTTGGAGGGATGAAGCGAAATTGGTTTGATGGGATCCTTGGATTGTATCGTATCGGTAACCATTGGATTAGTGTTTTCATCGTTAGGTACCACCATCGACAAGGTGGGACGTTGGTACATCATGGTGTGTTGAATTTTTTTTGTTTGTGATTTGTGAGCGTTTGAATAACGGTCGTGCAAGGCGCCATTTTTGTCTTGCCATGTTGCCGATCCCACGTACCTTAACGGACATTCATTGATGAATCGCAAAGCAGGCCAATAATTAACTAATTTCTTTTGGTCAACAATTACAGTGAGGATGTTTTTATTAGGAAAGCTCGGATGTATTATTGAGAAAAGTTGGTATTGAATAAACTAGGATCTGTTAAATACTGGATTGGATCTAATATGTGAAAATGTTGAGAAAAAAAGAGTATTGTTTACAAGAAATAATCAGGAGCTGGCTTTTTGCCTGGAATGCCACGAGATTCTTGTGGTGCAGATTCGAAAACTTTGAAATTCCTCTTTAGGTTTTCATCCAGTTCCAGAATTGCAGCTACGTTACCACATCTGTAGCAATAATTTGGAGCTGACCAGACTGTGACCAAGCTTTCATTGAACATGTGCTTGAAGCCCTCCATAACAAGTTGGTGAGCACGACAAATGAGTTCAATTCCGTTGGTTTGATTGAATTGAGCAACAACATCTCCTCCAAACAAATATCCAGCGCCTCTTGGACTCAAACCCCATCCATCAATATCTAATTTGGGAGTGTGTCATATTCGTTAAATATTTCGCCTGTTAATATAATCGTCAATAAAAAGACTTACCATCAGGATCAGACCACAACAAATCACACATTGGACCATCGTGTGGCACTTCTTGTTTTCTATCAATTTTACGGATTTGATCGAGGGTTGTGATTGAAGGAGAGAGGCCTCCATGGACGCAAAATACCTTATCTTCAATCAAGGCAGACAAACTCAGATAGTCAAATATTTCAGTACAATATCTCCAAACGTTTACACTTCCATATTTTCTGAGGCACTCATCATAAAATCCATAAACTTGTGTGATTTGTCTACTTTCGTGATTACCTAAAAGAGCAACAACCAAAACAGTGAAGTGAATAATATAAGAACAAACGAAAATCGAAAGTAATACCGACAAGGCAGATGATGATGAGGGAAATAACAGTTGCATAATGATGGTGTTCATAGAAATGAGTAAATAAACTTCATGCGATGAGCGTTCAGTAATACATACCTCTAATGAGTGTAATACGATCAGGATATCGAACTTTAAGGGCAAGTAACAACAAGAAAGTCTCTACACTGTAAAATCCTCTGTCCACGAAATCTCCCATGAATAAATAATTTGTATCAGGAATATCACCTCCGACTTTAAAAAGTTCTTTCAGATCATAGAATTGACCATGGATATCACCACAAACCTGTAATATTTGAAGATGAATCATTATTGATGGAGATGAATTCGTGAGAAAGGAAAAATCTTCACTGGTACTTACCGTTACTGGTGCAAAAACACGTTGTACGTTAGCTTCTTCAATCAGAATCTCCTTTGCTTTTTGACAAAGCGCTTTAACCTCTGATTCTTTAATGAGTTCACAACGTTTTAACTTTTCAATTTGTTTATCTAAATCGGAGTTTGAAGCCATCTTTTATATGTTTGATGATGATGAAATTATTTCTGCGTTGTTGTTGTTGGGATATTTGTACAAATAGCAGCAGCCGTTGTTGGAAGGAGATTCGCGATGGACAACAAAACCGAATATTTTTTATGACAAAAAAAAGTTCTCTCTTTGTGGTGTCTTTAAATAACTAGAGTAGCGGCAAAAAATGTCCTCTACAAAGACCTTCGAATACAACAACAAATCAAGCACTAGCACAGGATACAACAAAACAAAGAAGTATCATCATCGGAGCACATTGGGAAGAAATGGATCATCCAATCAATTGTCGAGCTCATCATTCAATGATTCGCATGGAAATTTACGGCCGAAAGAATGGGCAGATGCCAACAACTTTTTAACCTCCACATCAACTAGCATGATGAACAAATCTGTAGGAGAGATTTTAGACGAATTGAATAACATTCCATATCCCGTGAAATATTTAGATGTGGAGGTATGTGTTCTTTTTACTGCATCACGATTGTGTGTATGAATGAGAACGCCTGGTTAATTTTTCACAGTTTTGCTCAAATGTCATCCTGTCCATTTCAGAGCATTTAAAGAAAAATTCCCAAGATTTACTCATTTCAAAATTATGCCAATTGATTTCCACTCTTTCCATAAAACATGAGGTAGGTATTTCAAAAAATGATATGAATTAACAATAATTATCGTTTTCGAAACGTCCTTCGTTTAGATCCAATTTTCTGAAGAATCAGGAGGAAAACTGATTTTGAACTTGATTAGTTTTGTTTCATCTTCTTCGTCGTGGCTTGTAGCGGATTGTTTAAGAACTTTGAGCTTTATATTGTACGACATGGCTTCGAAATATTCTCAAGAAGTTCACAAATCAGTGCTGTCAGTTGTGATTCCTCAATCTAAAGTGTCAATTTCGGATATGGAGGTGAGAAGACAGGCCATAAATTGTCTTGTTAACATTTTCTCAAAGTCCTCTCCTGAATATCTCTCTCCTTACTGCAAAACTGTTTATTTATCAATGATCCAAAATTTTGAAATTTTGGCCAAGAATATTTCAGGAGATAATGGACTCCAAAAGATATTATATTCTGTGATGAAAGCTCTCAATTCTGTAATACAAATTGGAGAAAAAGTTCATGTTCAAGATATTGAGAAAATTGTGTCACATTTGACCAGATTAATGTTTTTTGGAACTAGTTTTTTCCCAGCTTCACAGACTTCAAATTCTTCAAAGAAAGGTAAGTTTTAATTTATGACGAGGATAATGTCTTACATTTTTGTTTTACTGTGTTAGACTCGAGTGGTTTTGCATCTGATTCGGATTATTCCGACTCTGACTCACCTATGGTAAATAGAGAATCTATCAAAATCCGTCTTCAAAGTTTGCAATTATTGACTACCCTAGCCAAAAAAGATTTTAAATCATTGTTCGCTCAATGGAAAGTCTTTATTCCTGAAAGTGACAGTTTGAATCCAACCCCTAAATACAAACAAACACTATCAACAGCAATTTTATTTGATCCATCTTCAAAAGTAAGATCTGCAGCTGTACAAACTCTTGCCTCCATGTTGGAGAACAGTGAGTTGTATCTGGCTCAAGCGAGCGAAGTTAGAACCAAGTCTTCAGCTTTTACATCATTCTCACAAAGTCTGGCGCTCATGATCAAGGAATTACACCATACTTTAATTTATTCTATCCAACATGAAACGTTACCAGTTTTACCTTTATCCATTAGGGTATGTTTTTGAAGAATTCTTTTTTTTTTGCAACTCCTTGACACTTTTTATGAAGACTCTCTCGTTACTCATTGAAAATACGCCTTATTTAAAAATGAGTTGTGAAAGTTTATTGCAAAAAATTGCAGAAATATTAGTTGCAAATATATCATCAGGGCATGTGGATAAAACTGTACAAAATCAGTCATTTATATGTCTTGCATCATTATGTGGCACCAAGGAACCTTTAAATGAGGTTGGATCAATATTATCAGACACCAAACTAAGCATTGTTGTAAACCTTATTAATTACCTTTCAGATGAGTATGTGTATATAATAAGAACAGAGTCTGCACAAGTTCTAGCGAATATCGCCAAAAACTATCCGGATTTTCTCTGGGACTATTGGCATATTATTTTACAAAAGATAAGACTCGGTCTAAATCATCATGATCAGAGTAAGTATCGATCGAATTCATTGAGTACGACCTTTAATAATACCATCATATAGCATTGAGATTGACTCTAATTCAAATCATTAATAACTTTACATCTCCTTTCAGTGAATCTAAAATTCCAGCTGTGTCCATTAAAAAACCAGTGGGAGGATTCAACACTCATCAAATTACAGATACGATATGGGAAAATATTACTGAGTCCGTACTGGAATTCGCTATTGCTGACAATAATCAGACAATACGATCGGCAGCTGTTTCTATTTTCTCTAATATTATTCCAGAAACATTTGAAACGTTTGGAAATCAACTTTCTGATCGAATAATCTCACTAGTGTTTTCAATGATGATGGACGAATCCCCAAATGTGAGACAATCAGCATGTCGTACCGTTGGAGTTTTTGTTTTGTTCAACAGATTGCAAAATGATTACAACTTTTTGAAGAGAGCCATGCAAGATTTTGAGACATTGTTGATGGATTCTTCTTTGAATGTGAGAGTACGAGCCTCATGGTCACTTGCAAACTTGTGTGATACCTTAAGACTCTCAGATACACTCAAAGACAACAACACAGATTTAGTGCTACCAATATTAATCTCGTGTTTAAATTCATGTCATGACAACGACAAGGTTTTATGCAATGCAGTGCGAGCACTAGGAAACATTTCCAGCTTTGCAAAAAGAGAAGTATTAGAACATGAAATATTCAAATCCAACAATAACAAATATAGCTTAGAGCCAGACTCACATGCCACAGAATCAAAGACGGTCGAGAACTTTCTACTTGAGAAGTTTATACAGACTTTAAACTCAAAGTCGACTTCTGTTAAGGCAAGATGGAATACTTGCTATGCTCTTGGAAGTTTGCTTATGAACACTAATATTATTTCTACTGGAACCATCGATACAGCGGTCAATGTTTTATGTGATGTACTTTCAACGGATGATAATTTTAAGGTGAGAATTCAAGCTGTATTGGCTCTCTCCTTGACAAAACATTATGGGACCGAGCTAAATAATTTCAGAGTATGGAAGAGTCTAATAGAAGCCTTGCAAGTACTCTCTTCAGACAATCCCACAGCTCAATTTTCAGAGTACAAGTATATTAAGACCCTCAAGAAACAGCTACTTTTTACTTTGGTGCATTTTACAAATCATGTGAATTTGGACTCCTTCATTAGAAGCAGCGTACAAGTACAGGAATACATGATTGAAAAAGCTGGAGAGGTTCTTGCGGCTTCTTTCTCGGATTGTGAATGGGAGGATTGCTATAGTGAGACCATCAAGAAGCTACAAACATCGATTGTGGATCCTCTTGAGATGGAAGAGGAATCGTCTGCACTTGCTGCCGTTCTCAAAAGACATACCTATCAATTCTAAGCATGTTCACCACCATTTTAAATCATTTAAAAGACGATTTTCAACATCCTAACATGCAATGACATCTCGATGATTGAACACAGACCTCACTCTATCTCTCGTCTTCCATGGAATTGCGATGAACAGAGTTCATTCTCTAAGGTTGTGCGCTAGCCTTAATACGACAGCTAGCAAGGCTTGATGCTGAACCTACAACAACAACGACAACATTAAAAAAATATATCACTCGATCTCACTACAAAAATATGGCCTCAACTTCTGAATGTAAACTTGCTGTGGTTGGAGGAGGTAGGTTTATTTCTATTCATCATCGTCCTATCACGGATTGAGAAATGATTTTTTTCATTGCTAGGTGGTGTTGGTAAATCTGCTCTTACCATCCGATTCGTCCAGCCTGATACCTTTGCTGAAGAATATGATCCAACTATTGAGGACAGCTATATTAAGCAAGTAACAATTGATGGTGTAACATATTTCCTTGAGATTCTTGATACTGCAGGACAAGAAGGTTTGTGTTTCATCTCGTAGTTCATCATTGAATACAATTATAATTTCCATCTACTCCATTAAATAGAATATCAAGCCTTGAGAGATGACTACATGAGAAAGGGCCACGGATTTTTGCTCGTTTTCAGCATTATTGAGAGATCAACCTTTGATGAGTTGAACAAATTTAGAGATCAAATCTTGAGAGTAAAGGACAAGGACAAAGTCCCAATGGTAATGATCGGCAACAAGTGCGATTTGGAGGAGGAAAGAAAGGTTTCTACTGCTGAGGCAAAGAACAAGGCTGAAGAATGGGGCATTCCTTTCTTTGAGGGTTCAGCCAAATCCCGAATCAATGTTGAGGAGTCCTTCTATGAATTGGTGAGAGAAGTTAGAAAGGAGAAGGAGCAACAAAACACCTCTCCCAAGAACACCAAGAAAGCACCTTCCGGAAAGAAGAAGAAGGGCTGTTTGATCTTGTAAAATACTTGGCATTGAATATCGATCCAGACTAGGATCTTGAAGCAATACCAGCAACCCAATAAACAAAGAGAAAGAATCCTCTTAAACAAACGAGACTTTATAGGAAAACCTTTTTAGACACTATGCTCGCTCCGTGTTCCTCGTATTCATTCTTTGTAATCCACATGTCATTGAAAGAAGGAAGCGAGGCAAGTATAGAACCACCTAACCAAGTCGTGTACGCTCTTTCATTAGGGGCCGATATTCTCAAAGAAGGTACATCTTTAGGGGCAAGCCGCTTCAGCTCAGAAAGCATACGCTGACAAAAGCCTTCAAACAATGTCGATCCTCCTGCAAAGTACAAATTCGAGTATAAATCCTTTCTAATGTCCAAATCTGAAGAGTTGATAGAATTAATGACGCATTCATGAACACCCATATATTCAAGTCCAATTAAATGTGGTTTGAAGAGAATTTCGGGTGCCATAAATCGCTCTGCTGACATGGAGACAAGCGACCCGTCTGGCAATTTGAAGTTTTTGGACTCACATAAACCTTTTTCTTCTTCCAACATTTCTTTCTCGTAATTTTGAGCTACATACATCAAATCACTTTCCTTAATAGATTTTACTACCTCTCTCTCGCTGGATGTATGAAAACTGTAGCCAGATTTCCTAAGAAGTATTTGTAAATAGTTCGTAATATCACGTCCTGCAACATCAATCCTAGTTATTGCATTTGGTATTGCAAATCCATCATAAATTGGAACGGAATGTGTCACACCGTCACCACTATCCAGAACTACTCCTGTCATCGACCCAGAGGCATACAAGCTCAAGACAGCTTGTAAAGAAAAAAACAATTTTGGAACATTGTAGGATTCAAAGAAAATGTCGGCAGCCTTTTCCCTATTTTTCTTTGGATTCAAAGGAGCTTCTGTTAACAGTACTGGGCTATCTTCTTTGCGGAATGTATCCCCTAATCCAGTTTCCTTGTCCATTAAATACGAATATAAATAATCCCAAACTTTCTCCATGGCAGTCCAATCTGTGACGACTCCATGTTCCATAGGGTAGACGAGTCGTAATATTCCTCTCTTTTCTTCAGCAACTTTTCCGACACAACAATCATATTTTGGCCCTGCGACTGGCATCACTCGTACATGTTTTGTAAATCCAACGCTAAAATTTCAATAAGACCATATATTTGATGAACTTTCATACTTACAAATTATTAAATACTATATGTGGTATCTCATCTCCTGCCAAGCCTGCTTTAATGATTCCCGATCCCTTTTTGAAAATGTATATACATTCATCATTGTATTAAGGATTCATTTTCCAATCATACTGTTTCTCTCCTCACTTACATTATCGATCACTAGAGGCGTTCCCTTTGCTTCCATTTCTGAAATTCAATGCAGTGCTAATTATATTGTAGTTTTGATCCGATGGTGATGATTGAATGTTCTTCTCAACGAAATGTATGCATGCAACTCTTTGGTTGTATTTTTTCTGTAAATGGTGAATGATGATGAAATGTTTCGTTTCATACATTGTATGATGAGGCTTCAAGGATGAGGAAGATGATGATGAAATAGTGATACCAATCCTAAATTTTGCCACTAATGATAATGTCATCAATTATATTGTTCATCTTGCAGCCTTTTCTCATGTCTACTAAATACTCTCAAAAAGAAAACAAAAAATGGCTTCATCGTTGATACCTGCTATTCCATCATCGGAAGAAGTTTATCTTGCTCCTGATGCCATTATTAAAGCCTTTAGTTTTACTTTTGTTGTTTATGAAAAGGGAAATGCACTGTCTTTTATATTTGCACTGTGTGCTCTCATTCCGATTTTTATAGTGGTGGCAATGGCTGTAGTCTTTTTTGTAAATAGAGAATATCAATCGTTATTTATCATACTTGGAGTTTTAGTCAATGAAACGGTGAATGATTTTTTGAAACACCATTTTGCACAGGATCGACCACCCAATTTATTGGTGGCAAAATTTAGAAATGTGGATCCTACTACAGCCACAGAGTTAGTGGAACATTTTGGAATGCCCTCTTCACACAGTCAATTTATGTTTTTCTTTGTTTGTACGGTATTGTGCTGGTTTAAAGTGAGATCACGACAGTGGAAGAATGTGACATTATTGGGTTTATTTGGATTGGCATCTTTGGTAGCATATTCACGAGTTGCCTTGCATTATCACACAGTTTACCAAGTATTAGCAGGAAGTTTTGTTGGACTTGTGACTGGAAATTTATGGAGATTATTCATTGCCCGAGTGTTGGAGCCAAAGCTCATTCCTTTTCTGGATTCATTTAGCTTTTTGAAAGACTTTTTGTGCTTGCATTCAAATGAAAATATTGAATCAACAGTTGAATTTCAAGCATTATCGGCACGGAGTCTTGGCAAGAAAATTAAATAACGGCGTTTGGAAATATCAACAAAGACGCTTAAATAACATCTACAATTGACTCAATATCGTCGTCATGGCTTTCAGAGTTAGAATGAGACCCCTGACTGGAGGAACGTCCATTATGCTCCTCGAAATCTTCAACGACAGGCGGAGGCGTTTCCTGATTGTCATTTAGAGATTCTGTTCTGTTGGCAGCTTCTGTGTCTCGCTTCAAAGAGGTTCCCTCATAAGGATCTAAACCTTTTGACGCTATATATTGTTTAAGATACTTATTTTCAATCTTAAGCTTTTCATAATCTTCTGCGTCAAAATCCATATTTTGTCGAACAATTCTTTTCCATCGTTTGTTGTCTTCCGTAAGTAATTTAATTTTCGCTTTAAGTTGAGGAATTTTTTCCAAATGCATGTGTCGTTCTTCTTCCAATAAACTTTTAAGACTCTCAATGCTGTTGTGAATTTGAACTCGTTTGATTTCTTCGTCCTCGTTCTCATCATTCCTCTCCACAATCTTCAAAAGGCCATTCAGACCTCGCACATCTTCCTCAACCTTAGCAATTAGGTTTCTCTTGTCACCACCAGTGATGGGAGGTAGCTTACTTTCAAAGAGGGGCTCGTTGGTTAGCGAATCCAAGTTTTTAGCTGATACCCTCTTCCTCTCCACTAGAGGAAATTCCACTACAGACGATTTGATCTCTTGTCTAAAACTTTTTTCTGTTTTTGGGGATGTTGTGAGTGCTTTCGCTTTGTAAAGTGCAACTTCATCTCGTAGAAGTTTAATCTCTTCTTTTAGTTTCAAAATATACTTCTCTTTAGGGTCCATCTTTGAAATGGGAATGTTCTTGATTTTTTTGACTCTTGAAGCATAGATGAGTGTTTTTAGCGTTTCTTCTGCGTACTTTGCAGAAGGTGTTAAACATGCAATCATGAGTGTCTTACTTTCTCCTCCTAAAGAGTCCATTAGTAACTTCGTTAATTTGCTATCTCTATAGGGTATATAGGGATTGTCTTTTTTCGGTGAGCTCAATAAACTAATTACTTTTCCTAGAGTTAATAGTGATTTGTTAATACTGGATGTCTCTGTCACAGATTTCGATTTAGATATTTTAAGTTTTTCACTTCCTGCCAGATCAACAAATCGAATCGATCCATATCTCTTACTTTGGAAACCATCAATTGGATCTGTGGATGAAATATCAAAATGTATTGAAAAAATTGAATGACTTCTTGAGGAATCTCTATTCAGCTCATGAGACGAGACCTTTCTGTTCGAAACACCTTCGTTAAACACTGTCATCAGCTCGTCAAGATTTTCAACTTCAACTAGACATAAATTTTCAACAAAAAATCCGTCCTTATTGCTCCATCGGACTGGTAAATTTACAGATCTTAGATTAAGTAAATCGTTCACTTGTTCTTGATAAATTTCCAAGCAAGATACTCTCATTCTAACTCGAATCTGGTGAGTTTCCTCAGGTATTGACATCATTTGATTCAAATAATCGAAAATATAGATTGCTGAACGAGGGACAATTCCCGGTGCATCATCCTCACCCACAATTGTGTATGTCTTTAAGACAGGATCGGGTTAAACATAGTAAAGAATTTTAGCGTTTCATACCTTTCCACACCCAGTTTGACCTTCATTGGTCACTTTAATTTTCTGCATATTCATTTTTCCACTTACCGTATGCAAAAACTGTAGATGCATAACCATCAATTGCATACTTTAACAGATCTGAAATTCCTGACTCTGAAAAAACTTCATCTTGGGTTGAATCAGGTCCAAAACACCGATCAAACGTGAAACCCTTATCTCTATTATTGCCCTTAGGCTTGTGTGCGGCATTTGAATTTACCTATGAATGCAAAATTAGAGAAAAATCAATAAATCATCAATAAAAATGCAATCACCTACATTGACAGAAACATTATCGTACTCCAAAGCGAACTCATCTCCTCTCTAAATATTTAAAATTTAATATTTTCGATCGTTCGTGGGGATGCAAGTTCGTTGTTGCATGCCGCCCTCACGAAGCACGTACTTACTTTCTTCTCTTTATTGCTCATTGGCCGTATCCGAACACAAACTTTAATGGCTTCTTTCTGAGTAACGTCATTCTCGGAGAGATCTCCTCCTTGCTCGCCGTTGTTGTTCTGCTCGTTCGAGCTGTCAGCAGCAAAAGGCATCATTTTTATTTGATGAACTCTTTTTGCGCCAGTAATGTACAAAAGGTGATCTAGGGCCTTGGACTCCTTGAAGGAAACTTATGAACAGCAAAGGTAATACTGTTGAGATCAAAAGGTTACATAATCATTGGATCACCTAATTAATAACTCTTTGTTGTATTGGACTAGTGCGATGACGAATCAAAAACCAAGTCTTTTTGGCGCCTTTTGGCGCCTTTTTTCCTTTTTCATTTGCAAAAAAAATGTATGGATTTCCATCAACACAACAGCAGTATTACAAATTAGAAAGCACATCATCAACCGATGACGCAACACAAGAACAATTGCTTGTGAATTTGTGCCAAGAATTAAAAATTTTATACAATGAAACGCTAATTGAAAGAGCGAAATTTATATATCAAAAGGGAGCATCACTCTCACAAGTTTTAGAATTTGGCGTATGTTTTTTTCGACACATGTGAATATTTATCACTAACATCATCAATCACTACAATAGTCTAATAGACAAGTTTATCTTGCATTTTGTTCTCTGTTTATCGCATCAAGATTGGAAAGCCCAAATGATCTATACTCGGACGAGCAATTAATAGAATATAACAAATTTTCACTAAAGATAGACGGTCCTGTGTCGATCGGAAGTTTAATACACAAACCAAACATGAAGTATGTTATTACATTGTGATTTGATGCTGACAAAAGCGCTAATGTTAAGTTTGGTTGAAACATTTGAGTTGTTGAACAACACGTTGGTTTCGCTTCAGTTCGAAAACTCAGCTTGCTACTCTGTGCTCCAAAAATCTCAAAAGAAACTTATTCTTTGTCACTATTTATTTGAAAGATATCAAGAATGCTTTAGAGAAATTATTACACCAACCACAAATACAGATCTATTCAAAGTTGGCTGGATTACATTAGTAGTATTGTGTAGACGTTTACCATCTGTTCTTCTCGATTTTACAGAGAGTGCAAATTGTCTAATTAATTTTATGATCTTTTTTTGGAAGACTGCTAAGGATGTAAGACTGTCAGAAACCATTGATGAATTATACTCAATATGTAACATCGCTAAGGATAAGGTAGATCCAAGATATGACGAATTTATCACAAACACACTGAGACAATTGAATATTTCAGATTTTACCGAATATGTGACCGGCCAAGATTCCCTAGCTCAAATCAATTCAGTGTTTGAAAAGGATGTTGATAATACACTTGGATCTCTTGGGTTTGATGAAAGAATATTCATGTATACCAACGATATTAACATTGTTGGTGACATTACAAAACTAACCTCAGCACCAGTATTCCAACTGAATCCGCCAAGACAGTCACACGTGAACGATCCATTCAGATCTCCACTGAAATCACCAGGTCATGGTGGATTTTCTATTCCTCTAACACCTCTCCAAGCAACTCTACAGGTGACTCAAGTTATTGAAGAGTCTGTTAAAGACACTTCCCCAGGTCCTGATGAAGCTCTGTTGACATACTTTAAGTCATGCAGCCCTGACCAAACTGCTACAATTGAAAATAGGCTATCAAGTCTACTGGAAAAAGTGAATCTTAACAACCTTTTCACGTTCAACTCTTTAAAACGAAAATCAGAGATTTCAAAAATTTATTACAAAACTCTAAAACACATGCTACAAGCAGAAGAAAAAAGATTAGGTGGAGCTACAAACTTTTCCAATCTTTTAACAAACGAAAATTTCCACAGATCATTAATAGTTTGTGCTGTAGAATGTATTGCTTTTGAATATAATTCAAAGGACTCAATCGGCCTCGTTGATCTTCTAAATCATTTTGCTTTGGAACCTTTTGAATTGTCCATAGTGATTGAGAGTTTTGTTCAAAATGCAACATGGTTAAATAGTGCTCTGAAGCGACACTTCAAGCACGTTGAAGAGCGCCTTTTAGAATCTCTTGCTTGGAGAAAAAACTCTGTCCTCTATTCAAAACTTTCTAACTCTACAATTGTACAGCCTCCAAAACCTGGAAGTGAAACACCAAGCAAACATCACTCTCATGAAACATTTGGAATGTATAGCCCTATTGCATCCAGAAAACAACCTGTTTCCAAAGGTTCTAACTCAGTTCAATTCTTCTTCCGTAAGATGTATAAATTAGTTTCGAGAAGGATTCAAGAACTATGCTATAACTTTAATCAAACTCAACAGAATGCATCTGATGATCCAATGATCATAACTATGGATTTAATGGAACAAGTTTGGCATATTGTATATTATGCGCTAAATGAGGCTAGAACCATAATGGTCAATAGACACATTGACCATGTGATTATGTGCTCCATGTATGCAATTTGTAACAAGGTTAACCGAATGAGAATTTCATTTAAAGATATCATTTTCAATTATAGATTAATATGTGAAAATAATAGGTCTCTTTCACCAGTAGAAATTGGAAAGATATTATGGCAAGTACCCCTCGACAAGGACGGAGAGTTTGGAGATATTGTGAAATTTTACAATAGTGTGTATATTCCTGCCGTGAAAAGCTTTATTCTTGATAAGACTTCTGGAAATTCTCAATTCGAAAGACCAGAGATGCCATATGTTGAGCTATTCGCCAAGACTAAGATTGCTCCGAACTTTGTTCTTTCTCCAAGAAAGTCTCAATACTCAAGGAGTGCCTTACTCTCTCCGTCTAGAGACTTTCCTGCAAGTATTCATCTCACTCCTAGAACAAAGGCTCTCTATGAATTTGGTTCTTGCAGTACCAAGAAGCACTTTGACGTGATTTCATCTTCGAACAATGATATTTCTCCATCACCAGGTGGTCAAAACGTCGCAAGCGACTTTTCCAAGAGAGGTGTAAAACGAACATTAGATTTTGGAGAAGAAACTGAAACTAGTTCGTCGAATGATCCTGAACAACGTAAGTTTGTGAAGATCCATCAACAGGAACAATAAATCATGTTCTTTTGAAATATATCTCTGAATGATTGCATTTTCTTTTGATTGATATCGACTTGTCCCTACTATAGACATGTATTGACGGTCATCTCTTGTGATTGGATGAAAGATCTGATACGCACTTGCCAATGCTCGTTTTCGTCTCTCACATGACCATTCTTGGCAATCATGACTTCCTTAAAGTTGTTCAAACAACAAGTTCCTTTCTAACGGAGAGAATCTCTCGAATCGAGAGTGTGTTTCGCGAGAAACAATGTGAGGCGATAGAGATGTCTGCAGAGCCAGCTGAAAAGAGCATTAGGAGGCGATACAGGCACCTCATACCCCGAGTGCCACTTTGTGTTTCGCGCATAAGCTCTCAATAGATCCAAGAGCGCTCGATTGCATCTACGGCTCCTGTACACGACGCGCTGCTCTCTCTCTCTCCATGCGCGCTCTCTCTGGTTTGGTGCTTCTCCAGCTGTCTCAGGCATCACCATCTCTCCCTCACGACCTTTCTTGAAACCAACCACAAACAGCAACAGTCGCTAACGACTTTAAAAAAAATATATGGACCTCCACCTCTTCTAAGGGATACCCATCATCTTTGTGTCATTGTTATCATAATTTATAAGAGAGAGAAAAGATAACTACAACAACAACAGCATAAACATCAAAAGTACCGAAAGTGGGCTGTTCATATATTCTTTGACATTGTTCAATCGTTAAGATAGTGTACTCATCATCTCTAAACATCAAACCTTTGAATTCATTCGAACTTTCACCTCTCTTGAGCACTCCTAGGAATGTCAGAATCACCTACAAAGTATTTCGATGAGTCAGATACATCATCAACAAAAAGCGGAGGAGACGAATCCAAGAAAAGGTCAACGGTCATTAAGGACTCAAAATCTAACGCCAGTCTTGGACAAGATACCTCTCGGAAAAGAGAAGGGACGTTGATGGATCGTCTCGTAAACACATCAAGTACGGCCAATCTTCTTCAAAGCAAAAATAGTATATATGCCGTTTCCACTTCATCGTTAATACCTCAAGACTTTTTTAGCCTTGCCAGAACCAACTTCTCTGATGGAAAGCAAAAGGACATGACATTGGCCTTGTATCAATTTAGTGGCCTCAACGGACTAAACAACAACGACGAAAACGTCTTTATCAACAACTGCTTGACCCTGATTCACCCAATAATACAGAAATACCACGGTGTTTTCCATAAATATTACGATGAGTATCTCATTGTAGTATACGAAGCACGGCATTCGCAACAAGCAATAGAATGTGCTTTCGATTGTATCGAGGCAATAAGGAAGAATGCACTGGAATGCTCAAAGTCCAGTAGCTATTCGGCTCCGGGAGCAGAAAGGAACTATGTCCTCCTAGAAAATATCAATATTGTTGTCCATACATGCCCTTGTAAAATTGCTCCTGTTCATTTCAATGAAAAACATTCTGATTTTACGATCATGACACCCTCTAAGGATATGTTGAGAAGAATGGCAAACCTAGGCAGAGTGTATGATATTCCAATTGTTATTTCTTCTCAAGTTGTACAGAAAAGCGAAATACTCAACTCGAAAAACTTCAACAACCCATCAATGAACATTGCACCAATAGGAAAATACTTTCTTTCTAACACGTCGACAGAACTCTTTCAAGTGTTCGACACAAATTGGGACGTGTTTCTATATTCTCCTGACAGAAGGAAGGATTTTAGAACCTCTCTCGATATGTTCCAACAACGAAAATTCATTGCTGCCATGAATATTTTCTCGAAGTTACACAGAATGAATGACAATGACAAACTATCCTTGTTATTTGTCAAAGTTTGCAGAATGTATCAACAAAGTGAATTACCGCCACAATGGGACGGTGTCATAATGTTGGACAAGGACAGTGAACCATATCCTATTAGCAAAAAACCAAAAGGCTTCTACATCCAGGCAGGTATTAGTGCCTCTTTCCATCTTGGTGACGAGCAATTCATGTCACATGGCAAAGATAAAGAGGAAGAAATACGGCTGTTAACAGAATCCCTAAATCAGAAAGCCCTTATGATCAAGGATATGAAGGAGATTTTGTCGGTCAAAGAAACAGAACTTGCTAAACTTCATGAAATTACTGAACTCTTGATGAAGGAAAAGAAGCAACTAAGCCAACAACTAAAACAAAGCAACGAAAGAAAAGCAGTTGACAAAACAGCCCAGAAAAAGCTTCAGCAGCAAGACAGCAAAAATCTTCAAGCCATGAACAACGCATCAGGAAATGAACATCAACCATCCGCACAGATAATCTCCCCAGCAGGAAACAACGCACACAGCCGAGAAGTTGAACCTGGGTGTATGGGAGGACTGTTTTCATGTTTTGGAGGCTCCAAATCAAGCTCTCAGCGAAACAATCGTCACCGAAATGGAAGAAAGAAATATGTAGGAAACCGAGTGACTCCAGTAAATCAATAATTATTTCGTTATCATCTACATCTTTTTAGAATACAAAAGAAGGTTTCCTCTTCCAATACCAGCAACAGTCAATCAATTTTTTTGTTGGTAAAAAAATGAAGCAAAGTTTCCGAACCTCAGGGCTAGTACGCTTTTCCTATCATCACACTATGATCGGATCTAATTTTTCCAAGATAAACAAGAATGTTCTTCAACATCATGATACATTCTGCAACGTTAAAACATTGATCAAAAATTATTTATTTAATCCATTACAATACTTTTCATACAGAGCCTACAATCCCAAAAATACAAATCGGACAACAGCTCCGAATTTTGAAGTTCTATTAACTGAGAATGAACCACCCGCTAACTTTGCATATCAACATACTTCGGATCCATCAACCGGCTTAATTGGATTAAACATAAAGTCTTTGGAAGATTTTGAAGTGTTAATGCGAAATGCCCATAAACGTTGTGATGATTTACGGAACAGTATTGTAAAATTGAAAGAAGAAGATTGTACTTCTAAAAAAGAATATGCTGAAAAGATTTTGGACATGTCCGACGAAATTTCAAATCAGCTCTGTCTATTTCTTGATGCAATGGAATTCATTCGATGTGTTGATCCTAGAACCGGATTTAGACAAAAAGCTGATGCCGTACACACTGAATTCTCCCAATATCTCCACAAATTAAACACAGATGTTGTTTTGCATCAGAAAATCTTAAGCGTGGTCAAAGATAAGTCGCTCGTAGAGACTTTAGACCAAGTTCAGGAGAGATGTCTTCGCCTACTTCAAGAAGACATGGAGAAACATGGTGGTGTCCATCAACAAAAAGAGGAAGACAAAACTGTTCAGCTACGCTCATATATGGACACATTGTCATATTTATTCAGTGAATCAGTATCCAAGTACAACAACCTCGAATCAAATGATATGAAGTTTATAGAAGTTAATCCAGGAGATGTTTTATTTAAGAAAGGAGCCAAATACCTGTTTAAGAGTGATGACAAATATTATGTGAATCCAATTTATTATACAAATCTATTAGTGAACCAGAAAGATGAAGCAACTCGAAAAATGATTTATCAAGCCAAATTTTCTTCATCAGAAACCAATCTCTCAATTTTAGATGAGCTTCTAACAGCTAGAGACGCCTTTGCCAAAGAACTCTCTTATCCATCCTATGCACATTGGTTTTTGCATGATCAGTGTGCTCGCACTCCAGAAAATGTGATCAAGTTCCTCACAGACCTCTCAAAAAGTATAAAACCAAAAGTAGAACAAGAGTTAAAAATTTTGAGAGAAATTAAGAAGAGCGATGACATTTATGAATGGGATCTTTATCATTTAAGAAGTATTGCCATCCAAAGGATTGAATCACCATCCGTATTTGTCTCAGATTATTTTCCTCTTCATAAGGTGATGGAAGGAATTTATAATATTTGTTTGAGTTTATTTGGAGTACATTTAGAACCAATGAAATTGTCTCCTGATGAATCTTATCACTCTAGTGTAAGAAAGCTTGCAGTAGTTCATGAAACGGAAGGATTACTAGGTTACATTTATTTGGATCTTTTCAGCCGAGAGTCTAAGAATGTAGAGGCCGCCAACTTTAGCATTCGATGTGGAAAAACAACAATTAATCAAAAACCAGTGACAGCCCTTGTGTGTAATATTGATCCAACAGTGGTAGACAACTTCTCTGCTGATCGTGTGTATCTTCTCTCCCACTCTGAAGTGACCACTATCTTCCATGAATTGGGCCATTCTCTTCATGTGATTTTTGGACAAACTCCTTATCAAAATCTATCTGGTACCAGAACAAGTATTGATTTTGTTGAGACGCCTTCTCAATTTATGGAACATTTTGCATGGGATTACAGAGTGCTTCAAACATTTGCAAGGCACTACAAGACAGACGAACCATTACCACTCTCTCAATTTGAATATTTAAAGAAGCGAAAGCAAATGTTTACTGGATTGGATGTTGAGGAGCAAATCATGTTTGGACTCATGGACATTACCTTCCATTCAGGATGGCCCATTATCGACCCAGTGACCAGAACCAAAAAGTCAACATCCCAAGTATTTGCCGAGTTAAAACAAAAGTATGCTTCGATTCCATGTTGCGAAGGCACATCATACCCAGGTCAATTCATTCATTTCAGTAACTATGGAGCTGGTTATTATTCCTACCTCTATTCTAAGGTTTTTGCTGATCACATGTGGTACAAGTTCTACCATCCACTCGAGAATCCATTGAACCGAGAGGCTGGAGAAAAATTCAGAAAAGAAGCATTGTGCGGAGGAAGTAAGGATCCAACCTTAATTGTTCGAGATATGCTTGGTGAAGAACCCAATCCTTCCTATTTTTTGAAACAGTTTGATTAAGGTGTTTTTGAAATTTTATTGTTCTTCCATATCTCCAATAGAGAGTTTCTTTCTCTTCATATCATCCACATTTTGTAAGGTGGCCAATTGTGAGGAATAAATATTTCTAAAGATTGCAAGAGTATCAATTGGTATTTGATATAATTCATTTCCTTCATCGACAACGTGAGCTAAAAAGTTTACCAAATTTGGTGAGCTCTTTGTGGAAATTGCATCTCTAGCATGATCTATACACAATATTTCAACAAATTTCTTAATAAAATCTAGTGAGAAAGGAGGTTCAATCATATCAAGAATAGAGTTAATAACATGTCTAACCAAAGACATGTCCATTCTCTCAACGATAAGATCGTGAATGGTTTGAAGAGTTGGTAGCACATAACCTAGTTGCATTAGATAAATAATAACGTCAAGGAAAACTTTCTTAATTTCAATGGCTTGAAGAGGATCCAAATCTCCATGGTTTGCATAATAACATTTCTTGACAATATTCAATACTGTGACAGAAAGTGGCTCATGTCTAAAAGCAATTTCTTTAAGCAGCGCCATATACATTCTGGTGTTGTTCAAAGTGAACATTGTGATGGAGAATTGAGAATCTGTAAATATGACTCCAACCCAATACAAAATACCTGCACAAACCACATTGTATATGAGACAAGGCCTAAAAATGGAAACGCTTTTCGGAAGTGTAGTGTTCGAACAAATGGAGATTGCTTTTTCAAGTGCTGCTGATAAAGGATTTAAATTTGTGTGGTTGTTCTCACCAACAACGGATGAAGCATAGGCCAATACGTAAATGTATTTTGGTCTATGTGCTGGATTAACTTTTTTTGATGGATTAAAGAGATCTTGTACGAGTAAATCCAAAACGTCACTACTTTGAATAAATTCTACAGGAGGAGGATTGGAATTGCTATAATATTTGTACAATTTTAACACGTCTGTAGGATTGGTTGCATTGTTATTCAGCATGGAAAGAACAATTGTTGAAATGTCACTAATCGCAGCTGATTGAGCGTAGTCTGTTTGTTCTCTCTTATAGCGATACTCGTATTCAAGAAAAAGATATCGTATCTTTCTGATGATATATTCTGAGGCTTTTCCTTCTTTTAGTGCGTGATGTTCAAGCTCTTCTGACAACAGTAAAAGTTGGTCCTTATAGGTAGGAACTTGAGAAATGAGGGATTTGATAATGCACTGCGCATAAATATAGGTATATTGCGAGTGACAACATATCTTTTTGAAATCAGAAAATTGTGGACTAGCGTAAAGACTTTCTTCTGTTTCCCGAATCAGATTTTCAATAGAATCTGTGAGAATTCTATGAAATACTTTAAGAGATGTTGTAGCTGTTGTTACAGAAGCAATTTCATTGTGGAATCCTGATTCGCTAATTCTCTGAATAGCAAAGTTTAACATGAGACAATTTGGATGTTTTTCGGAGAGTTGATAGATCAAATTTCTCCATTCAATGTCATTGATCATATATTCCAGCCATTTAGGTGGGTCCTGTGAAGCGGTAAATATAGCGTCTGCCTTTTTTGAGTCAAAGTTATCAATTATCAAATTCTTTAGATAATCCATTAATATTTTGTTAATTGTGTCATGATCGATATTGGCCATAGTCATCCAATCACAAAGAAGTGAAGTCATTTGTGGATATCCTTTATAGCTACTGCTCAACATTTGTACAATAGTTGATGGCTTTCCACCGTTCTTGATGTATTGCTTCAAGTAATCAAAGATGAACGGATTAGTGATGGCATCGTTCTCAGAAAATTTTCTCTCACATTCCTCCAGAATCTGCTTGGTAGGATCCACAACCACACTCCCGTCCATTGATGATGATGAAGAGGCTGCCCCCGTACTCAACGTGCTCATGTTTGGATTTGCAACGTTGTGAGTGGCTGCCGTTGTTGTTTGGGGGATCATTTTTTTAAAATTAAAAAATAAAAATTATTGTAACGGTTTTAATCACTAACTCGTGATGAGAAAACACAATAAAAGATTTGGTTTCTAACCCAACTGTTTTTTGGTGCCTAGTTCAAATTCTTCACTGGAATTTAGAACCGAAGGAATGAAAGCTATTCCTCATCCGCTCCGCAACTCTTAAGAAGGTATAATGCTCATTCTGGACAGGAAAATATCTATCAAAAAATTAGCAGTTTTTCTTCATCGTGCCATCATTATCAACATCACGTGCACACAACATTCATCATCATTGTTGTTTCCATCAACAGCCATTTATACATCATCGCGCTTATACCTGCAAGTTTACTCTAGTTGGATTTTGTGAGTGGAAAATTTCAGTGTGCTTCTTCATCAAACGCACATTTGAAAAATTAGGTTTTTGAAATACTCTCAAATTCCATCACAGTAATATATCAAATATTGATTTTGCAAAATCGATTGTGTGCATGTTTTCATCAAAGACACGATTTTAATTTTGATTAATACCAAATCCGACTTGTTATGTTTCAGGAGAAGAGAACAATTAGAGTATGAATACATCAACACTACCGAAACATTCAACGGCAACATCATCAAATGGATCACCAACACCGACAACGATAACGAACAGCAACAACAGCACTACCAATGCCACCAATAATTTATCCACATCAACAGCAACAAGCACAGTCCTTTATTCAGGGCTGTTGTACATACCTGTAGTGGGAAATAATGGAAGAAGACCATCACAAACATCAAATCTTCTCTATAAGGAATATTATTCGGAATTATATGCTCAAGTTTCGAGTGGTAATAACTCTTCAAAATCTATTTCACTCAGCTCCCTTGGAGCAATGTTTGCTTACTATACAGGAACACTTTCATCGTCTTCAGCTCCACAAGTGCAACACTATTTAAATTTGTTTGAAAAAGCTCCACAACAGTATATTGACAGTTTGGGAGGTTCATTAGATCCGACACAAGAGATGGACAGTAGTACGACTAATGGTGCGTCCTCTGTATTAGCTTCTAATGCAACTCGACCACTCTCCGTTAACGGAAGCAGCAGCTCGAATCAACCTTCAAACTCCAACGATGGAGATCTTGGCACAATTTCATCAACCACAACCAATAATCCTAAATTCCTCATGAACCCATCTTCTCTTTCCTCCCCAAATATCTCTTCCAGTTTGAAATCCTCTGTACAGTCATCATCCCAAAAATCATTTATGAAAAAGTCCTCTCTTCCAATACTTTCTGAAACCATGAAACCTTCCATACAAATTCCGCTGAATAACGTTTCTGTTCGAGTAAGTGAATTGATTTTTCTTTTTGAATTCACATTTTGTAAATTGCAATTTTGTAGCTTGACCCAATGGAAGGATACTTTTACTATTTTGAAGTAATATCACCAACTGTTATTTATAAATTCTTTTGCAGATCGGATCATGAAATGCGAAGATGGACTGAGTTAATTGAAAAAGTATCTCCCATATGCAAAGAAAATGCATTGATTGAAGAAGCTGAACGAAAAATTGTGGAATTAGAGCGATCTTGTAATACTAAAAAGCAGCTCACTCACAACAATGAAATTAAGCACTACAGAATGAAATATTATCACCATATTCTTCCTTCAAGTTCGAATGTAAATGCTCCTCTTCCTTCAAGCTCATCAGGAATGCTTGTCAACAACAACATTCAGAGAAGAACAACACCTAACATCACTGGAAATGACTCTGAAACAATCAATTCTAATAGATAATGAGCTAAATTAACAAGAATAATATTTTGCCACGTCTTCAGAAAGGAGAAACATTCCACGTTCCGTTTGGTCATGTACATTTTATTTGCATGATTGCTATTATGCTTCGTACAGCCACATTACATTTTTGAAAAATCAAAATCAACATATAAATTATGCTTTCACTTTTGAGTGTTTTAAAAGATTGATAAAATATGAATTTGGCACTTGCTCTCAACCTCCTCTGTTCCTTTTAACATTAAGGTATGACAGTGCATTGAATTTTTGGATTTCAAACCAAGTTTTTACAAGATTTTTCGTTCCTAGTCCAAATAGTATGTTTGATCGAAAGTAATAATAGGGATGTGTCTCAATCTTGCTAAAGCAGGGAAAGAAATGAGAAGCAAAAATTGGAAAGCAAGGGTCTTTGGCCACATCCTCAAGCTTTTCCATATTGATTTGTGCAGGCAGTCCATGTTTATCTTGACATTCAGTCATTAATTTTAATTCCTGTCCACAGGGCGTATGCTCAGCATGTAAATAACTTGTTTTCGTTGCATCATATAATTTTCACAACAATAATTATTATTTCAGAAATATTATTACACGTGTAGTTCACAATCAAAAATATATTCACATATTAATTCAATAAACACAAGAATTGTACAAAATATTTCACAATCAAATATATCCACAAATAAATTGAGCATACCAAAAAGAACACTTGGTCGAATTCTCCTTCTCAATAATATCTTCGGGAGCAATGATCGGAAAAGGTCTGTCGTTAACCACAAAATAATTCGAAAGAATTCGAGGTTTTACATGTTCGATCATTTCCTGCACAAATTCCTCTCTTCTTCTCTCTTGTGGTGTGGTTGTTTGTTCCTTTCTCTCAATGACATGACGATTGCCATTCGACATTTTTTTTTTGAAGTCTTTGTCTCATTTGGTAAGATCCAGTCAACACAAACAATAAGGATGTACTGATTTTATTCAAAGATGCTGACTTTCTTCATGAAAATCAATACTGGGTACTGTTTATATTCAAAGATGCTGCAGCACCTTCTTCATGAAATTCATCCCCAGTAAGTACGATCTTTTCCGTTTGAGTTCAAGATTCGGAAAGGGAAGATGAAACGTTGGACAAGGCTAAAAAATGTCTGCCAAAGCACAATCGGCCCCCATAAATTTTCAATCACCACCACAAAATCATCATCACCATCATGAGGAAGAACAGGAACACCACCATGTGGTGGTTGATGATGGTTCTTTATCGGTGAGCACCATGGAGCAAAGAAGGAAGAGCGGAGAAGGCATGCAGTCCTCTTCATCACAACCCCAACACATCCGATCCTTTTCAAACCAAGGGATTGGTTCAACCTCTCCTGGTAACGGTGATGGACTCTTTTCTAAAATATCAAAATATTTCAAAGCAACACCTCCTACACCTATAGTACAAAACGAATCCTCATCACAATATTCTCCTTCACTGGGAAACAACAGTTCATCATCAGCCATTACATCCTCTAATACAATATCAAGCAATAGTAATAATAACGGAATACTCAGTAACAGCATTGGAAATACTAATACTGCCGATTATTATCAGCAAAAACAAAAACAACTTCAGAAGAAACAAAAGAAAAAGGGACCCCCTAAACCTGGTACCATGACAAAGGTTATCGGTGCTTCATTCCCTCTGGAAGCCATTTCCGAACAAATTGGAGTTTTCCCAACAACAAGCAACGAACACGATGGTGGACATTCTTTCAGTGAATTATCCAGTTCTCAAACAAGTTCTTCAAAGAATGGAGTGTTTGATCCCTTTGCTGACTCTGAACTATCTAGATCTTCGATTGGAAGCGACAGTGCTTCCACGCCCACTTCTTTTGTAATCAGAAATTCAGGAAATATCAGCAATTATCTTAGCGATGATGAAGGAGTATCCGAATCAAAGATTGAACGATTTAGACAGTTGTTAAATACACAAGAGGACATTGATGTTGATGGTTTACGGAAACTCAGCTGGAGAGGCATTCCTTCTTCCGTCAGAGCCATGGTTTGGAAGCTTCTGTTGGGCTACATGTCGTGCAATCGAGAAAGATCCGAAAAAATTATTGCGAGAAAGAGAAAAGAATACCTAGATTATGTGGCAAAATATTATAATGAGGAGCACTTACAGAAAACAGAACAAGAGACTGCACTTCAAAAACAAATACATATTGATGTACTAAGAACAAATCCCGATCTTCAACTCTTCCAACATCCAAGAATTCAAAATTGTTTGGAGAGAATATTGTATATTTGGAGTATAAGACATCCTGCCAGTGGTTATGTTCAAGGTCTAAACGATCTTGTGACACCTTTTATGAGTGTATTTTTATATGACATGATGAGTAAGTTTTCCCTATTGAACTTTTCTTCTTTTGAACAATTTCGAAAATTAATTAAGAGTGTGACATTTTATCGTGTGATCCTGACCAGATTCCAGAGGAAATTTTGGAGTCAATGGAATGTGACAGTTTTTGGTGCTTTACTCAATTTATTGATTTTATACAAGATCATTATACGTTTGCACAACCAGGAATACAGCGAATGGTCAACAAGCTTGAAGAAATTATTCAAAAAATTGATGCACCTTTGTTCTCACACTTACAAAGCAACAATCTAGAATTTATTCAGTTTGCATTCAGGTGGATGAATTGTCTCCTCATGCGAGAGGTATCTCTTAAATTAATTGTAAAACTTTTCGATGCCTACATTGCAGAGGGTGATGACTTTGAAAGCCTGCATGTATACGTTTGTGCTGCCTTCTTAAAATCATGGAGTGAGAAATTGCAGAAAATGGAGTTCACAGAAATGGTTCTGTTTCTTCAACATTTACCCACACGGCAGTGGACCTTTAACGAAATGGATCTTCTCCTTTCTCAAGCATACATGTTGAAGGTTCTTTATGATGGAAATAATCATCTGAACTAAAGTATTTATTCTTACTGTGATTTCAGTGTTTTGATTGGATTAAAAATTTGGGTGATGTTCCTGATTGTGACACAAAAAAATGAATCAATCCCGAAGCTACATGAGTGCGTTCTTCCGACACAGTCATTCACTCCTTTCACTCTTTCCGAAACGATGGAACATTATTAATTGTTCTCCGTCTTCATCTGCATGGTTCTTGCTCCATCATAGCTCAAGTAGTAGCAGCAGTATTTTTTTAACCAACGAGAACAATAACAAATTCTTTTCTTTTTCAAATCTACAACAGGCCACTAAAAAGAGCAATACTTTTGGAAAAAACTATTCATCAAAGGCTACTCGGAAATCTTCCCCCGTATCATCATCCAATCATAATGAAAATAGTGAGTTAAATGAAAAAACTAAATCTAAATTAGAAAAGAGGCTTGAAGACATTCAACGTATGCAACGATGGAGACAAAATGCTCAACAAAAACATGCAGAAAAGAAAGCAGCTCAAATGAACAATCTATTGAGCGACAAGTTAGCAAACTCTCGTCTTCCAAAGTCTTCAGAAATTAAACCTCGATCTTCAGTGCTTGCGAGAGTGGATAAAACTTCGGTCGGAAGAAGAAGACATGGTCAAAAAGCAAAGAAAGTTGAAATTAATATATATTTTCCAAAACTATTTCGATCAAAAGTATTGAAAAAAGTTCCATTGGACAAGATGGATAATTCTCTGCCAAAAATTGCATTCGCTGGACGTTCAAATGTGGGAAAAAGCAGTCTTATTAATTCTCTAGTAACTAAAAAAGGATCAGGAGGAAAAGCAATTGTGAGTAACAAGCCAGGAGAAACGCAGGAAATTAATTGTTATCAAGTTTCTGACGCCTTAAATCTCATAGATTTTCCAGGATATGGCTTTGCATTTGCTGACGATGAAAAACGATTGCAATGGATTAAGAACATGCAAGAATTTCTGTTGCATGCTGTGAAAATGAAAAGAGTATTTATTCTTATTGATGTGAGACATGGATTTAAGCAAAGCGATTACTCATTTTTATCATTTCTCAATCAGTAAGTATTGACACGATTCTGTTACAAATTATAATTTTCCTTTTCATTAATTTCAGAAACAAGATCAAAAATCAAATCATTCTCACCAAATGTGATCTTTTATATCCAGATGAAATTGCAAAACAATACGATTATTTGAAAGCTCAACTACAAGCACGCCCATTCAATTACACATGTGAAGAATTGATTGTTGTCTCTGCAAAGAAAATGAATGGAATCAAAGAGTTACAAGAAGAAATTCTCTCATTATTACCTGACAAGGGGGCACGATTTAGAACATCAAAGAAAGACGAATCGATCAAAGTTCCACAGATACCAATAACCACACCTCCTCGACCCATGACACTTAAAAGCAACGATGAAGAATCCTCAATGGTTCTCCAACATGGGAGAGAGGCAACAACTAAAATAATGAAATCAGTGAGCTCCAAGTCCAACTCACCTCGTTCATTGTCCTTTCAGAAAGCTTCTACAAAGAAAAAGCAAATAACAACCAATAAAAGTAAGAGCAACAAGTAGCTGAGTTTAAACCAATCAATTTCAAAGTTGTTGATCCTCTGTGTTTTGTCTGTTTTCTTGTTCTTGTTCATCATGAGAGTTAGGCTTTTCTTCAATACAATAGGATTCCAATGCTCCAGTATCAATGTGTGTGACAATTCTTTTCTTTACGTGGTCTTTCTGGGTGTACAACTTGTTTATGGTTGTTACTGGAAGAAAAAGGTGTTGAAGGAGGAAAGGTATCAAACATTGGAACGTCAAATGCAAGAGATCCGAAACGTGATGGTTTAATGTTAATTCACTCTCACCTTAATATTCACAACCAGAAAGAACACGAGAAATTTCAGAGGCTGGTTTTGTGGGATCGAGTGGAAAGAAATGTTTCATTCGATGTTGATTGGTATTAGGAAAGGCAATACATTGATCCTGTATCGTTTCCACACTTCCAAGTTTTTCAAAATTGAGATTTCCATCCTTACCAGCTTGGTCCATTTCGTCCTCACTCAAAGATTTTCTAAAAAGCTTGCTTTTACATTATGATCTCTTGAATTGCTTGTTTTTCTCTTCTTCTTTTCTCTGAGGACTCGGAAAAGCAATTGTTTACACTCTTGGAAGTGTAATTTTCTTGCCAAGGCGATTGTGATGAGAATGATGTGTGTATAATTGTTTATATTTGGCTTCTTTTCAAACTTACATGACTTATATTGTTTTTGATGAACCATGAAGCTTGAAAGTTCAATGTTTCAAAGAAGAGAAACAATGTCAGGCAATCCGCTCGAAATGCAGCATGAAATGGTTGGAATCGATGATGAATTTAATTTTGAAAAACAACACACCTCCGTTAGCACATTCTTGGTTAATATTGGACACGTCTTCAATTGTTCAACTGCATCCCAGTCGCCTTGTTAACTTGCAGGCCTGAATTAGTTTTCTGCAACTGACACTGATCGTCTTTTGATGACGGTAAAAACATTTTTTCACATTCACCATCTTTCTTTTCAACCATTTTCGTCAATTGACAAGACAGATCAAAACTTTAGCTGAATCTGATGGACAAGATAGACACCTTCTTCTCGATCGACCACTGTTCAGACGCCCGTATCGATTTCATTGTAAAATGGAACGCATTTCGAACATTCAAAAAAATATCTTGGAAGCTCTTCCAACATAGGGTCTGGTCTGCCTCTAATTCGTGATTGCGCAATTATTATTAACTTGTTGTTGAGTGAACAGCTAATACCATTATTTTATTGTTGTTGTTATTGGTTTTGTTGAGAATTGAATTCATTTGAAGAATTATAATTACTTTCGTTTCTGAGAAGAACAACTCGCATTGAAATTCCTTTGACTATCATTTTGGTGGTATAGAACTGAGACTCTCTCCTTATTGGTTTCATCATTATTACTACATCATTGTTATTGCTTTGAATTCACACAAGTGCATTTCCTTCAGAGCCATCCGACCACGACACGACTTCATCATCATTACACGACTTCAAAAGAAGTATTCCAATCTTGTCTTGTTCCGGACTTGTATTTCAAAAGGTTTGTAGAACAAGAACAACAACAACAACAAATTCATTGAATGGATTTTTTAGTTATACACACACGTCCAACACCACATTTGAATCATTCTTCCTTTCTGCTTCTAACTCGTTTAAAAATAGGTCATTGACGTTGCAACACACACACACACCAACAACAACAACACCAACGTTCGTGTCGGTTAGTTTCTCTCTTTTTGTTCTCCACCACTTGATAATCACTCTCTCTGGACCACAACCACAACATCAGCGCTGCTCACGATGAAGAAATTACTGAAAGAAAGACAACAACCCTCTCCTCACACTCCTGGTGGAACATCGAGCACGAGCTCTACGAACTCTCATCATCATCAACAACAACAACAGAATCATCAGCATTCCTTCGGAGTGAGCACACCTGTAACCTCTCCTTTTGATTCTTCGTTTTTGGTGACCTCTCCTGTTCCGTCGACCCCTGGTGTTATTTCTCTCGCTTCGGCATCTTCATCATCAAATCCACACAACAACAACAGCAGTAGCAACACTGCCAGTGTGTATAGTAGTATTGTGAATGCTCATATGAAAATGGAACCAAGTACTCCCACTTCTGCCTTGTCAGGTTTGAGTCATCACTCGAATAGTCATCTCAACTATTATTCGTCAGCAGCAAGCATGATGCATCAACAACAACAACAACATTCAATGCCATCCTTTAGCAACAATGGCAGTTCACAAAAGCCAAACAATCTCTACCCTTCCTCACTCAGTAACGGCATCTCACACCTGCCTCCAATGCAAAGCAACAATGGTCAGTTGGACAAACAGTCACAACAACCAGCAATTTATCCATCCACTAGCCAACACACTCTCTCTGATATGCCACTTCCAAGCTTCTCTATTCCATCCACAGTCATTACTCCAAGTTCTTCACATTCGTCCTCTGCTGACCAACTCCATAAAAAGTTCTCAGCACCAAATTTGACTGGCAGTAGCATTGCCAATGTTTTCCAACAACCTTTGGTCGAACCAAACAATTCTGCATCATCGAATACCCAATCCACTAGTAAATCACCACTCCCTTCATCATCTGCAGGTTCTGCATTGGTTGCCAGTACGGATAGCCCCATTGTTGAGTACATGGATGACGATGACGGATGGATTGTTCAATGGTTCAACGAGGACAAGAGAAAAAAGTGGAAAGTCAAAGTTCCTCAATTCAAGTATTGCAAGAAGAGAAAAGAGCATTTTGATAAGTCATTCCCTGATACCTGGTATAAGGCTCCCTACAAGTATCACATGCATCTAGAAGTGGCCAATATCTTGCGTGAAGAAAATGTTTTGGCCCAAATTGACCTAAATTATGAAGATGGCCAAAAGGTTCTTTCTCAACAAAAAACAAAAGAATCTAAAAAGGGAAAGAAGAAGAAGAAACAAGATGATAAGGAATCAGGTGAAGAAGACAAAAAGTCAGATGAACCTGTAATTACAAACAATGAAAGCTATTTCAACTACCAATCAGCAAACAAGTCGACTGTCACTATTGGACCTTTCATGTACAATATTTGCAGCTACAAACAAGAAGGAAAGAAATTCCGTATGGTTGTTTACCTTTACACCATTAATAATACCACTCCCTACCATCCATTCCAAACACAACCTGTAGATATGTCCAACAATGCAGTTTTATGCTGTTGTTTAATTTCTCCAAGTTTTACCATCAGAGCCAAGAAGCCAATCGTTAAACCTGGAATTAAATCAAAGAGAAAGAGAGGTGCTGAAGATGACGACTCAAAGAGTGGCGACGAAGAGGTAGATTATCCTCCTTCTCCTACCACGAATAACCACAAAAAGATGAAAGAACCAACCAACTTAGATAGCTCAATTCCTGTCAATTTCCATCCTCGTCCACATGAAAACTCTCTCACTCAAAATGCAACTCAAGCCATTGATGAATTACTTGAAAGTTTGTACCAAAACAATACCGCCTTTGATCCATCTCTAGTTGGTGCAAGTAGCAGTGCAGCCAGTTCAAGTAGCTCTGCAGCCTCATCGAGCAGACAAGAAATCAATCCAGAAGAAAAGATTAAGAACATTACTGAGACATTCCAAAGCATGGCTGACTCTGAGAGAAAGAAATTATTGAATAACATTATTGAGAGCTGCTATCCACATGAAAAGGAGTACCTTTACAGAAAGTATTTCGAAAATGGATACTCAGATTTTGGTGATTCTTCATACTATCAAAACCATGCTCAACCTTCTCACATGCAAACCATGCTTCAACAATATCAAATGATTCAACAGCAACAACAAGATTTATTTGCCTACTTTGCAGCTCTTAACAACAACTCGGCAACACTGGCTGGGTCCTCGGGCGTGCAACTTTTGCAATCATCAGCCTCTTCCTCAGGAGTTAGCAGTATGGATAGCTCTTCTCAACCACAATTTCAAGCTGTTCAAGTGCAGCCAGTGATTATTACAAACGCTGGTGCTGCTGTTGTACACAACAATTCGGCTGTTCCTCACAAAGCGACTGCTGCTGTTGTTGTAAATCCGTCCTCTCTGTCCTTTGCCTCAAATCATCAACCTAGTGATGTCGATCAATTCTTTACTGAACTATTTGATTAAATATGAATGAGACAAAACAAAATCCATTCAAATTTCTTGTTGTTGATACAACTAACCAGCTTTTGATGCCTCTCACCTGTCAGCACCAAATCTCAACAAACAAAAAATGACAATCACAAGTGGAGGCTACCCAAAGCGTAAAGCAAAGAGCACAATCAAGTTCTGTACAAACTTGTGCGTTTTCTTCTTGTTAGCTATTTCTCTACTCGGAATGATGGTTGGAATTATCGTTCTTGGAAGTAAGTGCTCGTACATGAAAACAAGGATCTAAATTGTTGTGGTGTCTCCATACGATTCGAATTTTCATTGGATCACCTCGGTTTTTTATGGTGATCGTTCATTACTTTTTCATGTCATTACTTTTTCATGCCATGTCAATATTGTGTTATATGGATCGCGATCATAACATGTTTATTTATTGTTGAATGATGAAAAAAATTTCTGATGAAATAATTGTTATTATTATTATTATTGATTGATGGAATTAACAACAGCTAGCGAAAAACCAGATCCAGATTCACTCACCAAACAAGTCACATGTAACGTCAAAGAAATTGCTCCAAGAACATGCACAACTTCTTGTACTCTTACTGTCTATGTTCCTGTTTTAGGAAAGTCAGTTGTCACTGAACCATTTTCTTCGAGTGACAAGGCCTTCAGTTACACCTCAGGTCAAAGCATTGATTGCTATGTCAATCTTTTCTATGAAAATTATGAAAATCAAAAAGTGAGCGTGAACGAAGTTCAAACTAATTTTGCCTATGTAACATCAGTTGTTGGAGGAGTCATGATTGGAGTTTCCTTCTTACTGTTGGCAATTACTTGTGGATTGAGTTATTATTCATGTACCATGTTGATTAGACCTTAAAGTATTTGACATTACACAAATGCTTGTTGTATGACCAACTTAATGTAAAAGTCATTACAGTAACTACCTCAACAAAGCGATTCAATGATAAATATCATCATTATTTCAGTGCGTTCCCAATATTATTTCTAATAACAATGTTAGTAGGAACATTTGAAAATTTTGAAGATCTGATGACCAACTTCAATCCATTAAAAAAATGCTCAAATTAGTTGCATCGTCATCCTCCCAGTTCCGAAACGGAGGAAAAGCCTTCTCATCATCATTGAATTCTCTCTCAATTACGATCCTTCATCATCAGTGTAAAATCAACACTACGGCATCGTTATTAATGAATTCAAGAGTGATAGATGTGAATACCAAGAGAGGAAGTGCAAAAAGAAGTGTCGGAATTGTTGGAATGCCAAATGTAGGAAAGTCCACATTATTTAATGGTAGGTTTGATTCTGAATATTTAAATGTATTATATAGAAAGGATGAAATGATATTTAATAGCACTGACAGAGTCCCAAAAAGCTGAGGCTGCTAATTTTCCTTTTTGCACAATTGAACCTAATGTGGGTATGTATTGACATCCAATGAATTTTAATTAGCTGAAATTATCAATCACTATTTACGAATTGCTTTGACTCGAAATTTTGAATCGTATCATTTGCTTTTCAATATTTTGTTCCATAAAATCCGAAATTTCAAAAAGGTGCCTGCACTGTTCCAGATGAACGTCTAGATGCTTTAGCTACCAAAGTTAAAACAAAAAAGAAGGTACCAACCTATATTGAAGTTATTGACATTGCTGGACTTATTAAAGGAGCTGCTGAAGGAAAAGGTTTGGGAAACAAGTTTTTAAGTCACATTCGAACAGTCAATTGTATTGCTCAAATGGTGAGATGTTTTGAAGACCCAGATATTACTCATGTTGAAAACTCAATTGATCCAATTCGTGATGTTCAAATTATCGAGTCAGAATTAATTCTAAGTGATTTAGAAGTTGTTGACAGAAATAAGAAGAGAAAAGAAAACTCCACTTCTAAAGACAAGATGGATGTTTTGAACAAATGTTATGAGACTTTGATTGAAGAAAAACCATTGTATGGAGTGAATTGGACTGCAGCAGAGCAACTCCTTTTGAAACAATTCAATTTTTTGACAACCAAACGGGTTTTATATATTTGTAATGTGGATGAAAAGGCACTTGTTACTGGTGGAAATAATTTCACTCGGTCGCTTCAAGACTATCTCAAACAAAGAGGAAACACAATTGATCCTGTCATTGTGTGTGCTCAATTAGAATCTGAAGTCGCTCAATGTGAACCCGAATCAAGGCTGGAATTATTGAATGAATATGGACTCAAGGAAACAGGTTTGCAAAAAATTATTACATCCTCATACAAACTATTGGATCTCATTACATTTTACACAGTTGGTGTTGAAGAAACTAGAGCATGGACTGTGACGAAAGGAAGCACTGCTCCTGAAGGTATGTGTCAACATTGAATGTTGAAAACGGAAATAAGGTTACATTATTATTATTTACTACTAACTGCATTTTCAACAATAATCCAATTTCAAACTTGTGTCCTATTGTGCCTTCCATTATCAACAGCTGCTGGTACCATTCATAGTGATTTCGAAAAAGGATTTATCAAAGCTGAGACCATTAATTGGAAAGATTTCTTAGACTGTGACTGTGATGAAAGCAAAGCTAAACGAAAGAATCTTCTCAGAACCGAAGGTAAAGAATACATCACACAAGATGGAGATGTTTATCATTTTAAATTCAAAGCATAAATAGCTGAATTTTCAAGGACATCACCCTCTCTTCTCACCCACCCTTATGGACCTTGCAATTACAATGCAATTCGCAAGAACTTGCTTCGAAAATGACGCCCGTACGTATGGCACTTCGGCGAATTGATGCATGTCCACTTGGTTTCCATTTTCAACATCTAAAAAAATTCAGTTCGAAACCTCGAGGAGTCGTGAACGACAGTGCTGTTTCGGAGATCATTTCGAAATAATTATCATCACACATCCAACAACAACTTCATCACGAGAAGAACAGTTGTAACAATAGCGTGTTACGTGCACGGAACGTTCTAAAGTGAACACAAAAAAGTATAGTCAATCATTGAGTTTGTCTGTTTTTTCTGATATTTCAAAAGGAAGGAGCAAGATTTTTTGGTCTTGTTTCCTCTGTAATTCCATTCCGGTCTATCAAATCGACAAATTATATGGACTTTTTGGACTATATTGGTTTTTCAACAAAGGACAATAATATTCCCAATGAGTTAGTAGCCAACATGTTTTTCTTAAGTTTGATGATAATATTTTAATGTCGTTGTGGCAATGATACACATTTTAATGTCTGTGTCTATTAATATATTATTATCGCTCATGCATGGACGGATCATATTGTACCACGAATGTACATGATTGAAACAAATAGATCTATGAAAGCTGCAAATACAATTGATTTTTCTGAAACATCTTCCCCGATATGGTTGTTAGGCTTGATGTATCAGCCTTGTTTGATCTGTTCGGATGAACAAGGAGGATCCATGTTGGATAGCTCAATGATGATGTCCTCAATGGCATCGTCGTCTTCATTCACTGCTACAGGAACGGAGAACTCTTCTACAACAACGGCGACCGTTTCATCATTACCGAGTTTTGCCAACGCACCAGATCAGCAACAAGCACTTCCAACGAATGGAAGTATAAATCAACAATCAATGTATGCACAATTTCAACAACAAGTTTCAACAACAAATAACGATGATAATTCACCCAAAACACCCTCAAAAGCAAAACGATCTTTCTTCTCAATGCCAAAGAAAAAGAAAACATATACCGATACCGATTTAGTGAAAATTTATCATAACAAGTTACAATTGGAGAGCTTTTTGTCTGATTTTGAATCAAGATTTTGGTTTTCATATCGAAAAGATTTTGAACCAATCTCCAGTAATCCACTACCAATGGAACAAATTGAATTACAACCTGTCAACAGCATGGGAAATTTAAGCTCAATTAATAGCACAGGAAGTGGTATTATCAGTAGTCAGGGAAGCGTATTGAGTTCAGGAGCAAGTCAAAATGGAGATGACACTCCATTCTTGACTGGTTCATTTTCTAACTCTCCTCCTCACGCTCAATATTACTACAACAATTCTAATAGTGGAAATCAATCAACCAAATCCTCTTCATCTTCCTCACTAAGCAAACTGTACAGATACGTGATTAACTACACCGCTCCCACCTCTGACACTGGTTGGGGTTGTATGATGAGATCAGGACAAATGTTATTGGCACAGGCCTTTTTAACACATTACCTTGGAAGGAATTTTCGGTTACCAACCACAGATAGGACGAGAGGAATGTATCAAATTATTCAAAGTTGGTTCTATGACTTGGATGCATGTCCTTATTCCATTCACAAAATTGCAAGAGCAGGAACCTACTTTGGAAAGAAGGTTGGAGAGTGGTTTGGACCTTCCACAATCGCCTATGTGTTGAAGTAAGTATTTCCTGAGAAAATTATTTTCAACTAGAATCGTGATCATGTCATGTTCTCATTGACGTGTTTTCAGATTGCTCGTGGAGCAGCATCTGAGAGGTGAATTTGTGGTTCATGTGGCGGATCAAGGTGGAATCTATATTGATGAATTACTTGCTAAATGCGAGTATGACTATGAGGAATTTTCCATCGATGTGAACAATGTACAGAAAGAAAATACAGAATCTATATATCCACAAATTGAGTGTATAGGCCCAAGATTGCGGGTGACAAAGAAATGGAGACCCTTAATTATTTTAATTCCTCTGCGGTTAGGTTTAGAAAATTTTAACACAGATTATATACCCTCAATCAAGAAGGTATTCGAAATTCCTCAAACATTGGGAATTATGGGAGGAAAACCCAAATCGTCGCTCTATTTTATCGGATATCATGACAATGAAGTTATTTATTTGGACCCTCACACCACACAGAAATCATCTCCAAAGGAAGAAACGTATCATTGTAAAACACCACTCAAAATTCCAATTTCCAAGATTGATCCTTCTATGGCTCTCGGATTTTTGTGCAGCACAAGACAGGATTTTGATGAATTTTGCAGTTTGGCAAATCAACACCTCACTCACCGGTCTCATCCTTTGGTTTGCATTCGAGAACAAAAGCCCCAAGAGAAAGATTTGGATGTTTTGTCATTTGACGAATTATCGGACGAAAATCGCAAAGAACCTCATGACGAAGAAGATGATGATATTGTGTTTGTGTAAATAAACAACAACGTAAAAGTTCTGTAAGGAACCTGAGTACTGTAAGGAAGCAATTTTTATCCAAGCAAATTGGTCATGATTATAATCTGCCAGGTGTCAATTCACAGTTCAATAAAAAAAATGGCAACATCGCTTGACTATTGTCTCAAACTCATTGTCATTGGCGACTCTGGAGCAGGTAGGTCGATTAATTACAACATTTTCCAATCGGACTATATTGGAATGCCATCATTGACCTTTCCTTGTCAACTATTTCATCACTTGCGGAACACATTACAACATTCGGAACCATCCTTTGGATATGTGATCGATACTTTCCGCGCACTTGTTTAGGAAAATCATGTGTCATGAGAAGATATCTCGAAAGTAATTGTACGTGTTCAACTATTTAACTCGCGCCATCAATGTGTCAATTTCAATTTATAAACTATTAACCGGTTTTCAAAAACATGCAAAAATAGTCTATGAAGATCAAACTCACACGATCGGAGTTGAATTTGGAGCAAAGAATATTAACTGCGGAGGAAAGAAAATTAAATTACAAATTTGGGATACGTAAGTACTGCAATTTTAGAAAATTCACATTTTCTGACTTGTGACAATGTTTTAATCTAAATTTATTTTCGGAATAGAGCTGGACAAGAACGATATCGATCAGTAGTGAGGAGTTACTACAGAGATGCCATTGGAGCAGTTGTGGTTTATGATATTACAAATGAAGAAAGTTTTAGAAATGTGAAACGATGGATTGAGGATGCAAGAGAGTTGAGCGATGATAATGTGACATGTGTTTTAGTTGGAAATAAGAAAGATAAAGAGGATGAAAGAAAAGTCAATTTTATGAGAGGAAGTCAAATGGCACAAAGTTTAGAAGCAGCATTTTTTGAAACGTCAGCTGTCACTGGAGGTTTGTTTCTTGAAATTATTATCATTCACAATAACATACAATGTTTGAATTTTCCAATATGAAAATTTCATACAGAGGGAATTGAGGATGTTTTTGCCAAATTAACGAAAATGATATTAACAAAAATTGAAAATAATGATTTAAAACCAAAAACAAAGCAATCCATTCTGCTTGATGCTGGAAAAAAGCCTCAAGAAACTGAGACCACCACTGACAACCAATCATGGTCATCCTATTGCCTGTGTTAAATATTTAACAAATTTTGCTCAATGATCTTTGCTAAATATTTCCATAATTAATTATATTATTTCGAATTTTGTAAATTTCACACATTAAAAAAATGCAACCACAAAGAAAATCATTCATCGATCGAGTCACACTTCATCTCGATTTGGATTTCACATCACAACGACAACACTCCAACTCGATCACATCCACCTCCGACTTGTTAATTCGTCTTCTTTCCAACAAATTCTTTCATCATTATCAAAAATCCTTTTCCAACAATTTCGATTTAATTTCCACATTAGGAACTCCCTCTCAAATCGGATCTGACAATTTACATTTTGCTCGTCCCACTGACGTCAAATTATCGTACAAGACTCGTTGCATACTCGTCTGTGACAGTCACAATCAAAGAATTCAACTTTTTGACATGGACACGAAAAGATTCAAAGCAACCATTCACACTCCTCATATTCCTCAATATTTATGTATCGAGTCCAATAATCATTCCAAATATGGAAAGGCAATTTCGCGACAACATTCACATACATGTGAATTTTTCAAAAAAGATTTTGATGAAGATTCAGTGATGGTCTCCTGTCTGGATCATTGTGTTTACAAATTCAACATTCGAAAATGTATCGAGTCCTTTCAAGAGAGTTCCAAAAATTTAGTGAAATACTTTTTGACCTCTTTGGTGGGAATGCTCATTCCTCCATTGAAAAACACGACAGAATATGTTTGGAAGAGTGGAATTACAGGAGAATGCGGAAATTCATTGCAACATTTTTCACGGCCATCGTCCATGGCTTTGGTCGAGAAAGGAAAATTCTTGCATGTCAATTTTGCCTCAAATCAATCAGAACAACACGATGAGGAATTACAAGTGAATTCTTCCATTACTGTCGATAGTAGGAGTAGTGATATCAGGCATGTGAAGAAGGAGGATCGAAATTATTCTGACAATTTATACCTCTTATTGGTCTGTGATTCCCTTAATCATCGAATTAAGGTTTTAGAGGCACACACTGGACAAGCTCTTTTCTCAATCACTCATTATCAAGAATGGATCCAAAATGAACTTTCTAAACAAACGAAATTTTTCACTCCAACTTTGATTGTTGTTTCTCCTCATTCTCAAGATATTCTCCTTGTGGAAATGATGAAATCCAACAGCTCAAGAATTGTCCTATTGAGACAAGGTGATTTTTCACATCATGGAATGGCTCATGTCGTGTGTTTTCAAAAATCTGTCTCTATTAAGGGTCTTTTGGGAGATTTGGATTTCTCTGGATGCATGTACGTGGCCGATCGAAATGGAATTTCCATTCGAAATGTCCGAGGACAATTAAAATCCACTCCCTTCGATGGACATTGTGAAGTGTACAGTCCATGTGGCATGTGTTTGAATGAACAGAATGGAGAATTATATGTGTTAAATTACGTCGATCATACACTTCAAATATTCAAATGGAATAAAATCAATAACAGTTCAAGAGAGGATGTGAAATTTAAATCATTCGGAAAAACATTCAAAGCCAATCACTAGCACCCTCGATCTCTTTTCGTCATCATCATCATCATCTTCTTAATCTATAAGGATTCGTGCATTCAGAAAAAACATACAAACCTCCTTTGTGTCGCATCCCTTTTTTGGAACGAACCTCTTCTCATCATGAATTCACAAAAAAAAATTCGAAAAAAAAAATGGATGCTCATCAAATCTTGGAAGAATTCGCCGACTGTATGAAAGATCAGGAAGCGATTGAGAGTACGTTTGATAAATTAGTGAAAGAGAAACGAGCGGACCTGTATAGGAGTGAAACGGATTTGAAGAAGAAAACGGATAAGCAAAAGAAGAGAATCAAGTCGTGTTTGGCCATGTTGAATGCGTTGGAACAATCTCATGCCTCATCCTCTTCCTCATCGGATAATGGTGCGATTGATGATCATGAGAATTTCAGACAATTGGCTGAGAAGAAGGCTCAACTCAAACACAGTGCAAAGAAACTCGAGATGATCGGTAAACAAACATTGAACACGGGTGGATTCTTTGTTGAGCAATTTCTCGGAAAGGAATATAGTGTTGTGTTAGTGGGTGATGATTCAAGAAAATTTAATTTCAAAAAGGAGTATGAGACTTTCAAGTACAAGTGTACGGTACTGAATATTCCGATCACGTTATTGTTGGCCTTCTTCTTTCATTCCCGAGTATTGGACACTTTTTATCATTTGTATTTGACATACTTTTATTTGACATTGGCTATCAGAGAGAATATCTTGGCAGTGAATGGATCGAACATCAAGGCATGGTGGATTAGACATCACTATTTGAGTATTGTGTTGGTCATTACGTTGTTGACTTGGCCAGAAACTGTTCTCTATCAAGCATTTAGGCCTTATTTTTTACTTTATGCCCTTTATGCTTCCATTGTGCAGGTTTTACAGTACAAGTATCAGAAAGATCGTCTCTATGTCAGAACAGCAATTGGAAAGTCAAGTATGATGGACGTTGCAAACTCTGATAGCTCTCAAGTCGTTGTTGAAACTTCCCTCGCGCTATTCTTCCTATTGCCATTCATTTTCTTGGGCCAATTATTCCAATTTTACAATGCATACCTATTGTTAGACATGGGATATTTCAGCGCTCCAAACTGGAGAGATGTTGAATGGCAAGTTTTTGCAAACGCAGCTCTATTCCTCATCTTGGCTGCTGGAAACTTGGTCACCACCATTGAAGTTCTCATGAAGAAATGGAAGAGAATTAAGAAGAAAGAGTTGAAGCAGCAATAAGACACAAACTTGTTTATTTATCAATCAAAACCACATTTTTAAATTTCATATCCCATATATTATATGTTCTTGTTGGTTTATTTTGTAATTTCTTCAAAACTAATTTCGTCGTTGTAAGGCGAAACGGAGGAAACCTTAACATCCAGAAAATCACCAACTTCATAGCTATTGGAAGATTTGACGCTTGCTCTGAATGCTGATTCAATCAAATAGAGTGACAACACAAAAGGAAGTTCGTCTGGGTCAAGACTTGTTATCGCATTTTTCTTTGACTCTAACACTAATGCCTTGTATCGATTATTTCTTCCTGAATGGGTGGTCAAGTTTTGTTCAAAATACTTCAATAACCAGAATCTTTCACTCTTTTTTTGCAAGCTTGCAATGGCTCTGGTCGTTGGTTCAATTGCAAAGAGAATTTCCTGAATTTCATCCCATGTATAAGGTTGTTTTTCTCCTCTCATTTGGGCCTTAAGTTGATAGTGAACTAAGAGGTCGCTGTATCTTCTAATTGGTGAAGTAACTTGGACATAAGTTGAACTACCAATACCTTGATGGAATTTAGGAGATTGATTGATGCAAACTCCAGCAGTTGGGAAAAACGAGTTGTTAGAACGAACAACCACATCACATAGATCCTTTTCTGATATTTTTGGAGATAGAGAAAGAATTTGATTAATTTCTTCTTCTGGAAGTGGAGGAATTTCCATGGTGACTGTTCTTGTTCCTCTGTAAGGAACCGCTATATCATGTTGTAAAGCATAATGTCCTCCAATTTCATTGGCTGCAATCATAAACTCCTGCACTAGTCTTCGAGATGAGCCAACCTGTTCCTCCCATGAAGTTCCAATTTGGATCGATTGTTCAGAGTTAGAAACATCAACTTTCGGTTTGGGAGAAAGTGAAGGTGGAGTAGCCCCTTTTCTCATTCGGTATGCAAATCTCAAATTTGCAACTTGGAGCATTAATTGGAATGCGTCATAGACTTCTGGATCTACTTCCACAGTTTTGTCAATAATTTGATCAGCAAGTGAATAGTCTATCTTTTGAACTTTGCCAAGAATTGCAGGAAATGCCTGCCATTCTGATAGAGAACCATCGCTGCCAACCTTGGAAGAAAATGTGAGCGAATAGTTTTCCTTTTTGTCAGATAAACTTAAAACATCTTCGCTCAGTTCCGACGATATCATGTTAAACTTTTTCTCTGGGAGGTAAATGCTCGACACTCGTTTTTGGGCCTCGTAGTCAATAGTGGAACCTTGGTTGATGAATCGAGTGACGTCTGCTATATGAATATACATGTAAGTGGCTCCATCTCGTACTTCGACACTCACTCCGTCATCTACTTCTGTTGTTTTTGGATATTCGTCAATAGTGAAAACAGGAAGATGGCGTAAGTCTCTTCTAATCTTGCTATCGGGGTCTGTGGAGTTAACGATGGAGTCAATATTCTCACGCACTATTTTTTTAAAATTATCCTCCTCCTTCATGTGACACATTTCATCCTCCATTGACCGTAACAAGTGAATATTCTGTGTTGTAAAAAGTTTCAAGTCTCTTGCAACTCTGAACGCTTGAAGATGGTCATCAGCTCCGAGAGGTTTGAAAAAGGCCTCATAAACTCTTTTCTTGTTATCCAAATTGGTATACATTCCCAGCGCATACTGTCTAAATAGAGAGAGTCTTTCTTTATCTTGTTCTTCATCGATTTCAAGAAACTCTCTGGTAATTTCCAAGTCCGGTCGCATTGCTTTGATTTCTTTCATTACATTATTCCGTAATTGCTTGTAGAATAAACCTCTTTCCTCGTTTGTAGCTAGCAATCGATTAGCGATTTTAAGTAAAAATATTTTGTCCTTCAAAATGGTTTCTTTCTCTTTTGATCCCATTTGTTTCAGCTCTTCAACCTCTCTAAGTGAGCGACATTCAAAATTGAGGTTAGAGGTGTGTTTAAAGTATAAAGGATTTTTGTAAAGAAATCGGTAGGCAGAGTAAAGAGAGGCAGGTTCTGTAGATTGGAATAGATGTTCGGCAGCGTCTTTTATCGTTATCTTTACGCTCTTTCGTTGCAAGAATGCTTTCCACATATTATCGCAATCTTCTGGAGTTAATTTTTCTATCATGGCACTGCTTTGAGCTTGTAACTGTCGTACGTCATCAATGTTGAAATTTTGGTCGGTATTGTCTGAAGAGAATTGATAAGTTAGTTGGCTTGAGTTAACCACTCTATTTCTTCCGGTAATATCAATAATAATCCATTTGTTGTTATTTTCATCCAATGATTCTGGACCTGTTATAATTGCTAATCTCCGTTCAAATTCATCATCATACTCAACAATGACGTGCTGTTGTTTAGATTCTTCTTTGAACGCTCGCGAGAGGTTCACAGAGCCAGGAGAGGTGAAACTACTCATGCTATGGAATGCTCTCTTCCCAAACTGGCTAGTTGTTGACTCTCTCATTCGATTCTTGCTCGGAGAGGATGGACAACTTACTGAAGGTGTTGATGATGTGAGTGCGGATGATGTACTATTTGTCTTCTTATAAATTCGTGATCCTATATATTGAAGCTTCTTTCGTGCTCCATCGTTTTGTTGAATTGGTGGTTGAGTAAGAAGAATGTTCGATGATGAAGCAGCAAAATCGGCTCCTCCTGGCTCTTGTTGTAAGAAGAAAGCCTCTTCATCATAATATGGATTTGGTGCGTTAGCATTGTGGTGGTGAGGTTGATATCGTTGTTTTGGAGTTTGTCCTGGCGATGCATAATACGTATAATTGTTGTAGTGATATGTTTTGTAGTTGAAAGCGTCGGTTTGAGCGTTTGGAGGTAATTGAACAGAGCTCTTAGTGTTTCTTACATAGGAAGATGATAGAGATGTGGCTGGTGAAGCGTTATTGGAGGATGGTGATGAAGAGGATTTGGAAGTAAAAGGTGTTGTTGTCGTTGGTTGAGAAGAGTTTGAAGAAGAAGATGGAGAGAAGGATTCACTATTAAATAATTTGACGGAAGTAGGAGGATTAGGTAAACTCTGATTGGAAGTGAGCATGGAGATGGATGACTGAGAAAGTCCTCCTGTATACTTCTTGAAGTGATGAGTGTTCTTTGACATTCTCTGTGTTTTTATAAATTAATGTTTGAAGTGAAGAGTTGTTTGAACCTTGTAACGGCTACCTCAAAATATTGTTGGTAAGCAATAATAGTTCGAGGGAGTGTTGATCAACAGAGAAAGAGAGATTCTCTTACTACTTGTTGGATGATGAACAATGTTGTTATTTCAGTTTTCGCAATCCTTGAGAGTGAGTCTTCTTCGGGTTGCTTTGGGTAATGTACGTGGTGAGAGAAGTTTTGTGCGTTGGTTTATTTTTTAAAAAAATACAGATTTGGAAATTTTTTGAGTGTTTACAACAACAATGGGTTGATGGAAATATTATTGGAAGTCATATGATGGAGCGAAATGATTGAAGGTGTTGTTTATGCAGTTTCGTTGATAAAGATGGTCTTACTTAAAGCAACTCAGTTCTAACTGAGATGTTCAACTCATTTGAGGGTAATTTACGAAAAAATGATTCAAAACAAAAACGGGAGCACATCTGGGAACACAGAAGAGGATGTTAGGATCAGTACTGATGATGATTTTACAAGCATTGTACAAGGAACAGTCATTTGTTTAAATGTACCTGAATTATTTGAGTTCGGAATTGATAATTATTCGCATCGTCTGGGAAAAGAATTCCGAAGCATTAATCAAATTCCTCTCGACATTCCACACTTGATGTATTATAATAGAATTGATCATGACAAGTTCGGGAGTGGCCAAGGACCAAGAATAAGCTTTTTTCATATTTTCACAAGAGAACATCCAATATTGATTTTAATGTTTGATGAGAATGAAGAAGATTTTTCAATTCTCTCGAGGGACAATGATCCCAAGTTTCGAGAGGTTGAAAGTCAATACAAAAGTGGATTATTCTTCAAACAAATAGCTCCATATTCTGAAGATATGAAAAGAAATTGGCCAGAGCTTGTTTCATTCATTGATGATCAATTCTTGCAAAGAATTGAGCCAATTCATAGAAAAATTACTTCTACTCTACATCAAGAGGAACAAGAAAATCATATAGATAAGAAATCAAACACAATTTATTACACTCATATTCCTCAAAAGCTCAATCGAAAAGGCCTCAGTCCTGAGCAAATTACCAAGCTTAACTTTGATAAGTCTCAATTGCTGGAAGAAATTCTACAATCTTTCGTAAAACGTGGTTGCTCAATGGAACGGGCGACTAAAGAGCTATTGGCAGAAATGCAATTTTCCTTTATTTGCCTTCTTCATGGACAGTGTCTGCATGGGCTAAACCAATGGAAAAAACTTGTGCATTTGTTTTGCAACTGTGAAGATGCTCTTTTAGAAAGAAACGACATTTTTATTTCATTTGTTAGTATTTTACGATGTCAATTTCAAATGCTTCCAAGAGATTTCATTCAAGATTTAGTAGAGCATGATTTTGATCCCAATGAAGAGGAATTATTGGAGATGACATCTTCGAGCACTTTAGAAAAGAAAGAACAAGCTCAACACAAGCAAAAACCAAAATTAAGCAAACGAGACCACTTTCTTCAAAAGACTGTTCTTCAACTCTTTCTTACCGTTAGATCTATTGAGGAGGATGACGAAATTGTAAAGCCAGCATCTTGGTTTTTATTTTGTAAAATTGTACGTAAATTCAAAGAGTTTTTGGAGGCGGAGTTTGAAGGATGCAAGGAAATGTTGGATGAAGACGAAGAAGATGAACCTGCCTATGTATATAATTAATTAATTGAAACTCTGTTACTTCCGTCGCATAGAAGAACTAGTTCTGAAGAAGGAAATGCACTTTCGACAGAAAGGAATTTCCTTGGAGTTCTTTTGCTTCATAATATTCTCACTTTGGAAGATTTACTATAGACAAAACCTCCAATAGCACACAACTAAAATATGTTATGGACTGCGTTATTTTATAATTCCTTAAATTTCATCCTGCCTGAATAAACATGACAAATTAATTGTTGTGATCAAAACACCTTGTCACACGACAAAAAAAATTCATGATAGTACCACCTTTTACAAATGGTCAATCACAATGGCAGCAGCAACTCTCCACCTCCTTCCAATCCAATCAAGAAATATAATTGGTGGATCTTGATGTGTCTCATCACTTTCTCAACCCTCCTCACCACTCTCATGATGATTTATTTTAAAAAACGAACATTACATTTAACAACGTCATCCAATCATGAAAACGATGTCACTTTATCATCACCCGCAACAACGATTAATTTAATCAATAGGTACACCCCTCCAAAAATTCCACACGAATTTCAAAATTATCTCCTTCACAATAACAACAAAAAAAGTGAAATTCTTCCACAAATTCATCATCAAATCGGAAAATCAATATTTTCGAGTCACTACAATTGTATCAAACATATACCGGATCACGTCAATCAAACAAGTTTAAACAATAGATATTCACTCAATTGGAACTCACTTTATACTTCATGTGTTTTAGAAAATGTGTGTTTGAATAGGAGAGGAGAATGGTTGTTATATTTACATAACCCGCATGAAAGAAAAAAATTCAATGATCAAATTCTTGTACTCACAAGTTCCTTGAGATTGGTCATGCATGAATCGATCAAATTTAAAGTTCATACTCGAGTGCCTCCTCAACAACAAGTAACGCAATCCAACAATTATTTTACAGGAACAGATGAAAATTCAATTTTTAAAATTTCAAAACAATTTAGTTGGATTCAAACACCAACCTTTGCATTCTCGAGATATGCCACCTCGAATGTGGGTCACTTGATCATGGATAATTTATTTTCAGTTTTTAACATGATGGCAAATTTCGAGTATGTGAACTCCAATCATTTTTTACTGTTTTTAGATGATCCATTTAACAAAGAGACTGGTTCACTACCGAGAGCAGGTCATCCACCAGAGAGAGCTGAAGCAGTTTCATTGGAATGGGCAAAATTTTTCTCATCTCACAAACCTCTTCAGCTGTGTTTTGATCAATTCACAAATTCTTATTATATTCATTATGCTCCATGCAGACAAGATAACGTGGAACAATCCATTAAGGATCAACTGTCACGAGAAGAAGGCAATGAAGTGCAAACATGCTTCTCTAGCCTATTCATTGGATCTGTGGAGTCACATTATTTTGATTTTTATGGTCGTGAAACAATATTTCCCTTATTTAGGAATTATATATTGAATCAAGTGGGATATTTGGAATCAAAAAAGTATGGCCAAGAGAATCGCCAAACGCATACCTCCCATCAACGTACTCTCAAAATTGCCATTCAAAGAAAACCAATTTCTTCCAAACACAAAGATTCCATTATTAACACGTTCGAAATTGCAAATTACTTTAATGAGAAGAAAACAGAAATATTGACTCGTTTGAATGCCATCTATAAGAGATTTCATTCAGTGGAAATTATCGAGTTGAAATTAGAAGAATTGAAGGCCATGGAACAACTGCAATTCTTCAAAGATTTGGATGTTTACGTTAGCACTCAGGGATCTGCCTCGTACATGTCTATGTTCATGCTCAATCCAACATCTCTCCTCTTCTTCTCTCCTCTGTGTCGATCTGAAACTTTGCAATGCAGCGACTACAACATTCGAATTCACAAAACATTTTCAAACGTTCGAACCATTTCACTCAATGATCATTTAGACATGATTGAATGTGTCAAAGAGAATTCTCTCAATGGCGTTGGATATAAGGTGAAAAAAGTGGAACCACCAGGGAGCGTTTACTATTACGGTGATTGTCATTTGAGATTTAATGTTGAAAAGTTTTATGCATTGGTATTGGAAGAATTGGAAAACATTCATTCGAGTTCACGACATTTCAGTTGAGCATAGTTATTTGTATGTTGTGATCTTTTGGAAATTGATAATAATTTTCAACGTGATATTTTTGAAAAACCTGAAGGTATTCAGTTCCAATTCTGATATCTATTCGGTATTGCTATTTGAGGGAATCTGACACACTTCACAATAAGAGATTTGTCGAGAATTTGTCTTCACAATATAGGTATGCCATTTATTCCACATGAATGGTATTGAAACCAACAATGGGAATGGATGTACGAACCTCAATGATGAAGACACTTGTGGTTGGTTCTCACAACTTACATCAACATTTATACACAGAAAACAACCACCGAAAGCCACAACAATTAGGCCATCTTGATGACATTATTTTCAACCTTAGTGGGAAGTGGGAAACGTTTCTCCTGTTCGACACAGTGGGACCACGAGGGATCTTTTTTAAATTATGATAATTAGTAAAGTTTACAAAACATTGGTGGTACGGCTGAGTCATGAAAGGGATCTTCTTATCAAAGCGAAACGTTCATCCTGTGTGTGGATCTGCGTTAACCATTGCTTGATTTATATTCTTTTACTTCAATTGCAATCAACATCCTTAAATTCAACGGATATTAACACATTATTGTCAATTCATATCATCTAGATATCAGGATATCCTCTAATTGTATTTGAGTAAACCTGCGATCAGCAAGCACAATTTAAAAAACCTTTTTCTAGCGTCATCTCTGCTGCTCTCCATTACAAATTCGTTCGCAAAAGGAGTTCGCACACAAAAAATCCAAAAAAAATGTCCCAACAACCACCTTCTTCTTCACCTCGTCCTCATCATCATCAACACCCACAACTCACCGATACAGTCCTCATGGTGAGACCTGTGGATTTTGCTTTTAATGAACAAACTGCTGTAGATAATGAATTTCAGAACAGAATTGAGGATAAATCGGCTTCTCAAATTCGAGATGATGCTCTCTCTGAATTTGAACAGAGCGTGAAGAATTTGCGAGAGGCCGGTGTTCAAGTTTTGGTTTTGGAGGCTCCTAAAAGTCCACTCTCTACCAAAGTTCCTGATGCTGTTTTCCCAAACAACTGGTTCTCAACCTGTGATGACGGAACAGTGTTTACCTATCCCATGTTCACACAGAATCGAAGAGCTGAAGTTGAACGTTTGAATGATGTCTTGGAATTGTTGAAAGGAGCCAATCTCACTGTTTCTCGTGTTATTGAAATGCACAACGAACCATCATCGATGGCTTTGGAAGGTACCGGTTGTATGGTCTTTGATCATTTGAATGGTGTTGTGTATGCCAATTTGTCAGAGAGATGTCATGCCAAACAATTAGAAAAGTTTATTCAACACACTAACGGGGCTAAAACCGAGTTGGTGACATTCAGAACCAAGAGCTCGAATGGAAAGGAGTTCTATCATACAAACGTCATGCTCAGTATTGGCGAAGATTTTGCCATTGTTTGCTCAGCAGTCATTGTTGAAGAGGACAGAGAGAAAGTAATGTCAGCATTGAGAAAATCAAGAAAAACCGTGATTGATTTGACCATTGAGCAAACTGAAAAGTTCATGTGTGCCAATGTCCTGCAATTGTGCACAAAGACTGGAGGAAAAGTTATTGTCATGTCTGATTCTGCATACAACGGATTTACTGAAGACCAACGAAACATGTTAGAAAAGGAACACGGAAAGATCGTAGTATTCCCAATTAGCAAAACTATTGAAAAGATTGGTGGTGGTAGTGCACGATGCATGGTTGCAGAGGTTTTCAACCCTTCTCAGACCGATGTCAAATAATTTTGGGAGCCAAACCAAACAGGTTGCCACTGTTCGGTTTTCTCTCGTTCCTGCCCTTCAATTTTTCTTCCTCCATTATCCATGGTGATTTTTCCCATTGGTCATTTGTGATCAAGTTTAAACACAGAGTAAATTTTGTGAGTTACTCTCTTTAGAATTCATTGAACATTATCTTGGAGATCATGTTTTCCAATAATTCAAAATAACATTCAATAGAATTACAGCCAGCCCGCCAATTCGTCACCTCCAAACAACAACACAATTAAAAACGAAAAAATATTCATGAATCGTAGTGGCAGCTTTCGGAGAAGCTTTAGTGCTAGTAGCTCCTCATCAATGCAACAGGCATCCTCGGCGAACAAGATCATCAACAGCGTCAATATTAATAACAACAACAACCACCAAAATATCATCAACAACAATAACGAATATGAGGAAGTGGATGAGGAGATGGACGATACAATGTCGGGAGCAGGAAATATTGAGGATGATTTTGATTCTTCTCAACAAGAGCACATTACAGTTGTTGTTCGTGTAAGACCACCATTACCTCGAGAAGTAAAAGCTGCTCAGGAACGAGGTGAGCCCTTTGTGAGCACCATCAAAATTAATGACTCACACAAGAGTTTGACCATATCCGATTCCCTTGAGAGTGATTACAGCATGGGTCATTCGTTTACGTTTGATCACGTTTACGGTGAAGATAGCAAACAAGATGAAATTTATGAAAATCATGCAAGAGGAGCTGTACTCTCGGTTCTAAAGGGTTATAATGTAAGTTGATCATTTATTTAGGCTTGCATTTACATTCCTTACAATGGATTTTAGGCTACTCTGTTTGCTTACGGCCAAACTGGTACAGGTAAGGTACGTTACATTTTAATGAATGAACTGTTTTAACGTTGTGGATTCATCACACCATTAGACATTTACCATGGAGGGGTTTAGTGGAAAGAGAGAGCTAAGGGGAGTCATTCCGAGAGCAACGGAAGATATTTTTGATTGTAAGTTGATATCAACTCCAGAAAAATCTTTGTTTATAAACCTCACTCAGACATAGAAACAAAAGGATCTTCGAACATTAATTTTTTAATCAGAGCATCCTATCTTCAGATTTACAAAGAGGTCATTTATGACCTGTTGGATCCATCAAAAAGTAATCTTACAATAAGAGAGGACAAGAAAAAAGGAACGTGTGTGGAAGGTCTCACGGAAGTGGTTGTAAGAACGCCTAAAGAAATTTATCAACTTATTGAAAGAGGTCGAAAAGGAAGAGCAAAAGCGGCCACAAAGCTGAATGAAGAAAGTAGTAGAAGTCATGCTGTATTTATAATTGTGGCGGAACATCTTGAACGTAGCGTCTCCAATGAGGAGGACATTGATTGTGCCAACGCTGATGCAATCACAGGAAAACAGGGTACTCATGAGGTGAAGGAATCATATCGCATTGGAAAGCTCAATCTTGTAGATTTGGCAGGTAGTGAGAGAGTTTCTGTGAGCGGTGCTTCTGGAGATTTGCTGGAACAAACAAAAAAGATCAATCTGTCACTGACATGCTTGGGAATGGTTATTTCTGCTCTCACTAAAACATACAAGAAAAAGGAGGTCTATGTGCCATACAGAGATTCCAAGTTGACCAGATTATTAGCCGACAGCTTGGGTGGCAATTGTAGAACCACAATGTTAGCTATGGTCTCACCAGCGCTTGAATTTTATGGTGAATCTTTGTCTACTCTTAACTTTGCAAAACGTGCAAAATGCATCAAAAACGTGGTGACAGTGAATGAAGATTTAGATCAGAGAGCCCTTTTAAGAAAGTATGAAAAGGAGCTGAAGAGATTACGAATTGAGCTATCCAAAAAGAATAAGGCTGTTGTTGGAAAGCAAAGAATTCTTGAATTGGAAGAGGAGAAAAGAAGGGCCGAGGAGGACAAACTTGCTGCTATTGAGGCCTTGGAAGCTCGTTCAAGAGAGTTTCTTCATGAAAAAACGCTTAAAAGAAAACTGGAGGAAAAGATCGCTCATCTTCAATCTCAACTGTTGGTAGGAGGTGAGAAAATTGAAGAAACACCCGCATTCCGAAAGCTTATCAAACAAGAATATGAACGTGTTCATAAGCAGTACGAGAAAAAGTTGGCAGAATTAGAAAGAGAGAGACAGTCCATTGAAGAGGATAAAGCTCAAGTAGACCGGTACAAACAATTATTACTGAAACAGCGAGACATCATGATTGCTCTCACAGCAAGATTGAATGAAAGAGACGAAACTATTTTGTCGCTACAAGAAGAACTCGATGCCTATGATCATCATCAGAAAATGTTGGAGGATGCACTAGATAGAAAAACAGCAGCACTCATCCATCTTCAAAGAGTCACGGATGCTGGGTTATGCACTAAGGAAAAAGAAAAGCAAGCTCTTAGAAAAATAATTGAAGTCAAAATGATACCGTACATGAATACCATTTACAAGAGTATAAGTGCTTTCGAAACTCCAGAAATGGAAGATACTGCTAAACAAGTGAAGAAACAAGTTGCTACAGTCACTCAGCTCATGAAACAAACTGCTAATGCTCTTTCTTTGAATTCTGGCAATCCTTCTTCCTCTGAAGAACAGCAATCTTCTGAAGCTTCCGTAAATCAATTTCAAGAATAAAATTGTATTATCTACATCTCAGCCGAAGTGTCTCAAATGAGTAATCCACGTTTTGAATTGTCTTTCGGAAGCAAGTACAACTTCAATGAAAACATGAACTCTTTAGTGGCATTGATTCGAACAAGAAACACAGCAGCTGATGTTCAACACTCATGTCCGGAAACGACTTTGGAGTATCTTTAAAATTTTTCTCAATCAAAACAACCCAATCAATTCAATTATGTTGTGGAGAGAAGAATTTTTGCGAACGAAAAAAATATTAAATCTTGCTGCGCCTTTCCCTCCTTCATCATCACGATCCATCATCAATAATTCTTGAATTTTCCAAAACAAGATGAGAAAAGCAGCAACAACATCTTACGTACCACCAACAGCATCTACTACAACAACATCAGAACCGGTACCCCCTTCAACATCACCTTCTTTCATTAATAGTGTAACAAATTTCATTAGAAATTTACATAAAGCAAAAGGCTTGAGGGAACCTCGTAAATATGAAGATTATAACAGAGAAGCAAAGGATTTATTTGTTACCGATGCTGGAGAGGGCTTCACTGTCCAATTAAACAAAATAATTGGACAAACAGCTCAACATGAATTTGGTTTGTCCCACTCCGTCTTTGTTGGTGGAAGCGGAATGAGACCACCAGATTATACCACTACCGTATCGTTTGCAAACAAGACAACTAATCTTCTCTCTCAAATTCAACTTCCACATTATATTCACTTTTTCATGTTGAAACGCAAATTCTTGAATGAAAAACTTACGACCGAAGTGAATTATGCAAATGCAAATAATAACCTTATCGCAAAAGCAGATTATTCAGATAAGGATTATGTGATTGATGCTCAGTATGATCTTGAGAAGGGCAAAATTCAAATTTCCTATATGCAAAGCGTTTTACCATTCCTTCAACTCGGATGTTCTGGCTTCTATAGAACCTCGGACAGAGTGAGTGGTCTTTCCACATGTATGCGTTATCAACCAACAAAGGAAGCTGTTGTTACTGCTGAAGCTAAGGTGTCTGGTCCACTCTCTCAAGCCAATACCTATAATTTGAAGGCTTCTTATTATCAACAAGTGGGTGTTGATACATTTTTGTGTACGGAAGCAACCTATGATGTTTCTGAACGCACTCTCAATTTCATTTATGGATTCCAACAAATGTTCCAACAAGCTAAATTCCGTGTTACTGCATCTCAAGACTTTAATATTAAGGCTAGTTTTGATATCATGCCAACCATGTCGACCAATATTAACACCTCAATTGATGCAAATCCAGCCAAGTCAGAATACAAATTTGGTGTTGCCATTCAGATTAACTAATAAATTCAATCTCTCAGTCTTTTATATGGTGCAAGTAGATCATGTTGGATGAATTTGATCGTGGAGGATAGCAACGTTGTGTAAGCGAAACAATGTATGGGTCACAGCACATTGTATTTCAAGCAGTCTCTTCACTCTTCATCTTTTTTCTCAAAACAAGCAGGTCCATCATGTCCTCTCTACCTTCCATATCGTTGTCAAGTGTATCGTCATCATAGTCAAATATCCTTTCTTCAATTTCAATCTTGGGTTCTGCAATGTCAAGACGTGGCGTTGAATCAATGAAATTATTGATGTTGACGTTAGGAGTGTTAAGGTTCGCTTGAACTGCAGGGCGAGGAGGTGAAATTTTCTTTGGTAGAATGGTCGTCTCATCATCGAACATGAGTTGTTTTTTCACTCGATCAAACGTCTCTTCCTTGAGAATGTTAGGTTGTTTTCTTCCCTTATTTCCCAGTGGAGTCTCTTTTATGCTTTGCTTCTTCATTAAGATCTTACCCATGAGTTTACCCACCATTTGAGAATCGAGTTGTATGGAGGCTGTATTGTTCAACGACACACCAGCTTGAGGTGACATCATAAAATTAGGTGAAACAATTACCGATTTTTTCTTGTTCCTTACATGTGGATTGTGATCGAGGACGGCATTGGTACTTTTTGGTCGACTTTGCTGGGCATGAGCATGTTGAGAGAGATGTTTAGGACTTGGTGTTTGAGCATTCACTAATATTAATTCAGGTGACGCCGTTTGTTTTTTAATGGGTGTCGAGGGAGCTGATTTGGGTCTATTTCCCATCATCATCGATGGAAGGTTATGTGAGGGAGGAAGCTGTCCTAGATGACCAAAATGTTGTTGTTGTTGTATTTGAGAATTTGGTCTATGCGGATCATTGTGAAACATGTTGTAGAGCTGGTATTAATTTTGGATTGGAATGGGATCACCATTTTCAAAAAAAGAAATATTATCACTTCAAGAATGAAAAAAACTTACATTATAAAACTTTTCTTGCACCACCTTTGTAGTTTCTGTTTTGTAATATTTGCTGTCTAGTTTTTTCTGAGGTGTTGTCGTTGAGGGATCTCTTGCAATGTCCTTCGAAGGCGAAGAAAACGGTGATACTGAGGGAATGGGAGTGGAGGGTTGAGTCACCAAATTTGAGGGAGTTGGTGTTGTTGTTGTGGAATTGATGTTGTTGGATCTTGGTGACGTCTGTGTAGTGGGAGGAATTGAAAGCGAGGGAGTGATAATGACGTGACCATTTTTGATAAGCTCATTCAATTGATTTTGTTTTTTCAATAGTCGTTCTTCCAAATCTCGAAGGTCTTGTTCTTTCTTGTTCAGTTCGAACGATCTTTCGCTCTTTTCATGAATGTTCAATCGGAGAGAAATGTTCATCACAGCAACACCAAAGACTTACCAAATCGTTTCTTTCTTTCTGTTGAGACGCTTCCTTTTCTTCGTAGTCCCTTAGTTTTTTCTCAAGTGCTTGAATTTTCATTTCATATTCAGTCCTTATTTGTTTTTCAAGAAGTAAAAATTGTTCTTTCAGTTTTAGTTCCTTGTGACGCAGTTTTGCTTTTTGAATTCTTAATTTTACAGCGGAATAGTTGAGGATATGATTAATATCTGGTCGTTTGTTTGGGTCTTTTTCTAACATTTTGAAAATTAGAAATTGGAGCTCCATTGAATATTGTTTAGAAAGAGGTCTTGGTGTTTCACTCACAATTTTCCTGTAAGATTGTTGACTTGGGTTACAAACACCATTAAAAGCTCGTCAATGAACACTTACTTGGCAAGTGCAATTTGATTCGTTGCTAGAAAAGGTGGAGAGAAGGATGCCAGCTCATACATGAGACAACCGAAAGCCCAAACGTCACTCTTGTGGTTGTATGGCCTTTCTTGACATAATTCTGGGCTTTGGTAGAGTGGAGTTCCCACATTAGTCGAAGCAAAAGAGGATTGAGGACCGAGTATTCTTCCGAGTCCCATATCCCCGATTTTCACATTATCTTCTGCGTCAAGGAATATATTCTGTGGTTTAATATCACGATGCTGTGATAATAGATTTGATTAAATTTGTTGTTACATTCTGCTTGTCATGCAAAAAACCAAAAACACTTACTAAAATTCTCTTGTCATGCAAATACTTCAAACCTTGTGAAATTTGAATGAGAAAATTCCACAACAAGTCCTCCTTAAATGGTTTTCCTTGCTGTTGCTTGATCTTTTGCGTGAGATCTCCTCCAGATGCATATTCCATAATAATACAAAGAAAATTATTCTCAATAAAAGAGTCTAAATATTTGATGATATTGAAATGTTCGCATTGACTCATCAGCCGAGCCTATTCCAATGGCCGGTTCACAGAGCCGTTCATTACGAATAATCTCGTTGAAATTTCAAAATTCTTACCTCATTCAAAGCCTCCTCTTTGTCTCTCTCATCAACGCCATCCAAGTTTACTACTTTTTCAACACAAATTTCTCCCGTTATTCGATTCCGAACCTTATAGACCTTTCCATAAGATCCGGATCCTAATTCTTCAAGAATTTCATAATCCTGAAGGACCATTCTTCTCTCTCTCGTCGAGGTTGTTGTTTTTGAAGTCCTACAACTCCACTTCAAAGATCAAGGAAGTGAAAAATTTTAATGATGAGAGAAGGATATATACTCGCAAGAGTGGTGGTTCAATTTTTTTGTATGTTTTCAAATTTCGTTTTGGCGCCTTTTTTTTTCAAAATCAATACTGGTTGAATAACAATAGAGAGAGGAAAATTTCTGACACGGTATCTTGTGCCTTATTAAAATCTTCATCAAGGAATTGTTTGAAACATACATGTATTCGTACCAACCTCCAAAAGTGTAAAGTTGTGGTTCACTCGTCAACTTGTGGTAATGGGATGGTGCTAAAGGATTGCAAAAAGGTTTGATTTTTGTTTCTGCAAAAACAGATGAAAAAAGGCTACAGCACTGCAGATTCCCAAGTTGTCTCCAACCTCAGTACTGATGCAGCTCGATGAAACTTAACTTCTCAAATCGGACGGGATGAGGTGCATTCATCGTGATATGGCCGTAGCCTAATGTCTCAAATGTTTTATTCATTTCAATAGGAAAAAGACACCTGCTCAAGTTGCCTTACGAACATTAATTCATTTAAACTTTGAAAACTGTCCTTCTCAACGGCCTTCCAATGTTGCCGAATAAAACAACAGAACATTATTTATGGACAAAAGATGAAAAGATGCATCCAGCTGTCATTAGGAGCAGACCGAGGACAGCAATCCAACCAACAACAGCCTTCAGCACCCGGCTTGAATTTAATGGTACTTTTGCAGTGAGATCACTTTGTACTGCTCAAAGGTTTTTATTCTCTCCTATTCAGTTCATAACATCATTCAAGAAATGAGAGAGTATTTTGTGGTTTCAATAAATATCTTTAAAGTGAAGCATTGGTCGGATTGAACGTTATGAACTTAAATATTTTTACAACCCTTACATGAAAAGGTAAAATACAGTTTTAATTTTCGTTTTGTTTCGTTTTGGAATGGTTAAAGGTGGTCCTGAAATGGTTGATGTTAACACTTTGATTCAATGCTTTTCATTCATTCTTTAAACACCTTAGTGAACATCAATGTTTGAGATTTTCCTCATTCGGTTCCAGACCTATTTAAGCTACCATGCATGCTTCTCTTTTTATTGTCACTTCGTTTTCGAGGTTCAATCCAATGGTTGAATGGCAGTGGAATCCTTTTCCCAAATGTGCCTCGAAACCATTTTAGTAAATGTATTTGCAAGACAACTGCACTGAACAATTGCTTATCACGACCATTACTTTCTCACGTGCTTGGAGCCAACTTTGGACACTCTTTTTATCATGATTCTAACCGCAACATCTTTTTTGAAGATTCGCTCTTGCTCAAACTCCAACCATTTAGGGATTGAAGAATACGCGGTTGGTGTGACCCACAAACTTGAAAAGTGTCTCTCAATCTTGTTCATGGATGATTTATTTCCTGTTTCGACCAATGACCCCATTCAACATTTCTGGCGTTTTCATTAAAATGATCGTTGCATCCTTCTTTCCATGTTTCGACTTTGAATCATTCTTTCTTTTTTTGGTGGAATTTAAAAGTACAATATTGATTAGATCGCATTGCTTTTATCCACATAAGAACATTAGTTGTTCAATTAGAAATATTCCGAGGAGTAGATAACGAGGGCATTTGGAGAGCCAATCCTTTTGTGCGATGGTTGAAAAAAGGTAATTTAAAGCTCTTCGCTACTTTGACTGGCCCTTTTAACATAAAAAAAGACATTACACATGACCAACTCAAACATGAATGGATCAACGCACAATTGTGTTCACAACAGATTTTATGACCCAGACTCGCCATCAAATGTCTTTGACTATTCTCAACTTGCACATTTTGTCTTTCCCAAGTGTAAGGAATCCTCGAACCCATTGGCCATGAGTGATTCTTCAATAACTGCTCCCCTTGAAGAAGAAGAAGTAGAATGGATTTCTTGTGAAGAAGAAATGAAAGAAGACTTCTTAAGAACATCCATCATGATTGAGGAGGAGGACGACCATCCATCTGTCCTTCACTTCTTGGAATTGGATTTCTCAACAACCTTGGATGAGAACCACAATAACATGAACCGAATCATGGAAAATGTCCCAGAAGAAACAACTCTCTGTTTGGATGCTTCCTCATCGATACTCACAACGACTCTACCATCAACAACAACAACAACAACAACCACCACCACAATACCTAACAGCAGTGCTGTCAAGAGGATGACCATGAATGAACAAGACAATTTCTCTCAACAACGTTCGTGTTCACAACAACGTTTCTTTGAGACGACGACTCCCTCCTCTGAGTGGACGTGTTGTGTCTCTCTCCTTATCACCACTCTGTTGCAAAGGACGATCAAGCAAACTCTCCTCACGGTATCCATTGCAATCTTATCCATGCTCATACTCTCGATTGTGAAAGAACACTCCAAACGAAAGGACTCTCTTGAAAGAGTAGAAACTAATCGACTTCTGAACGATGAGATGATTCTTGTTGAGAAACAAGTAGGGATCAAAGAAATTACAAAAGATGTTAAATTCACCTCAATAATGTCGAGTTTGACAATGGCAGTGAATGTTTCAGGAATATTCGTATGAGAGAGAGACATGTTTGAATGTTTAACTTTGGCGGAATTCAACTTTTTGAACATTGCCATCTGTGCTTTAAAAGCATCATCCATGGAGATGATCCAGGCATAGATGACTTTCTTCAACTCCATTGTGTTGTTCAAATAAACCGCACAATTTTTGTTATTTTACAACATTTTACGAATTTCATGCAAGTGTGCCAATCACTATTAGAAAAGAACACTTTGCACAAAGTTGAGAGTTTCTTCTAGTTGTTCAAATTTGGCTTTCATTGCTCTTTTCTCTTGATGGAATATGAACGGGTTGCAATTGTTGTTGATCAACTGAAGTCATGTTTAACAACGCATCAATTATTGACCATGAATTGCAATCTCACTCGATGAAGTGAGCATTTGGAATTCCCATGTTCATAAAAATATATTTTTATGAACATTCCATTTGGACAACTGTACTATCGTGAAAGTGTTGGTTTACAATAAATAGACACTCCACCCGCTGCTTTGGATCCAAACAAAAGCGTCTCTTGTAATCAAAAAAAAGAAACGAACAGCAATGAAAAGCGTCTTGTTTCTGTTCGTTGAAGGGTTGTCATGCCCTTTGTGATGATGGAAAAAAGATTTCTCGTCACAAAGGGCGCGAAACATCTCAAATGGTGCCTCAAGAATGCTTCCTGATGAGAAATTTTGAGTCTTTAAAGATCATGAGAAGGAAGCTCACAGCAACTCATCCTCACCACCAAATTGTTTTTGATTTGACACCTACCTTCAAGAAGGGTTAAATTCTTGAAATGACATTGTAAAGGAGATTAGGATCATAAAGTAAATATCAAAGAGATCTCTTTTGATGTCAACTTTCTCATCTTCTTCCATGAGTTTTGTTGAATTCAAAAAAATGTCGGAAAGTGAAACATCAATCCAAACATCATCACCCAAACAACAACAACAACAAGATGATACCATCATTCAGTACATTGTGATTCGGAAAGACCTCATGGACCCTCCTTACTCCTATGCCATAGGCTCTATTGTAAGCCAAGGTAGTCATTCGAGTGTGGCTGTTATTTCGGAATCCATCTTGGCTCAGGATGAAATCACTTTGAAATATGTCGATCCGAATGCTTCTTCTCAAATGCATACTATTGTGTTGGAATGTCCGAATGAAAAACAATTACTTTCTCTAAAAGATTCATTAGAACAGGCTCAATTGAAATATAAATTATGGATTGAACAACCAGAAAATATTCCGACAGCAATTGCTTTGAAGCCCTATTATCGATCAATAGTCGCAAAATTTGTAAAAAAGTTTAAACTGTTTAAATAGGAAGGATGGAGTTGATTGAGAAAATTGATGGGTCCATAATATTATTCCATTCAATAATTATCGATATAATCAATGAATAACGAATGGATTTTTTGTTTTTCATTTCACACAATTCATTCATTTAAAATTACTGACACACCCAGAAAATCCATCATTTTAGAATGTGACATTTCACTCTCACCTATAGTTGTGATGAATTCAATGAACGTAAATACTCTGTTTGTTGAAAGAAGAACTATCCTTCTATTTTCATTTCCAATTCAGTTTATTCCAAATCAAAAAAATCATCCTTTCTACCTCCTCGAAGATCATCTTTATCCTTTCTCTATCTATTAAAATGATGAGCTTTAAAATCGTCTTTGCCATGCTCGTGACCATGGCGGCAGGAGTGTCCATTGGATTAATGTTAGCCATTGTTGGATGTGCAGTTACGTGGGGATCAACTCCTCATCCCGAAAATTGGTTTGCCATCATCACGTTACTCTGTTATGTGATGGCTCCATTTCCCGATATTATTGCAAGAGCATTCTCATCACGAGTGGAAAAAGAAGATGAAGATGATGCTACCATTTGGGAACACTTTGGTGCTTTCTTATCGGCTTTTATTGGAACGATTGGATTGGGATTATTATTTGTTTTGGCTCATACTGGAATTATTCAATGGGAAACTTTTGCTTTTGAGATTAGTGGTGGAATAGTCATCCTTTTGTCCATGATGGCTTGTTTCATTGTCTATAAGATTGTTAAACGAAGAGAAGAATCTTCCGATAGTTTTTATTGAGCAGTTGATTTATGAACAAGAGAGTGCACGATCATCATTTTGAAGCCTAAAAGCTTTTTTCAATCATCCTCCTCATGAACTTACAAAATACTACTTGCTTTGCAATGGATCGTTCCTTGCATACTTGTGGTCGAAGTATGATCATTAAATATTCGCCTTTGTTTTTCAGAATTATTGCAATTATATGTTTAAGAAGACAATATTAAAAAAATGTATCTCGAATGTAACTTGCCCATCAAAGCCGACACTTCGGACTCGTATTTATCAGCACTCACGCACCGATGTAACTTTTTGAGAAATTGTAGGTTTTTTGAATTGATGGATTATTGGAAAATAATATTATTATATATTATTATATATTATTATAAACATCATATTACGTAATTCTTGAAAAATCACATTCCGAAATTCATTTCCTTCGTTGGTACTCCAATGAATGATAATTATTATTCAACTTTCTAGTGGGATGGCAAGGAGTGGCTCTCAACATTTCTATTGACTCGAGTAACATTGGACAACAAAATCAAATCATTCAAGAGGTTTTTCCAAAAATTGTTAAATATGTGAGCGACGAATTGGAACAACACAAAATTCAACACAATTCGAAAATTTCCTTCATTGCTCCATTTCGCAAAAATTCAAATGCAACCTCTTCAATTTATAATCAAGATGGAGGAAAGGATTTTAAAATTTACACACGTTTAACCTATGGATCAGATCTTCATAAGAAAATTGTGAATATGAATTTTGAGGAAGATTTATATCAGAATATTGACATTATTGCTCTTGATTTGTCATTAGGCCAACATTTATCAGCAGATAACATGATTACATATTTAAGCACCATTTGTTCAAAATCGAGTATTGATTTGTTAAGTTTTAAACCACCCTTGGATATAACTTTAGATACAGTCATTAGAAAATCCAAAAACAAACTGAAAGAAGCCATCAGAAGAAATGTTTGCATGGAGTTTTGTTATGGAGATGTAGTTAATTCTAAGGAAGCTCTTTCCAAGTTTGGAATTTCAAATTGGATCCAGTTTTTGATTGCTCTTATTCGTAATTTTAAAACCAAGCAATTAATATTCTCTAATGGAAGCTCGAAAATGTTAAGTACTGCAGTAATGCAAGATGTCAATCAGTTACCATTTATTAGATCACCGCATGACGTTGCTAACATTGTTGGTTTGTTTGGCCTTAGTTTTGTTGTCGGAAAGTCACTCATTACAACCAATGCTTTGCATGCACTTAAGCATGCAGAAATGAGAAAAGCCATTAGAGGTGTGGTGAAAGTGACTGAACTCTCTCTCGATTCAAGCAAAAAGAGATCTTTCGACCAATCCATGGAAGATGAATAAAAAAAATTGGTGTTAACTGTGATCATAATCCCTCTCATTCAACACAAGAGTTCTCCCTGAAAGAAAAATACATCCTCAACCAACTCTCATAAACGGGGCTGATTCAAAATTGGTTGCCATTGAAAATTGTTGTCCACATGTGTTCCTATGGGAGTTGTTATTATTTCTCCCGCCATCACCTGTTGTGGAAGATTGGTTTGATCTGGATTGAAGACATGCATAACTACGTTCGTCATCATTTTGTCCACCACTGTTTGCATCATCTTCATCTCCACTATCGTATTTGCTGTTGAAAAGATCACCCTCAGGAATATATGAAGATTCTCTTTGCCTTCGCTTTCGTAAAACGTCGGTCTGTAAACACAAACAAAACTTTGGAACCCAGACTCTCTTTCGATGTCTAAGTTTAAACAAAGGAACATTCACGTCCACAGAATGCAAAGATGGTATTGAATGTTTCACATTTGATGTGCTGTCTTGATCAGTGTTAGAAAACTCTTTGCAAGTTGGAATTCTTTTCTGCTTGACAATTTGTTCTGAAAGATCGGACGCACAAATAATTTCATTCAATTCCTTAAACAGTTGACTTCCTCCAACGACCACTGTTGGTGATGAGCAAGAGGAAGCCAATTCAATCTCCACTTCATCTTCATTGATGGTTATCACATTACCAATTTTACCATGCAAATATGGATCTAAGCAGTCGTTGTGAAGAAGATCATTCATCCTCTCTATATATATTATTAATTTGTAAAACAAACATACCTACAAATGCACTTCCTGTTATTCCCAGTTCTTCATCATCAACCACAATCATGACCAAGTCATTCTTCCTCAAATATATGGCTGAACTTCTATCTAAAAGTGTGTACTTTCGATCACTGTTTTGAGAGGGCGAATACAGGCTGCTTAGACTCGTTGAAGAATCACTAGAAGAGAATGCTCCTTGCGGTTGCACTTCGGTAGGGGATGAAGTGAGTAAATTCAAATTCTCTGTCGAGAGTTCATTAAGAGCAAACGACTTCTTCATGCGAGGGACATAGTCATTCAAAAAGTGAGGAACCTGTTGTTGTGCTGTTTCGAGTAATTCGGGCTCGATGTGTTGCTGCACACGTGCAAAGCCTCTCTTGGGAGGACGAATGGTAGGAGGTCGAACTTTTCTCGGTAATGGAATGGGAACGACCTCATTCTCTTCCTTGGTTTCTTCATCATCGCTATTGGTGGCATTCTCATTGTTTGTAATTGTAGTTGGAGGAGGATGAATCGGGTTGGATGAAGATTGAACTTGGTTGTTGTTCTTGTTATCCATACAAGAGGAGGCTGTTGAAGAGGTTGTCAGTACGGCCTTGGATGGTTGTACGCTCCAGTGAAGGGCTTCATTCACTTTTTGAGGGTGCTCTAATAAGGTTGCGTGTGGGTGATGGTTCTGCATCTTTGGAGGGTAATGATGAAAATTGTTGTGGTTGCTATTATGATGGTGATGAAACATGGAATATTGATTGGAAACCTCGTGATGGGAAGGAAAGTTGTTCAATTTCAAATTCTGATTTGTTCCTCTAAGGATCGTTGTTTGTTGTGGTGGATGATTATGGTAAGGTGGTGGATGAGGTGGGGCGGATCCTTTCCGTGTAGATCGGTTTCCTTGTTGAGGATTTGAGGTGTGAAGAGTGGTGGTGGTGGTGGTGTTGGTGGTGGTTACTGATGGAAATTCATCATCATAGTTCTTTCGCTTTGATGTCCATTCGAGAGTGGATTTTCTCCTCCTCGTCGTTGCCGTGCATGAATCATCATCATCAAAAAGAGATGGGACATGATCATTTTGAAAAGGATGTCGAACACTTGTCTGATTTTCTTCGAGCGGGTGTTGCTCTTGAGGAAACCTTTGCAAGTAAAAGTCGTGGATGATTTTCTTCATGGAGGTATCCGTGGTTGGTTGTTGTTGTTGTTGTTGTTCTTTCGCAAGGATGAATGTCTGTTGTTGTGTCTGTTGTTTCCTGTATTCTTGATACGGAAACAGCGGTTGGGACGTATGGTTGGGGCTCATCCGATTTTTAGTAACAAATCCTTGAAATCTATTTCATGTAAGTTGTGCACATTCATGAGAATACAATCCTTCTCTGCACGCGCATGCGCCTTTTTTTGATTGGCTTGTCTGATGACCTCATTTGACTTCGAATGTGTTGGGTTTGCCTATTAATGTACAAAACAGTGTTTCTACCTTAATCGTCCCTTGGTCGTCGATCAAACATACCATGAAAGGGTTGTCACTAGTGAATTAAGGCTCTCCTTAATTTTAGGAAAGCATGAAAACCAATGATGGTGATGTTTCGTGTGGGTGGCATGGCGGCTGTTTCAAAACTCTTTTCAAGCCAATGATTGGATCTGATCACACTCGTTTCACGAGACACGAATTGTAATTAATTTCAAAAGGATTGAATTCCTATCAAAAGAGTAGGATGGTCAAATTGAAGCCGCACTTTCAATGATAAATTCTTCTTCCTTTCCGCGACGTGCTTTGAGAGAGTAATAATTGACCTGAAAACGAATGATTTTAACTTCATGGCTGCGCCTTTTTTCCACAATCTTTCGATTTGAAAAAGCAAGTGCTCCTTCGGACACCGAACACAGCACATCCTATTCGCTTCATAAAAAACAACCACTTCGTCATCTGACACACCACATCAGCAACAACAACTCTCTCACGAATCGAACTGTTGTTGTCTGCTAAGAATACGCAAGCTCTCAAGATCACCGATTCACTCCTCTTTCAACAATTGTAAATACTCTTCTTTCAAATCACCGTCTGTCTGGTCATTCCATAATTATTCGATAATTTTTCGATCCAGAACACCCAGCACGCTGTTCTTGCTTTCCTTCAAAAGAGAGCACACGTCCTAAAAAGCACAGAAGAATTTCGCGAATTATTATTTTTTCAACCACCCTTCCATTTTGGAACTCATCAACCACCTTTGAATGCGTGGTTGTCATCTTTGAAGCGACCTCGACCAACAACAACACTACTGAATCAATCACCATACCACGAACAACAACAACAACATCACCAGTATTTTGATATATTTTGATACGCAACGGAACTTTCCTTGGACCATCACCATCCACTGATACTTCTCCAGTCATCTTGCATTCTTTTCATCAAAAACCAGAAAAATGCAGCAACACTACACCTCGCTCAGTAGCAACGGATCTAGTAGCGCTCAACAGCAAACTTACGGAAGTACCAGCAACAACACCACCACCACGAGCACCACAAGCGTGAACAACAACACCACCACGGGTTCAGCAACCACCAACACCACCACAACACCTTCCTCTTCCTATAACTCATCTCCACTACCACCTTTAAATTGGACAAAATCAGAAACTTCATCACCCTCTCTCTCAAATTTAGATTATGGCTCGTTGCTTCCTTCTTCTCCTCTGGTTTCACCCAATGCTTTTCCTTCTTCGGCAGTTTCACCATCTGGGATGATGGTAGGATGTGTTTCGACTCCTCCTTCCAACCATCAGGTAACCAATTCTCAACCACAACCATCACCACAACAACCACCTCACCATAATCCCTATTATACGGGATCGAGCAGTACTCATGGTGCCTACTCTTCCTCCTATCATTCACATCATGGTACTTCGGGTTATCACTATTATGGTCATCATCAGAACCAACCTCCTCCACCACCACCTGCACATCATCACCATTATATGCCTCCACCTTCCATGCCTCCCTCTCACCATCATCATCCACAACAGCATACGTTTCATGAAAATGGTGCTTCTAGTAATCAGCAACAACAACATTTACCACCACAACACACCATGATGATGAATAATACTCCGCACCAGCAGCAAGCATCAACCATGTCGTATCAACCATCATCATCGCATCATAATCACCACCAACAAAAGGGATCTTCTTCGCCCTCTACATCGTCCGATTCTAGTAACACTTCTTCTTCGACTGGAGATGCAACACCTACCACTGGGAATCGAGTCTCATCCTCACAACTTTCTAATAGTAATACCTCACATAGTACTAATAACAAAACAAACAAGTCGCAGAATAATGCAGACATGACCTCAGACATGATGTCTTCAGCTACCACTACTGCTCCTTACTCTCCAACACACACCACATTTTCTGAGTCAGTGGCAACACCTGCAATGGATGACACCCAGGGAGGTCAGTTCGCTCAAATTGCCTGCACGAATTGCAGATCCAGACACAAGAAGTGCACTCGTGAGCTTCCTGTATGTACCTACTGCAAAAAGATGGGAAAGCCATGCATCTATTTGAAGAGTAGAAAGGGCCAGGATCAACAAAATAGAAAAAAGAGAAAAAAGAAGAAAGATGCCTTGAATGAAGATCATGCGTCTAACTCAACAACATTGCAACAGGGAAATACTGATAATTTTGCTACACCAACAATCACAACAGCATCGAATAGTAATACACTAATGGTTCCTCAACAACCATTGAACCCAACAAATATGGCCCCACCTTCTACAGTCACAACAACAACCGTCATGGCATCTGGTACTTCGGCCTGTTTGGCACCTCCTCCCATTGTATCATCATCAAGTAACAACACAACCACAACAACACCACACAGTGTTGTCGCAAATTCGTCTTCGTCTAATTCTTCGACCTATAACGATATGCATTCCCCATTACCTTCCTCTGCACATGGTTCTTCTCCTCTCTTAACACATCACTACAATCCAATGGCATATTCCGAGAGAGATGTTCAAGACCCTACTTCTATCTCAATGGTATTTTCATCATTTATTCACTCCATGAACTTTAAAATTACAGCACATAAATTACTGGACTTGTACTATAAGGAGTTATGCGCTGGATTTGCTCTAGTTGATAAGGGGCTTATGGAAGGACTCATCGATCAATTGATGGGAAGTGACGGCTCTTCTTCCAATAACTCTACCATGATTTTGAACCATATTCAATTGGATTCTGTGACACAAGATGGTCTCATTTCCATACTTTACTCCATTCAAGCATTAGCACTCCAGCAAAGTGGTGAATATGTGCTTAAGGGTGATTACAGGCAACGGCTCATGGAATTTTTACACAATGCTGCTAAGGAAAAAATTGCAAAGTATTTTGACAATATGGACAATATCTATGTCGCTGTTGCGTTGCACTATTTATCTGACTATTTGTGTGGTGAAGGAGATTTTAGAAAAACCTCACTTTATTTGGCCATGGTAAAACAAATGATAGGACTTCATGGTTATGGTGGACCAAATGATCACCAAGTAGGCACTGCATCTGCTTGTTACTCTTCGCAAGATAATCCTTCTCTTCCCAAGTTTTTGTTAAGAATTTTAGTAAGATATAAGGAGACTTTCCTTTCCGACTACATGTCCAAACAAAATGGAGGGCAAGCAAACAGTGCCAGCATGAAGTTATTCGGAGTTTTTGCATCAAGAGTTAAACTGGACACCAGTTTCTTTGATAGAGAAAAGGGGTTCATTGGTAGTCAGTACTTACCGCATATTGAACACGTGGTACAAATTGCTCACACATATTATAGTCTCTTGTTTGAGACCATGTACCAAGCGCAAGGAGATTTGTTCTGTATTTTCTCAAACGTTTTTATTAGAGAATTTTACTTGGATTTGTACAGCAAAGTAGAAAAAGTACCTGCAGAAATTTTACTCTCATTTGCAAATGACATTATTTCGTACACTAAAATGGAAAAGTACATATTCGCTCCCTATGTCATTGCGAATGGTATTGCAAAGGCAGTGTCCGTTCGTTTAGAATATTGGAAGCATACCTATCATCCAATTGATTTCAGAGATGATTTGCGAGCATTGAAAGTTCTTTCAACACGTTATGGTGTCGTTCAAAAGCTCTATGGTGATCTTATTAATCAAATCGAAAATGCAATTCTTTTGCAGTATAGCAGTAACAGTTCAACGGAGAGATTGTTGACGAGTGGACTTCAAGGTGTGAACCCTCCTCTCGTGGGAATGCAAAATCCAATTTCCTTTGCTTCGTCGTCAGCATCATCGACTCTGACACCAGCAACCACCACAGAAACAACCTCTTCTTCTGATATTGCTGCGTCTACTTCAACACCATCCAACACCACCGAAACTGAACAGGATGGAACAAGCATTCCTTCATTTGATGACTCGGCTCCACTTACTCCTCTACTTGATCCCTTTAGTGCTGCTGGAAATGCAAACATTCTCACCATGTTATTTAATGAAGTTGGAAATGAAAGAGGTGATTCACTCACTGAAGAGTCGTACTTTATGGATGAACAACATTCAGAATCAACACCCCAAGAAAGAGATCATAATCCATTCATTAAGGGATACCATCTTGTTAAGATGATGATTAAGCAACTTTCTCGGCTGAAAGATGCACTCCAAATTCCTGACAACAAAGTTAGAGAGGAATCTCTGAAAAAGGCCAAGTCAGAGCTCATTGAAGAACTCAGCAAGGCTCTTCCAAATGATGTTGAGGCAAAGTTTATTTTAGAGTTAACCAAACATCAACACCCTCAACAAATCCATCCTTGCCAATACTCTCACTTGGCTTTGTTGTTTGAGTAATTGTGTGTATCATTGTATTGCTCTTGATTTTTAATAAAACTGAGAATGTTTATGGTAACATTATTGCTCTGATGTTATAAAATGTTTTCAAACGAATCCTGCTTGACAAATCGCAACGTTGCATACACTATTCCCATTCAATAGTTGACGGAGGCTTGGTACTAATATCGTACACAACTCGGTTCACTCCTCTCACCTCGTTAATAATTTTGTTGGACACTTTACCAAGGAATTTCCATGACGGAAAGTGGAAAATATCAGCAGTCATTCCATCCACAGAAGTCACTGCTCTCAAAGCGACCACTTTTTCGTAGGTTCTACTGTCACCTTGAACACCGACACTTTGAACAGGAAGCAGAATTGCTCCAGCTTGCCAAATTTGATCATACAATCCTTCATCTTTCAATGCAGTGATATAAATATGGTCCACTTTTTGCAAAAGAGCCACCTTTTCAGCAGTAATGTCTCCTAAAATTCGAATGGCAAGTCCTGGGCCAGGAAAAGGATGTCGATTAAGAATAGATTCAGGAATGCCGAGTTCTTTTCCAACTCTACGAACTTCATCTTTAAATAACAATCTCAATGGTTCCACCACCTTAATATTCATCTTTTCAGGTAGACCTCCCACATTATGATGACTCTTAATCGTGGATCCTCCAATGGATTCAACCACATCAGGATAAATGGTTCCTTGGCCCAAATATTTCACACCACTAATTTGATGAGCTTCTTTCTCAAATACTTCAATAAATTTGCCTCCAATAATTTTTCGTTTTTTCTCTGGATCTGTGACATCCTTCAAAGCTTCATAGAATACTTTGGAAGCATCAACACCTTTTACATTGAGATGTAAATTCTCCTTATAAGTTTGTAAAACTTGTTCGAATTCATTCAATCTTAACAGGCCATTGTCTACGAAAATGCAATGCAATCGATCTCCAACTGCTTTTTTGTAACAAGACAGCTGCTACTGTCGAATCAACACCTCCACTCAATGCCATCACGACATGATCACTGTCACCAATGATTGATTTCAAATTTTGAACAGATTCATCAATGAAATGAGCAGATGTCCACTCAAGTTTGCATCCACAAGCATTCACTAAAAAGTTTCGTAAAATGACACTGCCATAGACAGAGTGATGAACCTCCGGGTGGAATTGAACTCCGAACATATTCTTGGACTTGATTTTGAATGCAGCCACTGGAATGGAGCTGGTTTTAGCAACGACTTGTAATTGTGATGAAGATGGCTCATTTTCAATGAAAATGGTGTCACCATGGGACATCCAAATTTGTGATTGATCGATTTTGTCACTCCATTCATGTCCTTTAAATAATTCACATTCAGGATCAGTGACATGTAAGTGAGCACGTCCATATTCTCTGACCACTGCAGAAACAACCTATTGAAAATTTGTATCGATGAAACAAACGTGTGATCATCAGATTACATTTAAAAAATTAGATTTCAAAATATTTGAAAATTCTCTTGTCAACAACCCTAAAAGGCATAACATAAATATTAAACGACGCACCTTCTCTCCGTGTAAATAAGCCAACAATTGAGCACCAAAACAAATTCCCAATACTGGCACAGATCTTTCTTCAATATATTTCCAAACTTGTTCATAAACCCGTGGAGAATTTTCATCATCTACTGAATGATGAGATCCCGACAAAATCACTCCTCTCACTTTCTCAAAAAACGCATCCAAATTCTTCTTTTCCGACTTGACATGACTTTCCAATTTATCAAAAGGATAAATTTCCGAATAAACATTCAATTCACGAATTTTTCTTGCAATGAGTTGAGTATACTGTGATCCGAAATCAATAATAATAATCTTTTCATGTTGCAATAAGAGAGGTGAACCGGAGGAGGAGCACAACAATTCTGTGGAAGAAGAAGAGCCTTCTTGAGGTTGAGACATTTTTTTGTAAACAATGAGATGAACAAAGAACCAATTCGACCAACATCACATGGCGTGCTGGAACCTCCAATAAGAGAGGTGGGTACTCTTGTTGAAAATGATGATTCATGTGGTGGTGGGTACTTGAGATTGCATTCAATAATTATTATTATTATTGGAGCGAGTCGAGACGAAACTCTCGTGTAATGTCCAAATTATCACGAGTGACGTCAGACACTCTCACACACTAGTGTGTTCCCATTCAATGGATAAGGACCTTCTCATTAAGGTAATGAGGATAGTTAAGGGAATGGATTCTTCTTTAGTGAACTGCAACGTGCCCTAAAGATTTTCATGTATGGACACAGCATAAGGTGCATTATTTTCAGTTATTGAGAGGCAGTGGCTCTTTTCGAATGCTCAGCACAAGAATGAAATATTGAATCAAGCAGTGAATGATTTGAAGCGAGTATTGAATCAAATGATTATGTTTGATCAGTCAACTGTTACATCTTCGAGTCTCCTCAACAAGTATATGGAATACAAGTACAACAAGTACCTTCGAAAGCGTTATGGAATCTGTTGTATTTCCAAATCGCATCTCCTCAAATCATAGACAATTCCAATCATTGATCTTTGAATTAAAAGAATTTCATTTAATGAAGAGTTCACAGTGGACTTGAATCGATAGGAGCTCTCATGAAGTCACATGTATATTACAAATAAAGTTTAAAGACAATTCTTGACACAGAAACACGTTCATCCATACATTCAATTCAGCGCACAATCATTTTTGAACTTTTGCTGAGTCAATTGTGTGATCATGTCTTTCAACACTTGAATGTCTTCTTCCTTTTCCACTTGTTCCACAAATTTTCCAATCTCTTTGACCTCCTTCATTTGGAGTAACACTTTTTTCGTTTCCTCCATTTTCTCAGAATAGTATCTGATTTTATGTTCCATTTTCAAGCGTTCATCCTCCTCGTATGATGATGATGATGATTGTAAATTCTTTCGTAATTGAACGAGTTCAATTTTCAGTTCAATCAGTGCAATTTTTCTTTCAGTTTCCATTTGATGATCATTTTCTGTTGTGGAAGAAGAATGGTAATTGGCAAAATTTTCAACGATGGCTTCATTGCGTTCTGCTTGTGGTTGACGTCGGAAGGCACTTGGAGGACCATAGGGAATCAACGAACGATAGGATGAACTCATTTTTTTTGTAAAGTTTCGAGATCTTCAAGTTCCAAGTTCATTTTAGAGCAATAGTTTGAAAAAAAGAAAGTACTCTAAAATGTTAATAAATGAAAATATGTATTTACTAATACGATCATATTTGGAATAATATGGATTTACAAAACACAAAGGTTTTAAGAATAATATAATATTGAAAATCCAAGTTTAAAAAAATGAGCTCACTTCTCAAGAACATTGCCTTTCATCCGTTTCATTTGGGAAATCATCAATCAAATAATAGTAATAACAATATTAACACGAATTCAACAACTCCAAACACGACGACAACATCCGATAAAACAACCTCTCCTGTGCGGAAAAATTCAATTTCTACTACAAATAAACCTCTTGATGAAGGTCAAGCATCGGGATTGGAAATTTCATCATCAAATACTGCAAAACATTTACGACTTGGGTCGGGCGTGACGCAAAATGCTTTGATCAATGAAAATAATTTAACACAATTTCAGCACTCGTCTTCCTTGTCAATGCCAAAGCAGCAAGAAGATCAAGACATGAAAAAGAAATTAAAAATTCTCAAAAAGGAATACTTAAAGCAAAAAGCAGAGATGGAAAGATTGGCACAAATTGCACTCGGACAGCAAGAAGAAATTAAACATAAAGATTTCCAATTAAAGAAATATAAACAGCAGTGTGAAGAGCAGTCTTCAAAAATTAGTGAATTGGAGACGCAATTACAAATTGAGAGGGAATTATGTGAAGGTGCCATACGGATGAAAAAACAAACGAGCTCTAATGACAATAACAACCAATCAACAAACACTCAACAAACCGAAAATGATTTGTCACTTTTGTTAGATGAAGGTTTGACCACGAAAGATGTGATGGAAAAAACGTATCAATATTTGAAGGATGATACCTTCACATTTATGCTTAATACTGAAGAGTATCAGGAAGAAGAAACAATATCCTCACTGAAACAAGAAATTGCAGCTCTGCGAGAGGAGAATTTTTATTTACGAGAGGAGAAACACAAGCTCAACAACGAAAAGGTTCACTTATTTGAACTAGTCCACCAACTCACTCAACAACTGGGTCTCGGAAATGAAGACAAGAATTGAGCAATGAACATTCGATCATGAACAAAGAGGCGAATCCAATGTGTGGTGCCCATACGAGTTTCGATTTTGAAAAACTTTGCGAGATTTTATTAAAATAAATTATTGCAGTCGTTTCAAAATGTTTCCAGTTGTTTGAATGTCGCTATCGAGTTGTGAGGCTTGTTGTTCGATCCATTGCAAACAAGCCAAGTGGTTATTCATGACTTGCACAATTCGTGTGAGGTCCGAGTTTGGATCAACTGACTTGTCAAATGTAGTATTCAACTTCTTGACCATGTCATCAATTACAAATTGCATTGAATCTAATTGTTTGTTGATGGACTCTGCTGTCTTGTATGTTTCTTCACGTTCTCGATCGGATTGGGAAAGCTTAGATGAATCATAAAATGAGGCATTCTTTTCAATATATTCTTCTAGGGATTCGACAATTCGTTCCAAATGATCTTGTTGTGATGTAACCATGTCAAGTTGATTTTTAACTTCTGTGAGCTCGCTTCCAATTTCACTAACTTGTTCGTTCAACGAAGAAATTTTTGATTCACTTTCTAAAATTTCTGCATCCCACTTTGAGACTTGATTTGCAAGTTTATGGAATTCCTTAATATCATTATTCAAATCTTTGTTCCATTTGTTTAGAATTTCCTCCACCGTATGATTATTCAACAATGTTTGAATTTCAACTTGAGCACTCGCAGAGGTTGGTGGTTTTGTACTTTCTGGGGTTGGAGTGCCGGCAGTAGTGTTCACGGATAAAGTTGATTTCTTTGTCGTATCAAAGTTAAAACCACCAGTACTACCACCAGTAGATGGAGTGATGTTTGTAGTGGTTGTAGTGGTAGTGGTTGGCGCTGTTCCAGTAGTGGTGGTTGTGGTCGTTCCAGAAGGAGCAGTAGTTGCACCGAAATTGAAGCCACCTGTTGTGCCAGTTGTTGTGGTGCTTGGCTGCGTGGTTCCTGTGGTTGTTGTAGTTGTTGGCTGTGTGATTGTAGGCTTAAAACCAGTAGCTCCACTTGGTTCTGTACCTGCTGATCTTTTTCGACTAGGTGCTTCTTCATCGGAAGGACGAGTTGATCCCGAATCACCAAAAGTAAAACCTCCTGTTGAGGTGGTTCCTTGGGTTGAGGGAGCACCGCTTGATGGTTGTACTGATCCAAATTTAAATCCACCACTTGTTGTTGTTGTGCTTGTAGGTTGCGTTCCACCAAAGGCAAAACCTCCTGTCTTTGGGCCACCAGTGGTTGTTGTTGTGGCTGTTCCACCAAAAGTAAAACCTCCTGTGGATTGTGGTGTTGCTGTAGAAGTTGTCTGTGAAGTGGTGGTCATACCAGGTGTTCCTCCTGTTGAAATTGTTGGAGGCTTAAAGTTGAATCCAGAACTTGTGCTACCACCAGCTCCAGGCTGTTGTGTGGACGTTGTTGTTTGTGAGGGTTGATTTGTCGTAACGTTGAAATTAAATCCACCACTTGGTTGTGTTGTTCCTGTTGTTGTTGTAGAAGTGGGTTGAGAGGTGCTTGTTGCTTGTGTGGGCTGATTGGCTGAAATGTTGAAACTAAATCCACCAGCTCCTGCTCCTCCTGATGGTTGTCCACCTGTTGGCTGAGTCGTGGATGGCATTCCCGATGGCTGCGTTGTTGTTTTCGGAGCAGAGAAGCTAAAGCCTCCTCCGGTACTACCACCACCAAATTGAAAACCTTGGGATGTGGTACCACCAGCTCCAGGCTGTGTTGTTGCTTGTGTGGGCTGATTGGTTGCACTTGAAATGTTGAAATTAAATCCACCTGCTCCTGCTCCTCCTCCTGATGATGATGGTTGTTGTCCTCCGAAACTAAATCCACCCGATGATGCAGGCTTGTTGCCGGGTTGCTGTCCAAAGTTGAAACTCATTTTTTTTTAATTCAAATTTTTTAAAAATTCTCTCAAAACGAATTCTTCTTGAATGTCCTGTTCGCCCTCACCACTAGCATCATTATCAAGAGGCTCCGTAACAATCGGTGTGGATGGTGGATCCACAGGCACCACTGTGGTTGTGTTATGCAATGAAACTCAAAAAGTATTGGCCATGATCAGCTGTGCACCATCGAATAAGAACAGCGTTGGAGCTCAAAAGGCTCAGCAAGTCATCTCCGATGGCATTAAACAAGCATTGAAAGAGGCTTCTTCTGAATCCTCGGTGAGTAAATCTCTGGGTCTTGATGATGTTTCTGCTGTGTGTTTGGGTATGAGTGGAGTGGATCGTCCGAATGATATTGAACAAGTTCGTTCATGGATGATTGAATTATTTACGACTCATCACGACACTAGTTGCAACAAGAGCAGTGAGAGTTCAACAATGGAGACATCATCCACTCCTGAAATTTATATTTTCAATGATGCTGTGGCAGCCATTTGCTCAGGCACTCTCGGAGCGCTTCATGATGTCATTTGTCTAATTGCAGGAACAGGAAGTATTTGTCTCGGAACGAATAATGATGGTGAGTCTTTCACAAGAACTGGTGGTTGGGGACCATTACTTGGTGATCGTGGAAGTGGTTTTTGGCTCGGTTCTAAAGTTTTGCTCAGCGCAGTAGATTATACGGATGAATATAACACTGAAAAAACTGTATTGGCACAATTGGTGAAAGAGGAATTAGGATTGAATGACATGAGCGAATTAATTCCATATGTGTACCAAGATAAGGAATGGAGCAGAATTGCTCGATTTGCTCCTCTTTGTTTTAAGGCCATTCGTGAGCATGATGACCCTGTAGCAAAACAATTGGTCGATGAAATGATTTCCAATTTGAAACGAATGGTAGAAACCAATGCAAGAAAATTGAAATTAGGCACCGAAAAAAAGTTCACACTGGTCTATTGCGGAAGTATTTTGACTCATGACAACAGTTTAGTTGGAGAGGGATTATCTCGTGCTTTGAAAGAGACTTTTGGAGATCAAATTGAAATTATTGAGCGACCAAAAGTAGATCCTGCTGTTGGCAGCGCTTTGTACTATCTCAATAACAAGAAACAAAAGAAGAATTAGAATAATAATTATCATTGAGTAGCTATTGACGTGTTACTTTGGGAAGTCTAAGGCTCGTAGTTTGTTGCTTCATTAAGCATCCAAGTGAATGACTACAATCTATGCCTCACACTTATTCTTCATTTGGATCATGCATGACTCTTCAATTGGTGCTTCTGCTTTCTTAATCTTCTCGTATAATGTGAGAGGTTGGATTCCTTCTTTCATGTCACGTTCCTCTGCACTACGAATAGTTCTTCAACACAATGAAGTAGGTCAATCACAGGCCCAGCATTTCAGTTAACCGCATGAAAACGATCGAACACCCGCCATTTCTTTGATTATCCTCAAATTTTACATTTTTCACTACGTCCATGACCTAATCCAACATAATAACGATCCGTCTAGTGAAAATCATTTTCAAAATGCAATCAATTTGTTCCTAAGAGAGAGAGAGGTTGCAGTCAAAATCAATTCCAAAACACATCACAATGCAAGCATCTCAAAAATATTTTTGCAACTGGCGCTACTTTTGACAAATTTGGTGTTACGGGACGCCACTGCACCAAAACGGAAAGTCTCCTTGAGATTATTTCATTCAAAAACCAAATTGCTTTTGTTCACAAAGATCCACCTTTAAAAAAAAGTTTGAACACTCAAGACACAGTGTCTCGTCTCCTCGATATTCCCTCTCTCTCTCGCTATCATCCGTTTGTGTTGTTACGAGAAGTACATTTTGATTCTCGCTTTCATAATAGATAACACAATAGATTTTGGTGCTGAACTCTCCGATCCAATCAGTGAAAATGGAAGAAATCAAACTAACTTCAGCAGCCGATCAAAATAACCATACAAGCCTTTCATCTCCGGCCAATCCATCGAATTCTCAACAACCATCCTCACAGGAACAACCACCCGAACGAAGAAGTAGAAATCCATTCAAACGATTCAAGAAGAAGAAGAAGGATGAACCCACAGACCAAGATGAAATCAAAGATGAAAGAGAGCCACAGATCAAGGGGTCTGATAATTTGATCATTTTCAAGATCTTTGGTTGGAATTGGTTATTGGTCTTGCTTGGAAGTATTGGTTCATTGGGAAATGGTGTAATTCCTTTATCCTTTCAGGTAAGTTGATTTTCTGAGATCGGATGTGTGTGTGATTCATAGATTGAATACAGTTTGTCATGGGCGACTTGTTGAACATTTTCCAACCTAAAAACGGAGTCATTCCAACAGTGCAATCCATGAAGGATAACATTGCAATAGTGGCCACCAATTTTGCAATTATTGCCGCTGCAGCTGCTGTGGCTAGTTTTCTTTCACAATTCTTTTTAAATTGGGCAAGTGAACGAATGGGAGTGGCATTGAGAAAGGCATACTTTAATGCATTGACTTCTCAAGAGATGGGATTTTTTGACATTAAAAAGACAGGTGCTCTGACTGTTGCGCTCAGTGAAGGTAAGTTTCAAATGGAAGAATGGTTTTGAGCGAGAATCATTCTTTTCAATTCGAATCTATGTATTTAACCATTTCTCAATGAAAAAGACATTTCCAAAATTCAAGAAGCCTACTCCAACAAGCTTGCCCTCTTTTTACAAAACTTTGCTCAATTTGTTATTGGTGTGGTTTTGGCCTTCGTGAGTAGCTGGCAAATGTCTCTTGTCATGATTTCAACCTCTCCATTGTTAGTTCTTGGTATTGGTATTTTAAGCAAACTTGTTGAATTTTTAACAAAGAAAACCAATAAGGCTACAGAACACAGTGCAGCACTTGCAACTGAAGTCGTTGGTGCATTCAGAACGGTTAAAAGTATGGGTTGTGAAACAAAGGAACAAGAAAGATTTGCTCAAGATTTGAAGAATATTCACTTGTATGGTCTGATTAAGGCAAGTATGCAAGGAACCACTTTTGCTGCTGTCTCCATTATTTTGTGGGGTACAGTTGCATTGTCTTTTTGGTAAGTAGAGCTTATTGAATGAACAAATGAACGAATGAACACAAAATCTGACAGGTATGGAGGCGGTCTTGTTGCTGAAGGAACCATCACTGTCGGTGACATGATGAAAGTATTCGGTATGATGTTGTTTGGTGTCTTGGGTCTTTCTCAAGCCGGAACTGTTCTTCCAGATTTTTCAAAGGCTCAAATGTCGCAAAAAACTCTATTGAAGGTTCTTAAGAGACAGCCTGCAATTCCATTCAGAGGTGGTGTAATTCCTGAAGAACCTCTTAAGGGCAATGTTCAAATTAGAAATGTCAATTTTTCTTATCCTTCTAGACCTAATGTGACGGTATTGAAGAACTTTAACATGGAAATTAAACCAGGAACCTCTGTTGCTTTGGTAGGACCATCAGGATCTGGAAAATCGACCTTTGTTGGACTTCTCGAAAGATTCTATGATCCACAAGAAGGAGAAATTATTATTGATGGTCACAAGATTAAGGATATTGATCCTCAATGGCTTCACAAGAATATTGGAATTGTCACACAAGAACCTGTTCTTTTCTCTTGTACCATTCGAGAAAATATTGCCTATGCTGCTGGACTCGAAAATGTGACACAAGAGCAAATTGAGAATGCAGCTAAAGCAGCAAATTGTCACAACTTTATTGTTGAAATGCCAGGTAAGTTCTTGAGTTTTGGTTTTTAATTGGTCTTAAATGAAATTTCATGAATGGTTGAAACAAAAGATGGTTACAACACAAAATTAGGAGAGAAAGGTATTTCACTTTCAGGAGGACAAAAGCAACGTGTTGCCATAGCAAGAGCTGTTCTGCAAAACCCTCAAATCTTGTTATTGGACGAGGCCACATCTGCTCTTGATACAGAATCAGAAGCTTTGGTTCAACAAGCGTTGGACAATTTGATGAAGGGAAGATCTACAATATGCATTGCTCACAGACTGAGTACCGTTCAAAATTGCGACACTATTTATGTGTTGGTGAAAGGAGAATTGAAAGAATCTGGTACGCACCATGAGCTGCTCAAGATCGAGAACGGAGTGTACAAGAAATTGGCAGAAAAGCAAATGTTATTTGGTAGAAGTGATAGTGTTGAGTTTGACCGAGTGACAACTCAGGAAATCATATCAGACGAAACGTCTTCGAATGTCATTAATGAATAATTTGGCAGGCTAAATTGATTGTAAATAATTAAGAGTGTGAATAGTCAAGTTTGTTCATGTATTAATTCTTAATATCTTTCTACTCTCGTGCCGAACGCTTATTGTTATGGAGTTAGTGACATTCTCGTTTCGAGATGGCAACTTTCAAATTTGTGGGTCTACTAACCGCAATGGTTCTTGTGCCCACAGGATCTACACGTTCATCATTCATTAATCTGAATCGATACTTTTGAACAAACTTGGATAGCAGCATGCATCCTTCCATCAATGAGAACTTGTATCCAATGCATTTTCTAATAGCAACATGTCACATTATCCATGATTCCAAAGACATTCTCCAACTTACCTATTTCCTCCAGAGAAAGGAATCCATGTAAAATCATGTTGAACTCGTTCTCTCATCTCGGCGTCTTTGAATCGATCAGGATTGAACTCATCCACATTTTCTCCCCAATTGTCAGCTCTGGTGTGACTATCCAAAAAAAATGCATGAATTTGAGTTCCTTTTGGAACTTTGAACTTTCCTAATGTGGTTGATTTTTTAGCAACATGTTTGACAACTGTTGTCACAGGAGGATGATAACGAAGAGATTCCATAATGACCATGTTCACATATTCCAACTTTTCAAAATCATCAAAAGTTGGATCTCTTCCATTCAAAACTTTTTGAACCTCATTGAACAATTTTTCTTGAATTTCTGGTCTTTTTGAAATTTCAAAAGTCACCCATGAAAGTAATGTTGCTGTTGTCTGAGCATTGATGATTCAGAATGAGTTTTCATTATGGTTAAATTGTTGAACAAGGTATTCCACTTACTTCATGTCCTGCCAAAGACAAAATGAATGCATTGCTTTTGAGTTCTCCATCTGTCAACAACTTTTCACTCAAATTTGCTTCGACCAATAAACTCAAAATATCATGTCCTTCTTGATCTTCATTATTGGAATCCAAAGAAAGATGACTCTTTCCCAAAAGTTGTTTTTTTCGATGATTGATCACTTCATCCAGAGCATCCGAGCAAACCTTTGTTGCCTTGTCAGTTCCAAACCACCAAGCAAACAGAGGATAGAGTATTTCATAGCGGCGTTTCACAAAATTTCTCAATGCAATATCTCTTGTAATAAGAGTGTCCATTGCCATTCGAAATTGGACTCCTTTTTCATTCTTTGAGAAAATTCCCAAATCCACTCCAAAACCTTTACATTAGTTTCCATTTTGGATGATCAGTATCAATTGTAACAGAGAATGATTCCACACATAATTTACGCCATCACTTACCCGCTTTACCCAAAATATCCAAGGTCAAATCTGAATAATTTCCAACTTGCAACATCATTTCTTTTTGTCCCTCAAGTTCTTTATCCCATTTTTCAAATAATAAATCACAGGATTTAACTGCCACCTTGCACATGAATTGAAGGTTGACAGGTGAAAATCCAGGACTGCACACTTTGAAGTGTTTTTTCCAAGTCTCATTGTTCAAACATGTCAAAATACTCTCTCCAAAAATGTTTAACAATTCATAACTTAGTTTTGGCTTTTCAAAATTGTTGGATTTTGTGACCATCATTTCCTTCAACATGTTCTTATCAGAAACATATACAATATTCTTATCGGGAAGAGTCAATCGGAAGGTCTTGGTTTCAGGATCTCCCCACTTTTCAATGACTTTCTTCATATGAAAAGCACTGTCCAAATAAAAGTACGGAGCAAAGAAAGGAATTCTAATAGGAGAAAAGAAGAATTGCCAAGTGCCCGGAATATCCTTCAATTTGCTCCTTTGTTGAAAGACTTTGTAAACGGAATGTATCAATTGAGCCATCATCAAGATCAATAAGGCCACTCCGAGAGGAATCCACCAACTCAACTGTTTTCCATTCTCCTCCATGTTCAACTCTTCGTTGTTATTGTTGTTATGGATGATTTCTAAAGCCCGAACTCCAACTAGTGTTCCTAAAATTTCTGGTTGGATCATCATCATCATGAGAATGATCATCATCATCACTTGTACAATCAACGGTAGAAACAATGGAGAAGAAGAACAACATGAGAAGAAGAGCCTTTCTCTTGGCATTTCTGTTGATGCACTCGAGAGAGAATGAATTGTTTTTTTTAAGTGAATGAAATCGCGTCGTACAACGCGTCGTTGTGATATTTTGAAAGTCCGCATATGGAAGAGAGTATTTGGTTGCCCGAACTGCCAAACTCGCCACTTCTTCGAACAATTGGTCAAATTCTTTAATGCATATATGGATTGTAAATGAATAGAAATGGAGATTCTAAAGTCAAGAAAGATGAGCTTGGTTGAGGTACTTTAATTAACAGGATCGACGGATCTATTTTAATTACCTCGTTGGAATTCATGGATTCGTTTTGTAATGGCAACTTTCAAATTAATGATTTGCTCACCACAATGGTACTCAACACATGTTCATCATTTAATAATTGAAATTTATATTTTTGAACCAGTTTTGAAACTAACATGCATCCTTCCATCAATGAGAATTTGAAACCAGTGCATTTTCTTGTGGGCGTAATTGGAAAACGTTGAAATTTCAAGAAATTTCAAAAAGATTTGACAAGAACAGAGTTTTCGTAATTCCAAAGACATTCTCCAACTTACCTATTTCCTCCAGAGAAAGGAATCCATGTAAAATCATGTTGAACTCGTTCTCGAGTGCTTGCATCCCTAAAACGATCAGGATTGAACTCATCCACATTTTCTCCCCAATTGTCAGCTCTGGTGTGACTATCCAAAAATGAACGCATGAATTTGAGTTCCTTTTGGAACTTTGAACTTTCCTAATGTGGTTGATTTTTTAGCAACATGTTTGACAACTGTTGTCACAGGAGGATGATAACGAAGAGATTCCATAATGACCATGTTCACATATTCCAACTTTTCAAAATCATCAAAAGTTGGATCTCTTCCATTCAAAACTTTTTGAACCTCATTGAACAATTTTTCTTATTCTCAGAACGACATCTTTTGAAATGAGTGTGCCCATGGCCTTTCGAAATTGAATTCCCTTTTCATTTGTTGAGAAAATACCCAATCCACTCCAAAACCTTCGAGTTCATCAATCCTTTGAGCTTTCGACAACATGTCAAAAATTTTCATCACTTACCTGCTTTACCTAAAATATCCAAGGTCGCATCTGAATAATGTTCCACCTGCAGCATGATCATCTTTTGTGTTGCTCCCTGTTGGCGTTTCAACTCTTGTTCCCATTTTTCAAATAATAAATCACAGGATTTAACTGCCACCTTGCACATGAATTGAAGGTTGACAGGTGAAAATCCAGGACTGCACACTTTGAAGTGTTTTTTCCAAGTCTCATTGTTCAAACATGTCAAAATACTCTCTCCAAAAATGTTTAACAATTCATAACTTAGTTTTGGCTTTTCAAAATTGTTGGATTTTGTGACCATCATTTCCTTCAACATGTTCTTATCAGAAACGAACAAGACATTCCGATCGGGAAGAGTCGTTCGAAAGGTTTTTGTTTCAGGATCTCCCTTCTCTTTAATGATCTTTTGTAACAAATCGGAACTCCCTAAATAATAGTACGGAGAAAGGAACGGAATTCGGAACGAAGCAAACATGTATTGCCAACGACCATTCCAATGGTCATTCCAAAATACTGAATCTCTCCATCATGTTTCATTCTCAAGAGGAACATCTTTTTCAGAAAGGAAAGAAAATTATGCCAAATGTCATTCAAACCTTGCATTGAAAACAAAAGAGGATGACTCACACGCTCTGACTGATTCAAAGGTTTCGAAGAAGTTTTCATAATTCCTCTCAAGGAAGAGTCTTTATCAAGTGTGGAATGAAGAAAAGTCCTTTCCTTCTCTTCATGACCAATATCATTCTCTTGCAATGAAGTGGTAATTTCCATCATACTTTCTTGAGCATTAACCACGCAACATGATGAAAATGTCATTGTGGAAAGGTCTTTTGGTGAAAGGACTTTTCTTCATTGAAATTCACATTCATGATGATGATGAGAAGGAAATGAAGAGACATGAACCACAAGAGATTCCTCCACGAAAGAAATCTTTGACTTCTTCTTTTCGTCATGAACAGGCAATGTGAGAAGGGAAGAAGTGTTTGCATGTTGGTGTTTGGTGGAGTTTTTTTTTCATGAAGATAATCGTGGTTGGTGCGAGTGTCTCTGTTTTTGAGTTTTATTAACTTTTTAGGAAATTAAATTGTCCTTAAACTATTTAGGAAAGTTAAGAGATGGAGGAAGGGAAAAAATTTATAGTCGTATTGAATGGGCATAATGTTTTATTTCACGTCATACAAATATTTTTATTGAACGAATTGACTCTTATTGGTTTCTCTTCTTGGACTTTCTCCTATCATCTTAATAAAGAGATAAACACCTACTGTAATGACAAAACCGATGGAAACAGAACCTATGGTAACTGTTGCGATTGCTCCTGAAGTGTATCCTTCATAGAGCTCACTAATTGGATCAAGAATGGCAACTTTTGATTCTTCCTTATTTGTATAACAAGACACATAACTTTGATTTGAAAAAGTAGCTCTTACTTTCGATGAAGAGTATCTAAATGTGGTAATCAGGGATATCCATTTCGTAGAGGTATTATTGGTGTTATTCACAAAACAATTCACACCATTTCCTCTCAAAGGGTCACTTGTCAACACCTCTATTCCCAATAATGGAAATGTCACATTAAATCTACACCGCTCAGCACGTCTCGAAAAATTCGTAGAAGTACATTCCACAACATCACTAATCACACAACAATTTCTATGAACATACATCAATGCATTTGGATCCAATTTCAATTCAGGATCTGCATTCACCACTCCAAATAAAGCACCACCAATAGAAAAACACAAAATTCCAACCAAACACAAAATGACACTCATGGCGAGAAACCATAAAACGAGCGATCGAAGATTGTTTCTATTTTTCGATAAACTTTGTTTCGGAAAAGGTTCGACTGGTTCGAATGGAATCGATTGGTGTGAAATTGGTTCTTGTGCGGGAGAGGAACTTTCGAAGGGTTGTTGTTGTTGTAGTTGAGAAATTGGTTCCGAAAATGCTTCTTGTTGTTCCGGAAAGCCGGAGGAGAAGGGATCCTTGTCTTTTAAGGATGGCATGTCAGATCGAGTCGATTCGTGAAGTGTGAAATTGGTGGTTGTTGGATCCATGTTGTTGTTGTCCTCACCATGACTCATGTTGTTGTTTGTTTTTTTGTGGGTATTTAATGATAGTAAAAACCAACGAGTTATGGCAACAGTTGGTTGGATGTGTGATTCAGCTAACTCAATAATAATTTCGGTATATGTTTCAGGTCGCTCTTTGAGAACAATGAAAGAAATTAAAATTTACCAAAAAAGTTGATGTTTAAAAAAGGAGCTAAGGAACGAAGTTAAGGCGCCCTCTTGTGAAAAGTGTCACTAATTATGGATTGCTCTTGAATCAATCAAGGATGTGATTGGTCGAACGCGTTCGTCTTGGATTCATCATTCGAATGATGAATGGCCAGGGCACCTTGTGAGTAAGGGACATCTCCGTTCCTTAATAATGTAAATTGTCTGAAAACATTAATAGAATTGCGTTCCTCGCCATAGATTTCTTTATCCATTTGTCATTCATTACATGTTTGATTTTTTACTTGAAATTTTATGTTGTGTTTGATGAAGATTCGTTTTCCAAATTAAAAAAAAAATGAGCAAACGAAAGAATGTTGATGAAAGTTCGGATGAGTGCAACACAGTTTATTGGGTTACCATTGAAGATGAATCTGATCATGATGATGATGACGAATACGATCATGAGTCCAATAAAATGATCGGAATTGAATTGGAAATGGAATGTACTCAAATTTCTAAAAAAGCAAAAGTAGATTCCGATCATCCTCTTCCTTCTACATTCTCATCCAATGCAACGATAAATCATTCAAATCCAATCTTGGAAAAATTAAAAGAAATGGACAAGAGTATAAATTTTAAAAGTAAGAAAAACTTTGAAGAGGCTTTTGCTTCCGTCGCTGATTATTTATTGAATCATGTCGAATTGGTAGCTCAAGGCAAAACATTCCGATTGGCAGAACTTGAGTTTTATTATACATGTCCTCCATTCCATAATGACCCATTTAATCATTGCCATTCACTGCAAACAACGAAAGGGGAGTGGTATTTTCATCAATCGCCGTCTCAAATCAATAATGACAATTATAGAGGAGGAAATTATAAAGGGTTAGACTTGTCGATTGGTTGTGCAAAATTTAAGGGAGGAATTTTGATTCGTTCAATGATTCAATGTAGTGATGAGAAATTGATTGAAGGACCTTCGTTATGTGTGGATGAAATATTGACACTGTATGGATGTAAAACCATTCATGAGTTTGTTACGAAAAACTTTCCAAAACAACGACATTTTAATGCATTAGATGAAACTTCTGCAGTTCATTTGAGGGTGAGCACAACACCAAAATCAGACACTTTCATTCGATCTGCGCGAGTTGGATTGACATTGAAACAAGAAAGCAACAAGAAGGAGAGAATTGAGTTTATTTTCAGGCCCTACAGATTTTGTTTAAGGCCAGAAAAGATGAAAAAAGGAAAGCATTTAATGGCAATTGTATTATACAAGGAATTTTTGGATCATGGTGAAACGGACATTATCAAAAAAGTAGAAAAATTAATTGGAACAAGTGGTCTTGCTAAATATTTCGAAACTTTCGAAGAAAAGAGAAGAATTGCTTTTGAGTCTGCATCGAAAATTGACACGAAAAAGGTCAAAAATTATGAAAAAGACTTTACGACACAACAAATTTATGAGCTTGCTGGTATTTTGTACAACATTTTTGTGTAAAATATTGCTGGCCTTGAATGAATGGGTTGTTGGTTTTATTTATATTAAATCTAATTAGAGAAGACATGTAAGAAGATTGTTGAAATTGGTAAATTATTCCTCATATCCGTTCATATCAATAGCTCCGTTGCCGTTGCCATTTGTGATCATTAAATTGTTGGTCGTTGATGTATCATCATCATCGTCCAATGCATTATCGGTCTCAACAAACGTGGCAGTATTGAGAGGAATTGTGAAAGGAAGCTTGCTCAACCATTTGACACATGTCACAAGTTTTTGTTGGCAATCTGGCTTTCTCACAAATGCATCCTCCTTGTAGTACCTTTCAAGTACTCGAGTTTGTGTGAAAATAACACTGATCACAACATCCAAGCATTTGCTATTCAAACATTCAAGGACAAGTGTCCTGAATCTCAATTCAAATTCGTCATATGGTAAATCAAAGTAATTCTTTCCTTTTAGAGGAACACCCTTCTCAAGTTTTTCTTTTTCAATCATGGCAAGGATAGTCTGATTTACCTTGAGTACAATTTTGGAAAGTTGTTTGGATGCTACCTGAACAGAAGATGGGAGTGTTGACGTTTTTGATAATTGATCGTTAACCTCTTCCACAAAGTGCCAAATAGTTGGAGTGGAGAAGAACCAGAATGGAGGTGAAAATGAGTTATTGAAAACTAGAACAAGAGATTCACATAATCTTTCGTTAAGTATTTTTCTGAGAGTTCGTGAGTGTTCCACATCTCCAATTTTCTCAAGATCTCCCCCCTCAAGTTCCACATTTTCGTCAAAGTATTCAATGACTGCAAGAACGGATCTCTTCACGCTACCAATAGGATCAAGGAACATTCTTTGTTTGTCATTGAGGTTTGATCCCAATAATACAGATGTTTTTGCTTTTGTTTCAAGTTTTTGTAAATCAGCAACGGCAGTACCAGATTCAATACTGCTCTGTAGTTGATACAATCTCTTGTTCAAAGTCTTGACGTCTTCCGTTTTCTTTTGAAGTTCAAGATTGAGTTGCTTCTTTTCCACTCTAACCTGTTTGAGCTCTTGTTCGATGGCCTCTGTTTTTGACACTTTGCTTTGAAGATTTGCAATTTCTTGATCCTTTTCCATGAGCATCTTGTTTAATTTAGAAACTTGCTCGTTAGCATTGTCGTTTTCTGTCTTGAGTGTTTTGATTTGAGTGTTGAGATTTTTCTTTTGATCCACCTCATTGTTATATTTGCGCTCGAGAGTTTTAAGCTTTTCATTGAGCGTATTCACTTCGCTAGCTTGTTTTTCGAGCTCTGAAACTTTGGTTGCCAACTTGTCTCGTTCTTGCTTTACATTGTAAACCTCTTTTTCCAAATCTGCTACCTTTTGGGAAGAAGAGTTACTTGTTTGTTTCGAGCTCTCCTCAGCTTTCTTCAATTCTTGTTTCAACCTTTCGATTTCCTTCTGAGAATCTTCAAGTTTTTTAGTGAGATCTTTAACTTTGATGTCTTGTTGTTGCGTGTCGAATTTAGTTTGCTCAAGATTCTTGTTGGTTTCTGTTAATTGCTTCTTAATGTTCTGAAGTTCGTCTTTGGTGGACTTGAGTTGTTCTTCTGTCGAAGTTTTTTGTTGGGTAAGTAAGGATTTCTCCTTTTCTAATTTCAGCACCGATTGCTCGAAATCGTTGACCTTCTTTTGGAGTTCGGTGACTTTCTCGTATTGCTTCTTAACTTCATTGGACTCGCCCGATTTTGAATTAATGAGTTCGGAAATCTCCTTTTCCTTTTGCTCGATTTGCTTTTTGAGACTTTCGTTTTGTTTGTTTGCGAGATCCTTCTCATTTTCAAGTGTCAAAATTTGAGACTTCTTTTGTTGAGCAGTTTCGTTGGCTTCGTCGAGTGAAGATTTGAGTTTTGTGATTTCATTTTCGAGGTCTTTGATCTTGTTGTTAGATTTTTCTAAGGCCTTCTTTGAGTTAGTGGTCGCCTCTTCTGCATTTTGCTGTTCGATCTTGATCATGGACTCCAAATTTTGTTTGGTTTGAGCATGATCCTTCTCGAGAGTTGCAATTTTTTCTTTGAGTTGTTTTTCAACTTGTTCTTTTTCTTTGAGGGAATCCGACGAGCTGTTTTTGGAAGTCTCTAATTGCTTTTTCAAATTGTCAATTTCCGTGTTGAGAGTTTTCTCTTTTTCTGCAGATTCATTTGTTTGTGTTTGCAATTTGGTCTTCAATTCTTCAACTTCTTTTCTTAAACTTTCTGCAACTTCACCTGCTTGTTTACTTTGCAACTCCTTTTCCTTTTTCAATTCTTGTGATTTCTCATCTAATTGCTTTTTAAGTGATTCGATCTCAGTAGTGAGAGACTTTTCCTTTTCTGCTGCTTGAGATGTCTTGGACTCGAGTTTTGTTTTCAATTCTGTGACTTCCTTTTTCAGGCTTTCAGATTCTCCAGTTTGCTTTTGATGAGCCTCTTTCTCTTTCTTCAATTCATCATTGATAGAAGCAAGTTGTTTTTTCAGTGATTCAATCTCTGTATGGAATGTCTTTTTCTTTTTCAGAGGCATCCTTGTTCTTTGTATCGAGTTGTGACTTTAATTCTTCAATTTCTTTTTTTCAAACTTTGAGCCAGCTCACCGGATTGTTTTTGATTGGATTCCTGTTCCTTCTTCAACTCGTTAGTTTTCTCTTCCAATTGTTTTTTAACACTCTCCAGTTGTGACTCTTTATCAGCTACTGCCTTGTTCTTTTCTTCGATCAAATCTTTCTGTAACTTTTGTTTTGCTTGTTCCAAATCATTCAAAGACTTTTCCAACTCTTTCAACTTTTTGTCGGATTCTTGAGAAGAGTTATTGTTGCTACTTGATTGTTTTTCTTGATCAAGAGCCTTCTCCAATTCCTCCACCTTTTTACTCAATTCCTCACATTCCTTTTGTTTCTTCTTGTAACGTTTCTTGAGATAATTGATATCGTCCTCCTTCTTAACCTTTGAGGAGGAGTCTTTGGAATCATCAGCACCCGAGCTTGGTGTTGTTGTTGGTGTTGATGTGGTGGTGGTGGTGGTTGCTGATGAAGAAGTTGTAGTGGCAGAGGTGGTGGTGGTGGTGGCGGGAGTGGTGGTGGTGGTTTTTTCGGTTGTAGTCGTTTTGGATGGAGTGCTATTTGTGGTTGCATCTTCATAGCCATCATCATCATCGCCATATTCATCGGCTGTTGTGGAGGCGGTGGGAATCGTAGTGGTTGTCGTGGTGGTTGTCGTTGTGGTTGTTTTTGAAGAGATCGGAGAAGGATTGATGTTTGTTGTTACAGGTTTACTCACTTCGTCGTCGTAGCCATCATCATCATCATCGCCATAGGTATCCGCTGCTGTTGTTGAAGTGTTGTTGTTGTTGTTATTTGATGAAGAAGAAGAGGAGGAGATTGTTGTTGATGTATTGTTGTTGTTGATATTGGGAATTTCATTTGGATCAAGCTCATCAACCACACTCTTTCGAGCTTCAGATTTGTTGCTGGTGACGGTCTTCTTCCTCACCACTTTGAAGGTTGACATTTTTTCAAAGGAAGATGATGAAAGAATTATTGAGACTGACAGGAGATGTCCTTCAGTGAAACAACTCTCATCAACTGGCAGCACTTTTTGGGAGCTCACTTTATATCGCAAGCAAGCCGATCCAAAAATTGTTTCCTCTCTCTCTTCTTCTTCTTCTTAAATTTTGTAAACAATTCAAAAAACAACTCCATTTCTCTTCAAGCCATCCAGATTCGGAATCCATCATGATTGTGTTCTCATTCCCAAAGCATCTCAAAGATACTCGAGAGAGAGAGAGAGAACGGAATTTTCTCTCACAAAAGACTAAGGCCAAATGAATTCAAACTCATGATGAACATTGGATGCAATCGGTTCTTAATACTCACCTCTACACTGTATATCTTCTCATGATTGGATGCAATCGGTTCTTGTTGATAATAATATTCACCTCTACACTGTATATCTTCTCATATAACATGGATGACGGATTACATCTCTCCCTACAAATGATGATGGTCATGATTCATCATCATCACGGCAAAGAGAGGATTCAAAAGGCTTTGAAAGAGATTTTACATCTCTCTCTCATCTGCAGATGCAGCACCACGTCGATAATAGAAATATATATTTGTAATGATGACAGTCAGACAGTGAGAGGCTTTTCCGACTCAAGATTGCTCATCTCTCTCTCTCTCTCATACGGATAGTAGCCTTCCAATGACAAGTCTTGAGAGTCATTGATCATGAATTCATTTAAAAACATCTCAAAACAAAAAAACCCATCATTGAACCCGTTTGTTCATATGCTTTGAGTTGACACCATTCGACGTCAAACACATCAAAAGATGACACAACGAAGATCTTCAAAACTGAGCTTGCAAGGATTTACCAATGTCATGTTGGAGCCAGTGAAGAAATTGTCCAACCAAAAAACTAAAAAGAATAACAATCATCACTCACAGGTATTTGAAATTCCTCAAATCACGATTGAGGCTCCACAAGAGAGTGACGATCTTAAACCTTCATCACTTGTCACTTCTGAAGTGAATGCAACCGTGTTCCATACATCTTCCTCCTCTGCTTTGCCTTTCATTGTTACGACGACGACACCAACGATCACGACAACCACCACAACCACCACAACCATTCCGAATGTTCAAACCTCTCATCATGATGACCTAAGAATACCAAATATTACTTGTGCAACGGAGGTGCAAATTTCTCTTTCTGAACCTCCGAGTCAGGAGGAATTATCATCAACGAAGGAACTATCGATTCAGATACCTCAAGTTTCAATTTCATTTGACGGAGGCAATGATGTTGAACGACCATCATCATCAGATGCAATTTCAATATTACAAGAGTCACATCATAGAGAAGAAACAGACAAAAAAGCAACGATCGTTGAAATTGCTGCTCCTATTAAGGATGAATCAAAGTGTGAGAATTTTGAAAATAAGCATGACGATGATGATTTGACAGAAGTTGCTCTTCAAGATATTGTCAACAAACAACAACCTTCACAATTGCCACAACAATCAACAAGTGTCATTTCTTCTAAAAATCCTCTCGAACAAACATCTCCAACAACACATCCACCAATTCTCCCTTTCAGTTCCAATAACTTTCTTCAAGTACAAAATTCATTGGCTCCTTCTAGTGCAAAACTTAAGGCAATGAGTCGATCAGTTTTATGGGAAGTGGACAAAGGCCAAGAAAAACGAACTTCTGTACGAGAAATTCACACTAGCTGTGGAACGATCGAGTTGTCACTTTGGAAAATATGTTCTTTTTTCGGATTATGCATAGCAATCTTTCTAATTGTGTCTCTAGTTGTGGGAGTTTCAATAACTTTTGTTTTTCGAATTACAGAGAGAGACACTCAAATCAGCCTTACATCTTCAAATTTAAAAGTATTAATGAGTTCGATGCACCTGACGACACTTCAAATTGTATTTAATGGATTCACCATGGACAAGTACAAACAGTTCATTGAGACCAAATCCCAAGTGAACCATTTGCTATCTGAAATGATCATGTTTATTCAACAGCAATACAGCACCAGAGAATTTACAAGATCCTACGAGTTGGAAAAGTACAGAGATGCTGCTGTGCTTGATATTACGAAGTGTATGACACTTCAACAGGACATTGTGTCACTGTCTTATTTAGGAAATATTGAATTGGCTACTGACAGGCTGTATATGTTTGAAAATTCGACCGCTTCTGCAAATGCTACACAATCACTCGATGAACTTGCCACTCGCTCAATGTTGGTCTTTGATGCACAGGAGAAAATCTCAAGCGTATCTTCTAGCATTAATTTGGCAATTTGTATTTTGTGTTTATTTATTATTATTCCTGTTTTAATATTGGCATTTGTGTTATCCATCAATAGGGAAGTCATACATCGAAAACGTTGGAAAAAGGCCAATGCAATTGTGTTACTGGATACCATGGCGGATGAGCAATTGGCACAATGTAAGTATTTGTTCATTGAGATGTTCATTGAAATCATGATCATCATATTACTAATCATTTTCACATTGCTATTTCACACTTGACTTTATGTAAATTCAATCGTTTGTTGATTGAATCTGACACCAATACAGTATTTAAGGAACATTGCAAGAAAGAGATGGCATTAGAAAACTTTCTATTTCTTCAAGAAGTCTCCATGTATAAGGATCTATGTCTAAAAGCCATTGAAATTCAAGAAACCTTATTCAACAGTACTGCACATAATAATAATAATACTAATAATAATGGACATAACAATACTTTGGATGAACTCGATCGCACTGACAGTGGCAGTGGAGGTAGTGGTGGTGCATCAAGTCCAAAAAGAGGAATTTATCGCAACTCTGGATCCAAATCATGCAAAAGTGTCTACAATTTGAAGCAAGCTGAAAAAGTTCTTACCTCAAACCTTTTCCAAAATAACAAAGTTCTCAAACGATTTGGATGGTTGAGTGAGAAGGATATGGATGCCATTGAACAACGTAAATACGAAAAGGCAAAAGAAATTTACCAAAAATTCCTTGACATTTCTGGCGAGTATTCGATTAACACTAATCGACATAATATTCAACAAGTGAAGGAGACATTACGATCCTACGAGTCTCAACTTATTGATTTCTTACCAGATACTCTCTTTGACAATTTGGAGCGTGAAATTGCAGAGTTATTGGTGGATGCTCATCGTCGATTCAAGAAAACTCTCGCTTTCCAAAAACAAATGAAAATTGAAAAATATGTTGAAATTAAGAAAAGAACTCGAAGAAATACAACCATTTCAGACCAGTAATGGTGATGAATTTGTTTCATCAGATTTGTTGCAACATGTTCATAATGAAGATTCTCCGTCAGCTATTTCAAAAACCATCATTCCCAGAGTCCAAACATAAACTTTGGAAGACAAGCCAATTTTTATCGATGTCAGAACGAGTAGAAATGTGAGCCATTGTTTAAAGAGTTGAGAATTAATAAGACGATGGAGTTTTAAATGACCAATGTCACAAAGTAGACAAAACTTCTTCAAGAGGATTGCAAGTGACAAATGACCTTGAATTTTCAATGTCTCTAAAGATGCGGCTAAAAGGGATTTGAACAACATGCATTATTTAGGCAACGATGATGAATTAATGGTATTCTGAAGCTTATAAAGCACTCCATGAATTGAATGATGATGGATTGTAAAAAGGAACTGAAAAATCTGGCCAATACAAGTTCATTATGTCATACATCTTTCGTCAAAATGTACCTCTAGCCCAAAAACAAAAATTCGTGAAATTTTGTTGAGTTTGATCATCCTTCTTGTTACAAAGTCCTTTACAATAAGACCCAAAATTCAAATTCTACGACCTGTCAGACATCGCTTTTGGAAATTTTTCATTTTTAGACAAGGTGAGACCTGAAGTCTATACTTCAACTCGTGTTTTTAAAGAAGATTTGGCAAATTAAAAATTGCCCAAACCTCTCTCTGCTGATTCACTACCAACAACAAACACAACTCTCTCATTCTCTCTCTCTCACTGTCTGACGTTATTACACACAAAAGATGATGTTCGTAACACCTCCACCACCTCCCATGACCACCAGTAACTCCTCACATAATGATGCTGATGAACAACAACAACTGTTGCAACAAGTAACTTGCGAGAATCACACAACTCGTCTGAAATCTTACATCGGAAAAGGACAAGCACTCTTAAAACAAATGATTAAATCCAACGGAAGAGTCCTTCATGGAACAAACATTGTCAAGGTCGATTCTTTTATCAATCATCAAGTGGATCCAGAATTAACCAAATTGATGGGTCTCGATATGGCAGGACGTTTTGCCGATCAAAAGGTGACCAAAGTTCTCACTTTGGAAAGTTCTGGCATTCCAACAGCTCTCATGACTGCCTTGTATTTAAATGTTCCCTTAGTCTATGCACGTAAGGTGAAACCAAGTACCATTCAGGAACCCACATTTAGTACCAAAGTGAAATCCTTCACCAAGAATGTGGAATATGATGTGTGTGTGTCGAGCAAGTATTTGAATGCTTCCGATCGAGTGTTAATTGTTGATGATTTTTTGGCAGTGGGACAAGCCACGCAAGGTTTGTGTGAATTGATTCGACAGGCAGGTGCCGAATTGGTTGGAATTGGAATTTGTATTGAAAAGGGATTTCAAGAAGGAGGAACCAAGTTGAGAAATAAGGGAATTCGATTGGAAAGTTTGGCAATTATTGAAAAATTTGAGAATGATTGTGTGGTGTTTCGAGAAGAATAGAGGAATACTCTTTTTGAGAATCTTCTCTCGACGTCACGATTCACGAAGTGAGCAATGACAAGTGAATGGTTGTTTTAATTTCTTTTTTTTGAAATCAATTTTCCAATCTCCTTCCGAAACTTTTTACAGAGTGTGTCTATACTTCAACAATATTAAATCCTATTTCTTGATATGCCAGAAATTGAGTGTGTTGAGTGTGTCCGGAATTTCAGAGAGAGCTCTCTCTGTGGTCAATCAATTCTTTCGGAAACTCGAAGGTTTTCAACAATTTCACATCTTCACATTCACTCGACACTACAGTGAAGTGTACACCTCGTCACGATCAATCAATAATCTCTCTGAAAGTCCATAATTCGTTGCATCATGATGATCCAAAAATCCACTATGACTACCACCACTTGGATTATTGAGAGAATTAAGTGGAATATTATTCATTTGATAAGAAGTGGCCAACGCTTGCTGGAGACGAGTCCATCTCTTCTTTTTGATGAATTTCGAATAAATAATACTCAAAATAATAACTCCAATTACTCCCACACAAAGTACAATGACCACAACCGTCACACTCACATAAATGGCAACATCTCTTGGACAACTACAGTAATTACATGAAACTCCTCCACGAAGTTCGTCAATAAATTCTTGTGGAATAATTTTCGGAGGACAATTGTCTCTCTTTTCAGCAATTTCATTCAACAATGCTCTTGGATTTGGAAATTCTGAAAGAGTACTCAATGGAACATCGACACCAGCCACACCTAACAATCGACCATTACTGGCAAAGCAAGCAAGAGAAGCGGTGGAAACGTCACCCAATCCAGTGGTATCTGTGTAAATTTCTGACCATGAAACTCCATCAATTTTGTTGTCACGATAACTCAAATAATCGTAATAGCTTGACATTTGAGTTCGAAGGTCCTTGATATTTCCATCTGCAATTTTTTTCCACAATCCACCATTGTCACATGCAATTCGACGTGGAGTTTCTTCATCGGCTTCGTTTCCCAAACTAAAGGTGAAGAGTTTTACTCCAAATTTTTCATTCTTTTCCTTAATGATACTATCTGGTAAAATTCCACTTGTGATTTTTCCATCAGTCAAAAACAAAATGACATTGTTGCATGTCTTGTTTTGAGTTTGGTCATTTTCAAATAATTTAAAAGCCAAATTGAATGCATTTTCAAAGTTGGTCTGACCAAATGGAGTGATATTCATAATACACTTTTTAAATTTCTCATAATTTTCATTATTCACAAATAAGAGTTGATCTCCTGAAAAGGCACAAGTAAAGGCATTGTCACTAAAGAAAATGAGCGCCAGTCGATCTTTTCGTGACAATCCGTCAATGACAGAGAGTGCAGCGCTGATTGCAATTTCAATTCTACTGTTGCTTCCCATTGAAGAAGAGACATCTAGAATGATAATGATCGATTTTGATCCAGCAGCGGCAGTGATATACCAAGGTCGAATTCTTGGATCAAACGATGGACATGGTTTTCCAGCTGGAACTTCTTCTCGACAGCTGACAGATGGGTCAGGTTGATATTGATGTCTCCATTGAACTCCTGGAAATAATTGCATGGCACCTGCAGTGGAAGCTAAATATTGCCATTTCACAGTTGGATCTTTGAAAAGATTTTGTCGAAAAACATCTCTCAGAGAATTACTCATACATTCAAATTCTCGAATTAAATCATTCGATCCTGGAATGAGATCAGGAGCGTATTTGACCTAAAAAATGTTCACATATTATATCACATGATATATAAAAATCAATGAATAAAAATCGAACACGAAAAATTAAAGAATTCACATGTCATGTGAAAATGTTCAATTATTTTCAAATATTAATTCATTGAAAGGTTTTTGAATATATAATCGAAACAGGTCGAACATTACATCACTCTCATCACTTACCACTGCATCATTTAAAGATAATTTTTCTCCCGAACATCCACATTCTTGATCGTAACCAAAATTATAATTACAATCAAAATTTGGAATTTTTTGACTCAAACTCGCATCACAAGCATCGTAAAACACACAACTTGAATATTGGTCTCTCATGGTAGGCCAAGTTATGTGAAAACTCTTTGCTTTTTCACAAATTTCTAAAACTGCCTTCTCTTTCTTTTCAATCAAGGCAGCAAAGGATGTGTTGTAATATTGACAGTTGGCAGGATGAACAAAATAGGATTGAAAACTAATGACAAGGAATACAATTAAAATTGTTGTTAGGAATGGTGGTATTGTTGTTGAATTAATTATGAATAGTGATGATGTCATTGATTTTAATGAACTCGTGAGAGTGGAGAGTAAATACTTCTTCCGAAAGTGATGGAAATGAGTTTGTGGTTGTTGTTGATGGGAATGAATGGCCATAGCATTATCCGTCCTTGTAAACGGTTTTGGATGATGACTGATCTCATTGTGATGATGATAGGCAACACAAAGTTCCGACTCTGACTCGTTGGATTTCATTTTTTTGATTTTTAATGACATTTGTCATTTCATGAAATGGGAATTAAAGACTCTCTCTTTTGTCGATGCCAAAATTTTGTTGTTGACCATAAATTGATGTTGATCAATAAGGAAACAATATCGAGCTTTGACATTACCAATTTTGTACAATTTCCGAACTAAGGCAGCAGACAGAATTAAACTCTCGAGTGTTGGATCATGCTCCTCGATCGATTCTTGCGCTCCAAAAGAAAATGAAACAATTTTTCGCTCATCGTTTTCGTAGGCATTCTGGAGACTCTTCACATCTTTACGATCAATCTTCTTCTCATGATGACAACGATCAAAAGTCATCATCAACGAATCGATCAAACCTTAAAATTCGAGCCATCCCAAAAACCAACGTTCCTCCTCCTCCTCGCAGAAAGAGTGAAACAGATGCTGTATTGATGCAAAGTACGCATCCTGTGAATACGCAAGGTGTCTATGGATTTATGGATTACACAGTGCATAAAAACGCAAATAATCTTTACACCTATGGAAATCAACCTAATCAATTCTAAGATCTAAACCACTTCATGTGGTGACCTCTAAAAGTCAATATCAAGATCCACAAAGACATGATTAATAATAAAAACAATGAATGACTCGATCTTATATTCCACAAGACATAAAAATCGACCAATGAACCTTTCAAAAATAATAAAATTTTCACTCTGTTCATTGATGAATGATTTACACAATGGTTTTTCTCAAAATTCGACCATCTCCACCAGAGGTATACAAAAATTGAGTGGAAATTTCAGACCATGTCACACCTTCTTGTGTGAACAATTTCTTCTTTGGATGAGTGTCTGGATAATAATACATTTGTTTAAGAGTTTTCATGTCCCATACAGCAACGTGGCCATTAGAGCAACCTGTTACAAAGAATTCTTCAGTGGCTACATCAATGTTCAACATTTGAATTGCATCGTGTGGTGTTGAAATTTTGTGTAAAAATCCATAGCTGCTCTCTTGAGCATCGAAGATATGAATTTCGCCCTTCTTTGTTCCAACCAGTAAGAGCTTGTATTTTGGAGAGTAGCGCAATGCAAGTGGTTCATCTCCATTGAAAACATAGGAGAACATTTTGGCATCTTGATTTGGTAAAAATAGGTCCCAAATACACAATTCTCCTCCCTTACTTGACAATCCAATCGTTGAAACTAAGCTTCCTGATTCCAGGAATGTAAAATCATTCACCCTAATATTGTGACAATGTAAGTGATAAAAGTAATGCAAGCTTTCTTTGGAGGCATCAAATCTCCACAATGTGAGATACCCAGAACTATCTGTCACACCAAATTTGTATCCAAATCTTGAGAAACGAATATTGGTCACTGGTGATCCAGATTCTCTATAGGTTCTGAGCGCATATTGGAAACCATATTGCCACATGAATACGGAACCGTCTGGTCCTCCTGATAAATAGAATGGAAGGAAAGGATGAGAAACAAGAACGTTACATGCTTGATTTCTGTCGACTTTTCCTGACTTTTTGGTTGGTTGTTTGGTTGAGCTTGTTGGTGCGACCGACTGTCTCTTAAAGTGTGAAGCAGATGGAGTTGTGGCTGTGAACGAAGGTCTCTTACTAACACTGAATCGTTGTTTCAACTTGTTCATGTATGAAGAATTGTTTCCAGAGTCAAATGAAGACATTGGATTCGAGAAACCAATAAATTTCTTGAGGTTCTTGGTTACATCTTCATCATCGTTTACAGTGTCCAGGAAATCGAAAACATTAAAGTTTGAAATACTAGGTACCTTGGCAATGGTTGTCTGTTGTTGGACGAATTTTGTGTTGTTAACATCTTTAGCAGCAATGTCATCGTATCTATGGAATGATTGATCCCAAGTATTGGCCTCATCATCCAAAAGTCTGTCAAGAGAAGGATTTCTCTTTCTGTATCGAATAGAGTGCTCAATATTAATTTCACGAATACACTTTCCAGATGCAAAAGCCAAATAGCTTGGATTACTTGAATCCACACAAAAAGCTTTGACCAAGTCCTTGCACTTGACAATTTCAATATCTGCTGAAAACTTGAGAGTTTCATTTCCATTTGCAGAGGTTTGTTGAGTGGAGAGTGGCTTAACAATAGATGATGATGTGGCAGCACTGCTTGAATCCATAAATGATGACAATGGTGTCATGGTATCTGAGGTCGTGATCATTGGAACATTGCCTGTAGTCAAAGATACATTCATGCTTGTAGAACTGCTGATTGGCTTTGGCTTTGAAGCATCCAACAAGAAGCTCCATAATTTTTGAGTGGAATGATCTCCCTTAAATGTATCAAAGATCTTTTCATCTGCAAGCCAATGTTTGTTAATACAAGACAACAGTAAGGTTTGCTGCATGGTAGAATGTTCCAATCCAAGCTCTGGTAATGCATGGGCCAATGAATGGAAATGATCTTGAGCACTGACTGTTCTCATGTGTCTTGGACTTGGATTTGTTTGTGTGAGAGTTTCAAGCATACTCGAGAGATGCGTACGTGTGGAGAGAGCACTAACTTCTTTAAGATTTGGAGTGGTACTTGAGTCATTCTCCGAGTAAATTTCCATTTCCTTATATTGCAAACGTCTCTCTGAATATGAGCACCACAATGAGGAGCAAGTGAGAGCTGTTTGTGCATTGGATGAATACTTTTGTTTGTTAATGTCTTCTCTCTTCTTTTGTGATTGTTTCACAAAACTGGAATATGTCTCATCATAGGCATGCTCAATGAAATCTTTGAGAACGGTCGTAAGTTTGAATACAAGGACCGAGTCAAACATTTCCCAGTGGAATTGCTTTTCAAGTTTTTCCAACTCTGAGCTCTTCTCGGTGGCATCTGTGGATGGAGTTCCATGATAGTTTTCTAACAATTTCTTGTAGTATTCTTTTTTCTTTTCAGCTTCTTCTTTTGTGAGAACTTTGGTTTTTGAAAGATTGGCCAATTTCTTCTTCTTCTTTTCTTCTTGTTCGATTTCTTCTTGCATAGCCTTATTGATCTTAAAGTCCAGCATCTTGAGGTTGAATCTCTTGTAGAAGAGTGTCATTCTATCAAAAAGTAAATGGTAAAATTTGTCAAAAACTTCTCTTCCTTCAAAGCTTGGTCTCTCAGAGAATGAATCACGTTCTTTCAAATCAAAATCTTGATGAAGGTTGAACAAAATGTACAAGCCATCAAAATCTCTCTTACTATACAATGTAATAAATAACATGGTCTGTGAAAAATTTTACATTCGTAATCATTGAAAAACCTGTGTTTCACTACTTACGAAAAGTGTTGCAGAGAGATCTGCCTGTTGTTGCTCGCTAATCTTAACCTTAAGACTTTTCATTCGGCTGTAACAATAAATAAATTCCTTCAATTGATGCTCAATTCTAGAGACATGAGACGGAGTTAATGGACTCTTAATAACAAGTGAAATTGTTGTACCAATTTGGATTGCAAAAGTTTCCAAGATTGTAAGTATTGACTCTCCATCATTGCAAAGTAAGCATCTAGCGATGAGGAAACCATTCAATTTGGTAAATTGTTTAAGCTGAGCTAGCAACATATTCTTGTCAATGTCCAATTTAGCTACCAAGTCATCAATATCTGACATAATCTTGATGCGATTGTTATCCCATCCCTCTCTATAGTTAGATTCAGCATTGTAGCAAAGATCATAAAGCTCTTGGCATAAAATACTGAGAGCAGTTTTAAGCTTAAGTAGTTCTGTAATTTCTGGTTGCTCTTTCGCTTCCTTTGTTTCTTCTTGCAATTTGGTGGAAGATGAGGAGCCGGACATCATTCCCATCATGCCCATACCCATCATTCCTCCTCCAAAGCCACCAAATGCATCGAAACCTCCCATTCCTCCTCCAAAGCCTGAGAAGGTTCCTGACATGAGTGCATCGTTGGAACTTGAAGTTAGTTTTCTCTTGGAAGTGTATTGATCAATATTTTTCAATTTTAGTAAATACTCCAACGAGAGAGTGTATGCACCAATTTGGTAAAAGTAATGAGCTGTTCTCTGTAATATTGGTAATATGTGCTTGCTAATAATGTCTGAATTGTTTAAACTTGGCTTTGAGTCAAGCTTTAGGCAGTATGCAAAGAGTGACGGATCAAAGGTTTCATCGTCCTCACTTCCTCTCTTCACAAGTATTTCAACTGCGCTCTCATATTCTTTTAGAGTCCATTTAATGATACTTTGCATCCAAATGTCTTTTTCCTCTGTTGCGTAATATTGTGTAAGCTCATTTTTGAGAAGATTTTTACAGAAAGAACTATCATCACCACAGTACAACCTTGCAATAAAGTACGCCAAGTCATACTCCTTAGAGTTCTTAATAAGTACACTAACAGCGTCTTTTGGAGAATCAGCGAGTAAGAAATAGGCTGCAGCATAATTCACATCATGTCTACTCAGGAGAACGTACGCATTCTTTACAGCAGAGATTCTATTCTTCTCTTCATTAAAGTTCTTATTGAGAAAATCTGCCACTTTCTCATTGCCTTTTAGCTTGAACAATTGAGAGAGTGCACCCTTCTTTTTAAGTGCCATGTAATAAAGAGCACACTTTGATGGGTCATTGGTTTCCTTGAAGATTTGTTTTGCCAATCTCTCAGCAATGGCTTTAAGAGAACCTGGATTTTTTTGCCAATAGATCACTCCCAATTGTTGAATGAGTTTCCAGCTAATGGATGCTGTTTCTGGGCAGAGCATGTTCCACAGGGCGTCTTGAGTTTCAGAAATGAGAGCCCAAGCAATCATGGAACTATTGACCTTGTTCAGTAAAAGATCAGATTGAGCACCTATTTGGCTTCTCTTTGCAAGATATTGCAAGAATTTAACAGCAACAAGATATCTAATACCTGCTTCATCCAAAGCTTCAGGATTTTTCTGAAGTTCCAAATAGGTATCAATGACTGCAATGAGGTTGATTTGATCATGTTTTGAAAGTCCTGGCAAGTGAACAGAAGCGAGGGATGTTTTCAAAATTCGAACTGCCTCGTCAATGCTCATTTCTTCCTCAGGCTCCTCCAGTAGAGTAGAAGGTTTTCCTTCTGCCTTGGTTTCCTCTATACTCATGGATGAGAATCTATCAAGCAAGGTTCTTTGTCTCGGTTGAGCTGGTTCTGCAGCTGCCTTTTTCTTTTCTTCTTTGATGAGTGTCGTTACTTTTAGAGAAGGAATTTCTAAAAGATAAGCATAGTCCTTGCCCTTGTTGATATATTCTTCTAATTTGTCACCCTTCTTCTTTTCCACCTTCTCTTCAAAAATTTGTAAATGTTTCACAACATGATAAATGATCTTCTTCACAGTATCAAATCTACCATCCATCAATAACTCTAGAAGGAAATTTGGATGATAGTCAGCCAATCTTCTGTGCATCAAGAGAGTTTGAGATTTGATGCTTGGTTCTGTTGGAACGTTAAATTTAGCCATAAACTTCTTTGAATCATCACCATGAAGAGTCTTTGTAAACACATGAAGGACAGAACCAAAAGCAGAAATAATGGACCTCTCCTTGGTCACAGAAATTTTAGAGCATGGCATGTCATTCACAGATGGAAGTAAAGTCGTAATCTTGTGCCAGTACTTTTTCTTGTCTTTAAATAGTCCAGGTTGAACTTTTGATTCCGTGAAACAGTAAAGCTTTTTGTTGGAACCAATGATCAATATACTTTGACCATCTCCAAAACTAGTCCACTCTAAATCATGAACAATCTCTGTTTTTTCAATTTCGATGGTTTGTTCTATCGTCAAGTCTGTATGAGATTCTGCCTCCCAAATATGTACATCCTTTGAGTCGTTACAAGTGGTGGCTATTCTAGTCACTGTATCGGAGCACTTTATCAATTTTACAGCAGAATTTTCAGCCTTAAAATCGAACCATTTTTCAATGATGGGTTTGTCATTTGTTGAGCTTGTCGATGAGGAGGATGATGCGATATTACTACTTGAAGATGACACGGCAGTAAATTTTCCGAGAAGCCCTCCAATCTTTGGTTTTGGTGCTTCCTTCACTGGTTCCGTTTTGTCTTTTTTGGCTAACTTTAATACAGTTACACTTCCGTCAGATTTACCGACAACAATTGCCAAGTTTTGTTGTTTGTGGTAGTAATTCTTCATGGAAAGCTCAGTAGGCATGTTAGTAATATTTTCTGATTTCACAATTTCAGGTAAAACATATTAAAATGAAATTTTCGTTTCATAGGGATTAAGATATTTAGCCATACTTACTGTGCATTTCAGGAATAAAAGGCACCAACTTGACACAATCAGCACAAGTCGCTGTTCCCTCAATATTATGTTTGGTAATTAGCTCAGATACAAAGGTTATAGAATCTCCTTGCTTAACTTCTTCCAATCTCCAAACTCCCACGCTTTTACCACTTTCTGAAACTGCCACAACTAGTGCGCAAATATTGGAACTTTTGTCTGTCTCGGTAGGTATCGTTCCGAAAGGTAAAACTTTCATGAAAAGACACTTTCTAAATTCTGAAGAATCTTTCATCACATAATTGCAGGAAACAATATCGTAATATGATGGCAATGGAGGTGTGGTCGTAGACTCGTAAATAGATGTTAAATTATGAGCAAGCGGATTTGTCGACTTCACATAAATAATTTCAATACCGTTATTTGTAGAACAGAGTAAATGAGCAGATGTTGGATACCATGCAATGTTTGTTGCCTCAAGTTTGAATTCTCTGATATTTGTTAGAATATCTCTTGGGCAATAGAACGGCGTGTCTCTCACGTGCCATGTTATCAAATGGTTATTCACTTTATCCAAAGAGGCAACAACAGGTAGAATTGGATGAGATGCAACACAATGAGCTTCTCCAATATGACCTGTAAAAACGCTAAATACTTCCAGTTGTGGTCTGGATCCTTTGGAGAGATTAAGCTCCCAGTTTGAAAGCATACCATTCTTGCTATGTACGTAAATCGTTAAAATTTTAGGTGTAGTTGAACCCAGATCCATGTTGGAATCATCTGCAGTTTTGTAAAACATGAAAACATTTAGAGGATCTTCGAAACCTTTGAGTGCATTTGGCATTCTTATCCACATTGAAGTTTTTGGAGTTCTTCTTGGAAAATCTGCTAAACCTTGCAAAAGATCAATCATCAATGTTCCATCTGACTGTACTGTTCCTAACCAAGTTTGTGATTCGAAAAGTCCAGTATCAGAGCTTGCTGTTTGCAACTTGCTTTCCAAGCTTGATCTTTGATCATTGTCTAGAACGATATCTTTGTGATCTCCTTCGTATGACTTTTTTCTCTTCTTTCGAAAATATTGCAACAATACTTGATTCGGACTTTTTTCGAATGCTGTGTTTAACCATTGAACATTGGATTGTGTTTCTTTTTCAATAATAGAGCAAACGTAAAACGATAAATCCTCCGTCTCATTGGTTTCACTCCAAACCCGCACGACATTGTCAATCGATGTTGTCAACAATACATTTGCTGTAAATTCATCCTTTTTTTGAGAGCTAATTTCCTTAAATCTCCAAGATAAGGACGTAACAGATCGAGGATGAGGTAAATAAATATAAGAAAATGCTTCAGATTCTTCCTCTGTAGCAGATGCAGTCTCCTTTGTATCGGTGATGGAAATCACAGGTGTGAAAGAAGGTATCACTATTGGTTTGTTTCGATACCAAACTTTCACCAACCGATCATATTTTGACACTGTTGCAAAATATTTTTCATCGGGAGAATATGCCACGATGTGTACTGGTGTAGGATTTTCGTACCTCCAAACAACGTTCCATTTCTAGGTCATTTGAATATTGACGCATAAAAATGTCATAACAATCGTTGGTTTGTCGAATTCAGAGGTGATGATGTGCAATGTTTGATCATTTCAAGTTGGAATTAGTGACCGAAAAAAGTTTTTTGGCACAAAACACATTTTTCAATTCCAACTCTGGGATGTTTCTACTTACATAGATTTGACCTAATACTGGCACTCCTTCTAGAATCATTGTTACTCTTCCTCCTACAATGAGACGATCGCCATACAAATTCCAATCCATGCAATCGAACTCCATATCTACAGAACTAATAATTTGTTCAATTGCCCAAGTCGGAGTCTTTTTCGAAAATCCATGTTCTGTTTCATCCTCTTCTATTTGAGAATAAATAATGATTTTTCCTTTTGAACAAGCTGCAATTCTGCTGTGAAGATTGCTCCACTTTACACATGTAACAACATCATCATGACCCTCCAATATTTGAAGAAAATTATTTCCGGAATAAATCATAACATATTTTCCACTCGCATAGGCAATCATTTCATCGCCCATATGAGTTGTCCATGAGAAGGCTTGATGATAAGGATTAATGGATCCAGGGCATATTTGCCATGCTCGCACTCCTTTTGAACTTGCAGTGTTTTCTTGCGGTTGTTGCTGTCCGGGCTCTGCTGATGGCAGCGGAGCAACACCACCAAATACATTGGAAGATGAGATGGAAATGGGAGTGCTTGGCGTAGAGGAGCCCGAAGTCATCATCATCGATCCAGCAACAACGCTGCTCGTGCTGGTGGGTGGTGAATTCATGGCAGGGTGATGACGATATTTTTTGAAAATTTTTTAAATTATCAACAGCATTTCCATTTTAAATTTGTTTGATGATGACATAACAAGGTCTAACCATTCGACCTAATACCTTAGGGTTATTTCGACATGGCAATAGACATTTTTAAACATGTTCGCTATTTATTTTTGATGCTTAGTTTATTCACGCTACGTAAAAGATGCGCACAATTTAATAGTGCAGTTTTGTTGTGTCTATATTTGTCGGCAAACAGTTCATTCAAATGAGTGTTGAATATCTGTTATTGCCATCCAAATCTGTGCATGCAACATGTACAGTACACATAAATCTAGATACCTATCTCACAATAAAATTAAGGTTATTCACATTCTTGCTCTTGAATTTGAAGAATTATTCTTGGTCTTGGATTTGGTATAGCTACGCTTCCAGGCGTTGAAGTGGTATTGAGGGTAGAATGTGCCAAGTGTTGTTGACTTGTATTTGTCACCACGGAATTGGTCAACATGGTCAGAGAATCCTTAGTAAAAATCTTTAAAGAATCAATAAAAAACCTCCATAGTTGTAACGTTAGAGAAAGGCATCCAAGTGAAGAACTCCCACCACCACTACTACCACTGCTGCTGTTATTATAATTCGTCCTGGTCATAGGTGTCACTTCATTAAAATTTCCAGTTGATCCACTACTACTGGGCACGGCTATGGATGTCCTACTTTCAGAAGTAAGGAGTCCTGATAGTGCCGAGGGTAGCCCTAAAAAATTTACATCACTGTTAAAATGTTCATTTTCAATGGAAAGATTTTTCTCCAATTTGAAAGCAGCCTCCATATGTGATCCAAAATCATAGTATCCATCAATTTTCTCCTTAATGAAAAATGCATTTTGCCTATAGAAGGAGAGAGCTCGTTCATTGTCCACTTTACAATGTAAAGTAAGTTTTGTACAGAAATAAGGTTCAGCAGAGACAACTTCCTCCAAGATTTGTAACATTCGACTTGCTAGACCCTTTCTTCGATGATTTTTCTTGACACCCAAAGTCATGATGTAACAAATATTACACTTGTCGGGATATCCAAATAAATTGTGCCAAAATCCTCCATCTTGTTTCTCCTCCGTTAAAATTGAGGAAGAGCACACTCCAATCAGCTCGTTGTGTTCCTTACTGAATGACAATAGAGTATATGTTTTACTCTTGTCCAATAATTTCAAATAAAATTGTTTGTTATATTGTACAGGAAATAATTCTTGTTGTAATTTCTTCAGTGAGGGTAAATCATCTCGGGTGACATTCCGATAGAGATATTCAGAGTCTTCAAATATTATCTTATTATACATGTGGAGAGGAGAAGAGAGGGAATCGTAATGATGATGATGATTATTTGAATCAGTTGCATTATTTAATAAAAGTAACTGTTGTTGACGGTAGTTGTCTTCTCCGGCTTGATCCATCACAGAATAATACGCGGATGATGATGAAGGTTCGAATGACGACAATAATAACGAAGCGGATGAGGACGGTAATGCATCATTATTGTTGGTGGCTCGTTGATCTGAAGCTGAAGGGTTAGTCATTGCTGTTGATATTGTTGTTGTATTCATTTCAAGGGGTTGTGGTGGTGGTTGAAAAGAAAAGTTATTGTTGTTTCGCACAGAAGGGGACCCTGTTGTTGTTATTGTTGTTGAGTTGGGAAATAAAGCACTTCCGGAAGAATGAATCGAGGAAAAATCCCCAAACGAATGATGATTGGGCCTCATGATGATGAGATCTGACAATTTTTGTGTTGTTTTTGTTGTTAGGTAAAATTGAATCCGTAATTGAACCTCAGAAAAATCAACAACAACGAAAAATCATCCCTAATGAACAAGATCAAGAAGGAATGAGAGTTCTAGCGAAAAGGTACTTTTTGGTCGGAGTCGCTTTTTCCAAAAGAGTTTTAAACTGCCTTCAAGTAAGCAGAAGAAGCACTCAATTTCCAACAACTCTTGTGATCTTCTTGATTGTTCAAAAGTAGAAAGAACCATTTCCGAAGAATTTTCCTGAGACAATCAAGTCTTGTTGTTCGAAGGAGATTTATCAGAGGATCACCACTCTCATACTGTTTTTCTTAAGTATTAATACTGTTTACTTAACCTGACCTTAATCTATACACTCTACTATTGAACCAGTCCATTCTGAGCCGTCGTGATGACATTATTTCAAAAATCATCATTGAAAAGAAATATTGAAACAACAAAGGAAAGAAACAAACTATTTCACCTCTTTATTAAATGTTTTGGTTTATAACTGTGATTTGGTATTTAAGTAATCCAACGATTAAAATCGGTTCGAGAAACTCTCGACTTAAAGTGAATATGAACATCCATGTAGAAGACCAATAGCACTAAGCATCGCAGTTATTGCCAATCCAGTTTCGCTGGGGAAAGGACTTTCACTGGACAGAGTCCGTTATCCAAGCGAAACACAGCCCACCCCAGCAAAAAACCAGTTACGCATAAAACTACTGTTCTGAGCTGCCCATTTTAATGATTTTATGAAAACATATGCAGAACTATAAACAACAAAGGACAAACCGATTATCGTTTTCGAATATTCTATAATACCAAAAATGGATCCTATCAAGCCATGTCCTTTCCTATCATATATTGTATTTTATATTTACTTTCGAAGAACAAGATAGATATAGGTAAGCACTTTAGTTGCAAATCTGCACACACCTCATTGACTTTTACAAAATTTCATTTTGCAACAACAACGAGGTGAATGTTGGTACACGTCAGCTTGCGAGATCCAAAAGCTCTCAAAGAAAGAACAGAGAAAAAAAATCATCACCCAATAATTCACTCCAAGAATCCGCAACCACAGATCCCTTCTTGCTCGTAGTCTATCCAACCAAAAATCGACGAAGAAGACGACGTCATTATCGTAACCCTTCATTCAGCTTGAAACAACGAGAATAGATTACACCGTAAAAGGCTTTGTGATAGATTTTAAAAACTCGATTGTTACCTACAATTTTGAAATCATTGAAACAAAAGCCTCGATCATCATCATCATCAAGGTTTCTTTCATCATCAATCATTACCCATTAAAGAAAATCACTATCCGATTGGTAGAACATCATCATTATCAATAACAACAACAACAATATGCAATTAATTTACATCATAGTACCTTTGATTGCCGTCGCTATTGCTTTCTTCTTTTTGAGCGGTGGAAATTCCCGACCAGAAAAGCTCAAAACCACTACTTCTACCTCTGATAAGAAGAAGAAGAGCAAAAAGACAGAGAAAAAGGCATCCAGTGTTTCTGCTGCTGTTTCTTCTGACGAAGAGCCAAGCAAGGCCACCGATGAAATTCAATCTTTGGATGTTGCCGAGCTTTATGGATTGAACAAGAGTAGCAAGAATCAAACTGCTCAAGTGGCCGACTCTAAGAAGCAACCACAACAACAACCATCTACAAAGCAAACCAAGAAGCAACAACAACAAGAAAAGAAGGAGGAACAAGAATCCTCTGAGGATTTCCAAGTGGTTAAGAGACCTGAAGTCACCGGTCGTAAGAAGGATGAAACCAAGAAACAATCCGAACAACAACAAAACGACAAGAAGAAGAAGAAGCAAAACGAAAACAAGTCTATTTTCAAAAAGTTCGAAGAGCCAAAGAAGGAACAATCATCATCTGCTTCGGATGAAGATGAAACCGATGCAAAGAAGAAAAAGACTACAAAAAAGGCTTCAGAATCCAAGTCTGTTGAATCGTCATCAGCAACCAATGGAAAGAAAAAGTCAGCAGAAAAGTCTCAACCAGCTAAACAAGTGGAAAGTGACGAAGAGGAAAGCGAGGAAGAAGTTGTCGAAAAGAAGACAACAACCTCAACTGCTCAATTACCAAAGGTTGAAAAGAGAAAGACTATTATCAGAGATCCTTATGCTTCCGAACAAGATTTCTGGGATGACAATGTCAAGGAAGTTACCAAGCAAGAAGTTGAAGTGAAACCTGCCACCATCACAACCACTGCTGCTGTCTCCAAGAAATCCTCTAATGTTGGCTCATCAGCCAAAATTCTTGTGAACAACACCGAGTCCACTTCAACTGCTTCATGGTCTCAACAAGAAGCTGGATCACAATCTACCGATTCCGATGATTCCAATTTCCCAAAGGTCGGAGCAAAGAAGGTCAAACAATCGAAACAAACTAAGGGAGCTGCTTCATCAGAAGTTTTGGTTCAATAAGCTCAGAACATATAATCCACAATGTATTTACCTTTTATTTATATTATTCAAACAAGTTGAATTAATTTTATTTATATATACAAAACCACAATAATAATAAAATACCAAAATTCCTTAATTTCACGAAACTTTGGAATGCGTGTTGCCAAATAATGTCGTCACAAACAATCTAGTTCAATGACGGGTAAGTCTCAGTATTTCCATGATAAGACTCAATTCACAAAAGCTCACAGCTGAACCAGAAGGAGCCTTGTGGTGGTGCTTGGGCTTCCAAAATGATTTCCTCAATAATTTCCTTTCGTGAATTTGCAAATAAGCTGTCCCACAAATACTTAGCTTGCTCTGAGCATTCATTGTACCATTTTTGCGTCACAACTCTAAACTCAAACTGCCTAGTCTTATCGTATCGTTCTTTCATGTCGTTTCGATCGACTTCAAATAATGAAGCGCCAGTACCATTATTAAAGGGATTACATTCAATGATGATAATCTTTTTGCTTGGCTGCAAAATGGCGAAATCCATAATCACTATTGAAAAACATGAAACGACCAACTATTAACATTTGCAAGAAATCGCCAAACTTACCCTCACCATTCCACTTGGATATGACCGAAGTTGATTGTTTGGATTTGCATAAGAGTACAGGTTTCACAGTGGTATTATAATATCGCAAAATTGACGAAGCGATTTCGTCCTTTTTGTCAATGAGCTCCTGAACCAAGCTTGTGTTGTCATACTGACATAATGCAATGAGTTCAAAATTATGAACAAAACCTCTAAATTCATACTCATAGGTAATGTCTGGATACCATTCTCTCAATATTAATTTCATGTTAAAAACTTCAGGAAATTCTAATGCTCTTGCCAAGTCTTGCAAAACTCTCTCCGAATTCGTCAATACATCAATCACTTGACGTTCATTCTCAACAGCAAGTGCTTGTTGAGAACATTGCATGAATGATAAATATTCTTCACTATGGCTCATGACATTTGTCACGTAATTTTCAAAATCCTCAGTTTCTGTATTCAAGATATAATCTCTTGAAATTTGTGTGCTTGTTAATTGACCTTTTCGTTCCTTGAATTTCAAATAGCTTGCAATCCATTTCTTTTTAAGTAATATCTTGCATCGACGGTAACATTCCGATCCATCAAAGAGTGCAGCATCTTTTGGACTTCTCGTTGACAATCTACAAAAGACCTTCTTTCCCAAAAAACGCTTCTCCTGATTCCATACATTTCTAATTTGTTCTTCCAGTTTTTGTATTTCCATTTCATCAGAATTGGTCATCTTATTGGCATGTTTCAATACATGCTGTTGATAATGATGCACGAGAGCATTGGCTTGCTCAAGACTCAAATTGAACCATCTTGTTTTCGGAGTGAGAAGTAATTCATGAGGCCGATTGTGTTGTAATTCTAACGTCGTTGATGAATCCATCATGATGAGCTCCTCACACCATTGATCCACATCATACAAGGAATCTCCCAAAACCTTTTCAAGTCGTTCCTTGTTATATTTCTCTTCGTTATTAGTCATTCCACTACACTGTTGTTGCTGCTGCTGAATTGATACTCGTAGAGAGATCGTTTTCAATTCGGAGTGGCGGTCAACAATAATTTCTTTCTGTGCTCTGGGAAGGGGATCTGTATTGATGGATCTTTCAGTCGATTTTTTTATAAAGGAATAGAGATCAAGGCTTGATTCTCGACCAAATTTCAATGATCATAATTCAAAGTTTTACTTTTTCAATGGACGCAGGCCTCTAAAGATTTCAAGGACATCATCATGAAATAATGCTCGAAGAGGATGTTGATTCTCTAATTCTCCTTTTTTAGCCTTCACAACATGACAATAAAAAACAATAAAAAAAATGACGATCGAAATATTTAAACTCTTGAAGGAGAAGAAAGTGAAGGATGTGGCAAGACCAACCGAAATGGTGACTTTTCAATATGAAGATAAGCTACATGATGTGTTGGAGGTAGGTGGGGATTATATTTTGTGAGATTTTTGTTTCTGAACAATAATGAAATTGTTTTTTTTTCATCATTTGGTGATGAATCGGGAAAATCATTGGTATCACTTGTTCTCTACGGGTTTAAATGTATACAACATGATGATGATCACCATCATCTTTACCCATTAATGATTTTGTTTGGAAAATAATCCATTCTCTCCTCTGCTTTGAAAATGAATGAAAATTAATTGTTGTTGGTGATTGCGATGAAAACAGAAATTAATGGCTTCAGGTATTGTTTCCGCTCCAGTCATGAAAGGCAATGAATGTGTTGGTTTGATTGATATTTTGGATATTCTCGCCTTCTTGGTGGAGCTTTTCGGAGAGACTGAAGTCAGACAAGGAAATGATATTTTCTCACGATTAAAAACAGCATCAAAATTCCAAGATCAACAAATTGGAGGTATTGCTGATTTCGCTCATAATCCTTTCACACCTATCAGCGAGGATAAGTCGCTCTACGATGCTTGCACTGTGTTAGTTAAGGAAAAATCACATCGTTGCCCTGTTCTCGATAAGGACGGAAAGATGGTCAGTATTTTGACCCAAGCTCAAATTGTTAGCTTTTGTGCTCTTCATGTCAAGGAAATGGGCGAATTGGCTCATCAAAAAGTTGGACATGCACCATTGGGAGTCTCTCCTGTCATTACATTGGAAAAACATATGAGAACAATTGATTGCTTCAAAAAGATGCATCAAATGAAAGTGAGTGGATTGGCCGTCATTGACAACACTGGAATTTTAATCGGCAATTTATCTGCAAGAGATATTAAGGCAATCAATCCAAGTAATCTCTATCATTCACTTCATCAAAGCGTTCATACCTTTGTTCAACACATACGAGAGCAATCTTTTAACGAAAGTCACCCAGCAATTTCATGCTCTGAAGAAACTGAACTAGGATTTGTTATTGGAAGATTGGCAGCCAACAGAATTCACAGAATGTATGTGTGTGACAAGCAACTCCATCCTTGCAAAGTCATTTCTCTTCGTGACATTATTTCATACATCATGTCTCAAGAACCACAACAATAAATCTCGACACGAGCAAGTATGCACGTCCCTATGCAACACGTGAATGAACCATTTTATATTCATATAGGATGAGAAGAATTTAAAGGAATAACTCATGATGACCTTCTTCATGGCAGATGAAGCATGGCTTATGGATCCTTCATATTTGTTCCTGTTGCAGCATTCACAGCGAAATCTTCTTGATCACTTGAAATCTTATAATACAACAAGAGAAGATCTTAAACTGATTTGACTCCATATTCTTCATAGGGTAAATTCATCTTGGAACCAAAATCCATGGTTGTGATTTGAAATCAAGAAAATATCCCATCTTGGAGTGATGTATTGGGACAACGAGAAACTATTATTTTCCTGAATACTCCTGGACCCTACAACGAATATACACTGTTCAATAGAAAGAAGGAAGCAGGATCACGCATGGTATCGATCAGCAGTAGTAACGAGCTCGATGATGAAACTAAGGCAGTTCAAAGTAAGGAAAACAAAAACGCTGACGATGTGGATAGGAAGTGTGTCCTTTCACGAAAAGTCAAGTCTGCTTTACAATGCCAGGTGTGAAAGGCATTAACACTTCAAATCTGGAGGTAATGATGAGTTGTTATCGATTTATTTTCATGATTAAGAGGGTCTTCAATCTCTTCAAACGAATTCGACTCCACAACAAGGTGGAACTTCAAATTTGGAATCTTATGAAGAAGGATTGTCATTTCCATTAAAAAATTAAGATAGGTGTTTCAAAGGTCAGAAGGAAGGACAGCGTTGTTTTGCCAGAATGACTTTAGTGCAGCGTACGGATCAGTACCGTTTCGTGTCTGATAAACAACTTTGTCTTGAAATTAAGCTCATCAAACCGTTGCCAAAATTTTCTTGCTTCCTTTGCTTTGTCTAATTCATTTCTTGAAAAGGATTGAAATTTGTTGCAAGAAGCCCAATAACAAAATGTCACAATCATATTTTGTTTTGTAAGATTTGAAACTACGGGGATAAAAAAATACATTCTAATTATTCATCTGCGCAAAATGCAACTGTTCCGGCAAACTGTGTCAATTCGTCAGCTTTACAAGCAAAACCCCAATCAATAAATATTAATTTTCCGTCATTTCTATTCTTCATAATGTTATCAGGTCTAATATCTCTGTGGCAAATACCCCCTTGAATGAACCTTCTGCAATAAGTCTATTAAATCCATACATTCTTGTTTGGTTGGGGGTTCTGTATCTTCTATGCGATTAAAATTTTCCATTTGTAAAACTCCTTCAGATTGTTTTTCTACTAGAGGGATATCAATATTATAATTTTTGAGAGTATTCAAAGTTTGATATTCGTTTTCAAACAAGATGGTATAATCAAGCGTTTTACATATTTTAGCAACCCTTCCATCAGGTATTTCAAAAACCAAAGAAGTATAACCTTCGGAAAGGAAGGAAGTTAAAGTGATTGCTGTTGATGGATAAAATCCAATACTATCCACCTTGTCAATGGAGGTGTTAAGTAATGAATAAAGCGTTTGTATACCAAGAGTTACCATATTATTGGTGGGTTCGAAATCTATCGGTTCTGAATGTTGAAAAGTAACAATATCATCATCATTGATCTCAGCTTTTAGGAATGGCCAAACTCCTTCAATAAAAATGCATTTTATAAGACCGACCATTTTTGAGAAATCAATCCAGAGTTGAATTGTTCTACAATTAAGCATGCTGAAATCATGATTTTCATATGGTAATGGTTTCATTCCATTTAGTTTCATATTCTTCAGTTTGGTGCTGTGAGGCCTAATATATAATAAAAACCTGCAGATTAAAAAAGGGGTCATTGAACTTGATTGAATTAAAGGGAAAGCGCGAAGAAAGGTTAAACAGGCAACTTGAAATCATTGAGTTTCATTTTTTTCTATTTCGTGAAAACCAAACGTTGCTGTATTTGCTTCAAAAAGGCTGTGACACACTCCGTGCCAACAAACATCACCATAAGCGGAACAGAGAAGTCAAATGATACACTTTTGCTATGCAACACACATTACAACAATATCAACAATTTCAAAAACACCCATCACATCATCAACCCTGTTACCATCGCAATTCAAAAACAACCAAAAGGAGTGAAAGATATCATCTCAATCGTTCCCGATAATTTCGGTCAATGCAAACATTCCGACAACAAGTGCTGTAGTAATTGCAAAGAAGGTAATACTCGATGTAAAGGCATTTCTTTCGAAAAAGTGAGCCATTTACTGACGACATCCGGGACCATATCACACAATAACCATACCTTCGGAAAGGTGAATTTCAATCATCATGGCGAATTTAGTTTTTTAGCATCGACTGTAATAATTGCAATCTCAACAAATATGGAGTTTGTGAAAAATGTTATGAATGTTATGACACAAAATTACGTCATTATCACCGAACGATTGAAAATCAAAACACCAAAATGAATCACATTGCTGCAAAGACACAAGAATACAAAAATGTCATCAAATCATTGAAAGCAATAATTTCTCGACGAGATACTAAAATTAAGAAATTCGAAGAATTAATTGAGGAAAAAGATCAAAAACATTATTTGGTAGAACTTCTCTCGGTTCCACTAGAGGAAGGAAAATTACACGAAACCCAGTTCTTTTTATCAATTATTAGAGAATACTTTGCAAAATTTGGTTTCATCGAAAAATGTTAACGGTTTTCGATACAAAGAGTGTATCATTTATTGGTATTTATTACTTCGATTTTTATGGTGGCTCTCGTTTGTGGAATGTCTTGAAAGGAAATTCCACTAGCGACATTATAACATCCGAAAATGCATTGGATAAGCTTAATTTATTGCTTCCATCTATCTCAACAATTAAGAGCTATCTTCCCGACTTGTCTTTTGGAAAACTTGCTGACAATGATTTGAAAAATGTTGTTAAAGCCATGGCAATGAATAATATTAGTAACAAGATCATAATTTCATATGATGAAATAGAAATTAGAGGAGGGTTATGTGTGATGAAAAGCACTGGAAAAGTGACCAAAAATTACAGAATATTGTTTTGTGGATGTTTTGGCTGGAGTTGTTTTGTATGGCTTAGTTAATCCTGGTAAAGCCATTTCTAGCCAAGCACAAGGAATAACTGGATTGAATTTGAACAATTTGAGATCAAAACTACCTATTGAAAGTCATGTGAACGATATTATTCAATTTTTAAGTAATAACTCTCAAGGGAAAACTTATTTAATAGCTCACAATGGCGACTGTTTAGACTTCAAAGTTTTTGCAAAAGAATTTTTCGGGAAGTTTCCTGAATTTAATTATGACAATATTGTTTTTGTTGATTCTCTCCAATTAATGAAATCAGAGTCGACTTTACATAATTGTCTTCCTCGTAAAACGACAAAGACAGGGAAAACTAAACTAGTTTCTCGACAAAACATTGAAAGCTATTGAATGTTTTAAAATCAATCAGCTGAAAAGGAAAAGAGAGAAGATTAATGATATTAATGATGATCTACACAAAACAAAGAAAGTTGGATGCAGATGCAAAAAAGGAAATTGTTCGAAATGTAGTTGTGCAAAAATGGGAAGAATATGTGATTCAACTTGTGGATGCAATTCAGAAATTTGCAAACGGAGAAAGTGCCAGGTTTGTTCTAATCACACGGAACTAATATTGTGTTCACTTTGTTCTGCTATTATTTGCGAGAAATGTTCCTATTTTGGGGAATGTCAACGCTGTTCCATATGCATAGTTATTAATTGCAACTGTTGTCGCAGATTAACCAATGCTGTTTCTTCTTTGGACTTATTTTGATCGAAATAATTGATGATTGCATTTACATTCTCAAAAACATGTTCTTGAACTGGCAAATCGAAAAACTTCATAATATTTTCAAATTGTTTTTTCAATTGAGCAATTTTTTCGGGTTTCTTCCTCTCACCCTCTTCTTCAGACTGATTATTATTGATTCCTTTGATAACCGAAGAGTTTGAGAATTTTCTCTCTCCTCTTCATGCTTGTTTTTCGTTTTGAACGGTTGGCTGTTGGTTTTGATGGGAGAAACATTGATGATTACGCTCGAGTCGCTTCCTTTTGAATTTGAAAAGAAGGTTCGCAACGATATGGAAGACCCTGCGGATTTTCTTGATATTTCTGTTGTGTCAGATGATGACTCTGAAGAATTGAGAGAGGAGGTCATCACGAAGAGATTTGACGCTGCCAACGATGATGTGTGCATTACAGCAATTTCAGCGAGCGACAAAATTGCACAAAATTCAAGCAGTTTTTTGCAAGTATTCTGTCAGTGTTTGTGGGAAATTCACTTGGAATCGAGTTCAGAATCATTTACATGCTCTTCATTCGATTCCGGAAGTCTACTACTCATTTCACTGAAGAAGTTCACTACTGAAGAACCATTTTATATTCATATATAGAGGATGAGAAGAATTTTAAGGAATAATTCATGGTGAATCTTCTTCCTTCGAATAGATGACCATGGTCATGCTTTGGAAATGTGTCAATCCAAAGTGTGTGTGATTTGTGTTGAACTTTTTTAGTGTGTTGTCCAATATTTTACACACTTCCACTTTTTCTGTCCCATCCTTTCCTTTTCTGGTCTTCTCTTATCGTTTTCCAACAAATAAAAAGCCGTCACCAATCCTTCCTGTCTTCTTTGCATTGGAACATTAGGTTCTTTTCTCATGCATCCTCTCCAGGTCGACGAATCCTACTAGTAGCAGCAGAAAAAGCAAAAGCAGCCACATTCATCAACAGAGGACCTCTTGAAGTGTCTCGAAACAATAAGACACCACACCTGAAGATTCGTTCTACTTCTCAACAACAAGATTGTATTGAAATTTTCCGTTTTCTCGAACGTTAGTACTCACTGCAGATATTAATATCATTCTTCCACAAACCCATTTTCGGATATCTTCACTCTCGTAAACCTCTCGTTAACGAGCTTCTTATGAGACTTGATTTCCGTAAAGAAAAACGTTAAAGACTACCACATTCATCCTTGTAGCAATTTCATCTCTCTCAGTTGGAAATTTATATTATTCATGATGATGGACTCGTTATCGACTTGTTCTTCACTTTCGAATGCAACACAACTTTTTTCTCTCACAAAAGAAATGTCAAAATGTTATTCCATCAAATTCAATGAATTTCTAGAGAGAGGTCGAGAGGATGATTTTGTGATGGCATTTCGAGAATTCTTGACAAGTGAACACAATCAGATGACTCTTGATCTCATCTATGAAATTGAAGATTTCAAAAAGTGTGAGAAAGAGGATTACAAAAAAAGATATTCGAAAGCAGAGAAAATGATTCAATTGTATATCGGTGACCATTCATCACGACAAGTGAACTTACCAGCTTCTTTGAAAGATCAATGCTTATTAGAATTCCAAAAGTCACAAATTACCAAAATTGGAAATAAGAAACCCGATCTGACCTCTCTCGAAACAATTTTTGACAAGATTTACTCACATCTCCATTACTCCCTAAAAAGTGATAATTTCTTTCGATTTATCTCGAGTGATATTTTCGTAAAGTGTATTCTTCAAAATCTACAAACTCTGAAACAAAAACTTGTACATTCCAATTCCCTATTCAATCATTCCTCAAATCACCAAACTTCTCCTCCTCGAGGACAAGAACATACCGAGTCGACCATCTTTCAATCTCCATTACCACAACAACAAAATTCAACTCAACAATTGTGGATCAATGTCTTGGAATTATTTTTCAATGAAATTGGAGAAAAGAAATTATTGCCATCTTCGAATGGTCATGACTGTAACACTCAACATCCAAGCAGTAATAGTGGTAGTAGCAACAACCATAACACTCTTATCAGCAGTGGAAACAATAGTGAAAGTAGTGATTCATCTGGTTCGTCCATTGAGAGTTCTCATGAAAGTGAAACGAATTCCAATGTTTCGAATTCAACTTTCAAACATGTGTTGCCATCATCAAACCCTCAATTATTCCTAAATGTCAATCACGTGCTTTCAGAGTCATCAAACTCCCTTTCTCCTTCTTCCGTTTCTTCTGCTCCTGCTTCTTTATCACCAAGAAGTTTAAATCAACAATTATTGACCAAAGATTTAACACAACTCGCCATCGAATTGGATGAAATTTTAGAAGACCATTCGAGTGGTGGTGACAGTACTGGTTGCGACGGTTGCATTCGAAGAGTTCATGAAAAACATTTTCGATTCATTCATTCATTGGCAATGGCCAATAATTTGTTTACAAAAATTGATCCTCCTCTTTCTGAAAAACAACAACAAGAACATTCATTATCGTCTTTATGGAATAATGGATCCAATACACCTACATTGGTGCCATCCATGAATTGGACCTGTGCCTATACTGTTGATTTGAAACATCCAAAAAAGAAGAAATCGTTTCGACTGTTTAAACAAACTGGAATTTTGAATGCATCTCCTTTGGAAGTGTTGTATTCAATTTTGGATGCTGAATATGCAAGAGTGGTGGGAGATCAAATGAATGAAGAAGCATATCCATTGGAATATTTACCATGTGAGTATTCGTCGACAAAAATGTCAAATTCCAAAAAAGAATTGAATTCCAATGAAAAGACATGTTGTCAAGAATTTTTTGAACACGACGGCTTTCATTCTACATGGGCCACCAAAATGCTTTTCAAATTAGGATTTCCTTTGAAATCCAGAGAATTCCTTGTGAGCATGTCGTTACGAAATGAAACTTTGGCCATGTGGGATTTGAATGGAACGAGAAGTGAACAAATTTTTAGAGAAATTTGTAAAGATCCTTATTCGAATTTTACATTGGTGAGAGTTCCTTATCAATACCATGAGGAGAAGATTGAGGTAGCTCGAAATCATACACGCGGAATTTTTTTTGGAGGTGAGTTGTTTTACAATTTTAAAAGTCTCATGTTCTGTCACTTGTCAACAACATTAGGAACCATTATTGAAAAAGTTTCTGAAAATCAAGCTCGTTTCACGCTCGTTTCTCACATTAACATGAATACCAAAATACCAACTTCACTCTATTACAACTCTGCTCGAAATCGAACTGTCGAAGTCATTTCTTCCATTCAGTTCATTGTAGAAATTTTAAGAAAACGAAAAAAACGTTTAGAAAATGCAACAAGCAATCCTAGCAATGGTGAAAATCTTCCTTCTGAAATAGTTCCATCTTCCTCAAATTCTTCATCATGTTCTCCTCGAAGTTATGCCAACTTATTGGAAGGAACAATCAAATCTGAAATGTTATTAAGGACACTGAATGAAAATATGCAAAAAATTGGATCAAAATATGGATTTACCATTGATGATTGAGAGGAATGGATGACCAATGAAAATTAACAAATTAATAATTAACAAAATAACCAAATTGAGAAATGACTCACAAAAAAAATTTATCAAAAATATTCACACGCATAAAAAATCAACCCGAGTTTCATGGTGATTCTTTCACTGATCAAACAGCATCAATTCGATCTTGTCTATGAAATATTTTCATATTGCAATGACAAGCGATCTATTTTTCGAATTTTATTTCAATGTTTGCGATTCTTCAAACAAACTCAAAATCCATTTCATCGTTCATTAATTAAACATAATTCCGAGAAACAGGATCCACAAAAGAAAATATTGGAAAATAATATCAAAGAATTTTTGGATCTCTATGGATTTAAATTTTTGCAATTTAGAGTTTGGAAAGTCTATCGATTTGTGGTCGAAAAATTTGAAACACAACTCGCTTTGAAAATGGAACTTGCAAAAAACTTGAGAGTTGACAATGCATACACTCCAACTATTCAATGGATTAAAAAACAAAAGGAGGTCAAAAAACTTCTCGATCTCTATAAAATTTTGGTGGAATTATTCATGGCCATAGATGAAAATCATTGCATTTTCAAACAAGATCATTCACAGATAGAGTTTCTAAAATACAATATCATTGAACAGTTGAAAATCTCCACATTTTCGAAATTATTTAATCTTACCATGGGTATGACTCTCTTCGAAATGTATCAGGAAATTCTCCAAGTTGAATTACAATTATTGAAAGATAATTTTTGGAATTTCACAAACGACCAACAAATTCTGGGAAATATGAAACTATCTCCTCAAATCCAACATTTATGTGAAAACGTAGATTTTGCCCCTCTTTTCACACTTCAAATTGCCTTTCACATAGATGATCACATGAGCTATGAAACCCATGAATCTAATAATTTGCTTCGAGATTTTGAATGGTTTGTCTATACGGAAGCTGGACCATTGATTCCGTATCTGAATTTAACTCTTTCTAAAGTCATGATTCAAGGATTGAGTTGTCGCATGGAGTTTGAATGCGATCAAGAAATTTTTTTCAGAACAATGGATTTTAAAACCTTTTTGGAAGGAAATATTGGTGGAATTCTTGTTCATGAGAACAACAACACTAAACTGTGCCTACAGAACACAAATGCCGTTCTCTACAGTGATGCAGTACTCGTTCTCTACGATTACTCCAGAGCACAAGAATTCTCATTTGAAGAGCTTAACCAAGAGGCATTGGAACAAATTGAATTGTTACCATTATTGCGTCGTGTCGTGTTGCAATATCCCTTTTCGCCCATTGTATTAGTGATCGCCGAAAATGGAAAACAATCAGATCTAATTGCAAAGCAATTAGTGAATTTTCCTCATGTCACTGGTGTCTTTCCAGGGTGGGACTCAAGAACAATTTTTAAAGCCACTTGTCAGAGTACCGTTAGTAGTGTGAAAAGTTGCTCACAATTAGAGCAGGAACTCTCACATCAGAAACAAACTCAGTCACAACGAAAATGTGAAATGCAATAACGTAGTTTGAGGAGAGAATGCAAGTCAAAGGTGGAGCTAGTTCGTACATTTCATTGAACATGATGGTGTTGTCACTTGTTTGTGCTTCAAGAAGTGTTTCCTGCAATTCAATTTCACTCCAAAACACTTTGAACATTTCTGAATTTTGTTCATGCTTTAGAAACAACATTCAAGCAAGCTTAAGGTAAAACAACCAAGTATACAGTTTGATGGAATTCACACTGTTGACAAATGCGCACTTTACACAAGTGTTTTTCTAAACACAACAGAAGGTCCAACTTCATGATATTCTCCTCGTGTTATCCATTGTGGTTGAAAAGTAGAAAGAGAGGTCAGAATAGATCCACCAATCCATGCTGAGTGGAGTCTTTCAGGAGGAGCAACTACCTTGATTCTTATAGTAGCAGGAACTCTTTCGATCACCTCCATGCTCACACGATCAGTCATGTTGGGCATGAGAGTGTTTCCTCCACTCAATACAAGATTGCCGAATAAATCCTTTCGACAATCGACTGCAGCATCGTTCACGGCTTCGACAATTAAGTCTCTCAAGCCTGTCAAATTGTCAGCTGAAGTGCCAATTTGCAAGAAACGTTCTGGTCGAAACATGATCTCTCCACACTCCTGTAAATCTCGTTCACAAAGTTGCAAGACACCACCTTCTGGGAGGACATACTGTTTGAATGAAGAGCTTGATTTAAATCGATTGAATGTTGAGGAGGACATCATATCATCACATTGGTGTGATCTCATACGTGGTGTCTCTTTCATGATAGAACATTCTTTTTCTTTGATCTTTTTAACTTGGTCATGACATTGATAATAATGATTCATATTTTTGTTGTCATTATTGTTCATGGATGACAACGCTCCTCTCTCCATCAATCGTTTCAGCAATTCATCTATAACATCTCTTCCTCCCAAATCCAATCGTTTGATACAACTTGGCATTGTGTATCCTTCATAATGCTCGTGATTCCATCTCCCGATTCGATACACATTGCAGAACATCTTCCAGAGGTATAGACTGACAAGATGGGTGAGAGTTGTGATTGAGCTGCTTGCACCTGAAACCTTTCAAACAGCAAGATCAAGTATTCCAGCCTATTTTCAATGGGATTCAGAGGAGGTTCCGTGAAGAGGATCCTCATGGAAGTTGAGGCTTCTTCTTCACTACAGTAGTAATTATTGGACGGTGGTTGATGAAGCCTCTCGGAAAGAAGATGAATAAAGTGTTCAACGAATAATTCAATGGAATCCCAATGAGTAACGACTCCTCTCTCAATGGGATATTCCATCTCTAATAACTGTTGTTCCATCATCCTCATCATGGTGGTAGTAGTGATAGAGGAAAAAGGATGCTGACGATGATTCATGGGGAGGAGTTGAACTCCTCTCCGATCTGAATTTTGGAAAGAGGAGTGGTTAGGATCAGAAGGATGAGGAAGAGAGCGAGCCACCACACTTTGGACCACCCCAAACGGAGCATCATCACCCGATAAACCAATACGAGATTGGCTGGATCCGAGATCAAACACACGTGTGAAGACATTTTTTGGTTGTAAGTTCAGAGTTCATTGGTTCTAAATTTAATTTTCACACTTGATGAGAAGCAAAGAAGAGGACTTCGAACGTCTTTCGCGAAAGGTGGTGATCCTTGTATCAAGCACAAAAATTCAAAGAGTTCCCAAACATTTTCAAACGAATGTGAAAAAGATCAAATTCTTTAACTGTTATTGATCTTTTTCACATCAATATAGATTTCAAGATATTATTCATTCATATAATCCTTCGCCACTATATATAATCTTAAAGGACAGGCATCATTAACATTCTAATACAATTAGCAACTATGTACCAATTGGTGTGTTTGGAAAGAGATCACAAAAAAGAGAAAGAACTCTTTCAATGCAATGAAAAGCGAATTCTTCATGGAGAATATTTCGCACATCAAATGATCTGCACTTTGCACTTCATTATTAGACAAGATTGTTCAGGAGAATTGGGTCAGTGAGGAGTGGTATTTCAATTTGGAGAGCCTGTTGCAAATCTTGTTGTTGTGTTGTTCAACAACTCATTATTGACAAGATGAACCTTTTCCCAAAATGTTCAAGTTATTACAAGATGAACCTCTGTTCCATTGTTCTTCTTCTTCTTTCAACATCAATAAATGAATGGCCTCTACCTGTATGTCCAGTGGATTTCCTAAATTTGTCTAGGCCCAGAGATAAGAGCTAATTCATGCAACTACGACATTTCATACACTATCGATGAAAACAACGTCCGTCAGAAATTGATTGTCACCCACTGTTAGGCCATGACAAGACACTCTCGCGACATCAATGACAAACATGACAAGACATGAAATTACTCAAACATGCGAAATGAACTGTCCAAGTTTCTCTTTTCAATTAATAGTATAATTTTTCACACACGGAGATGAATAATCTCACTTTTCAGTGTTCATTTAATTTTCCTTAACAGTTCTTTTACTTTTTAAGCGATCTCCAAATTTTGAATTCCTTTACATTTTAAGATGTGAAATACTGTTTTGGAGTGTTTCATTTCTGTTCCATACAAACAAAAGATTCTTATATTTCATCTTTCAACCCTCGCAACAGTACATTTGTGTGTGAATATGCCCTTCTCTCTCTTTCATTGGCAGTCTTCGATTCAATTAAAACGGTCCCCCTCTCTGTTCACATTCCACGGACAAAGAACAACCACTCCATAATCACGCCCTGATTGAGATCCGCACAAGACGAGAGATTGGATTTGACAGAGTCGTCGCACGTGTGTGTGATGGTGATGACGGGATGATTGCTTCACAGAGATTGTTTCAACCAGAACCTTCTCTCATAGCAATGCCGCAACAGATGCCGTATTCTTCTTCTCCACTTTTTCAAATAAAAAGAGCAAGTACTACTTCATCTGACCTGATTGTAATCCAAGTCACAAGGGTTAATATTGTTCAGATTTGATCTATTTTAAAATAGTCCCTTCAAAGAGAACTGTTCTTTTGAAATATGCCTTCCAAACATCATCATCCTTTGCATATCCGAACTGTTTCTTCCTCTCCATCCGTGATGATGACAGAGTCGACCAATAGTGCAGCCGATCGAACGATACCAACAACAACTGGTTCGGGATCAGTAGCAGTCTCCTCCTCCTCCTCCTCCTCTTCATCCTACAATCACTCAAATCAGCACTCATCCAGATGTTATGGCACCAATCAGAGCCCTTCGTTTGAGGTCTCAAGTACTTTGGCATCATCCAACTGTTGCCGACAACCACGTAAATTGAGAAAGCAAATCAATACAAAGGCTTTCAAAGAGAATTACTTTGAATTGGATATTACTTCCTCGAGCGAGGTTCAACTGTTGCAATTTAAAACTGACTCTTCTTCCAATAAGAAGAATAAGAAGGAGAGTGGTAGTGCTTGTGTTTCTTCTAATTTGAAAAGGGTTCTTTCAAACAACAACAACAACAACAACACTAACCATTCGCCACCGCAAAAGAAGTCTTCTTCTTCTTCTTTGAATGAGCCAATGAAAGAAGTTTCTAACAATAAGAAGAAGAGAAAAACGATGGAAGAACAAGATCCTATTGAACCACAACAAGCTCCAACCACAAGTTCTTCTTTCAATACTACCACTACTATGAGTGGCTCCTTGTACTATTCGCCATCAACAACGACCAACACGACGAACAAGAAGAAGATGAAAAGAACAACCATGTCGACAAGAATAAGTTCAGAAGCAACCCTTTCGACCTCGCCACCACCATCACCACCACAACACCAACAACCACAAGCAACAAACCAAGACGTCATGATGGTCGCTCATATTCAAGAAAAGGTTGAGCAAGTCATTCAAGACACCATTCCTCTCATCTACTATTTGAATTCACTGAATCAGAATCCCAATAGTACAAGTTTGAATCAACAGATCACCACCATGTCTCATCCACAACAACAACAACATCCAATGTCAAGAAGCACCATTATGAACACCACCACGATTTGCCAAGAAGCTCCCACAATGAATCAAACATCTCCTCCTTCTTTTGGAGTGTCATTAAGTCATTCGAACACTCCGTTCGCACAATCTAACAACATGGCCAACCTTGCTCTTGAACGTTATACATTCCAAACCCAAGATCTTGATCACGAGTCAAGACAAGAAGAGACTTCTTGGATGGTCGATTCCTCCTTTGCCCTTCAGGTACAACCACCAGCAACACAACCTCCACATGGCATTATTTCAGCAGGACCAAACCAATCCATGAACAACTCTTCCAATCTGATCACTTTCAACGACACTAATTTTCAAGAACTGTGTAAGATCTTGACCAATATGCTTGAAAGTGATCCATTCGCTTTGCAAAAGCTTCAATACAACAACCATGACATGAGTCAACAGAATCAGCAGCCACTCAGTACCTATGCTCATCACACACACCAACATCAATTGAATCATGAGCACGTTAGTCTTCCTTCTCAAGGAGGTTCCCAATTACAACGTTTGACAAGCTCCTCTCCACCAAACTCATTCGTCAATGTCCGTCATTCAAGTTTGTTACCTGTTGCTGCTGTTGGACACCCACAAGAAGTTCCATCCAGTCATTCACTTCTCTCCACGATTGGAGAAGATTTAAATCTCAATTCCTTGTTGATGCTTAATGGCTTGAACAATGCAAGTCGTGCCAACGAAACTTGTGAAGAAGAATCATCCTCCTCTACGTCCTCTTCATTACTCAACATTCCAAGTAACATGATGTTTTTCAATGACTGAGAGCAAATAGGGATTGGATCCTTACGTTGCTGCTAATCACATCTCTCTCCTGTTGCGAAAAGTCTCGAGAACCACACACGACACGACACTTCACTGCACACACACACACTCCTGTGTCTGTCTCACGTTTCTCAAGAGGTCAAAAAGAAGTTTGTACAAACAAAATATTAAAATCGTCTCTGAATTTTTGGTTGAAATCAATTGACGAGCTGGATCCAAACTCAACCTCCTTCTGTTTGTTTTGAAATATTGGGTTCGTTCATAATTTGAAAGATAAATTTCTTTGAAAGTCGAAGATTTGAAATTTCCAAAAAAAAAATGAAAAAATTCGCTGCTGGACTCTCTCAGCAACTGAACAGCAGTGGCAAGAAGAAGAAGGCTCCCACATCGGGATTGAACATTGAATCATTCAAAAGAAAAAGTGTGGGTGAGAGTGATATCACTGGATCATCCAATCGGTACAGTGCTAATAATACAATGAATGAAATTGAAGAGCCTTTTTCTCCGTCCATGATTGAATTTGAAGAAGAAAAAAGACATCGTTATGGAAACAAGGGTCGAGAAGGGTCTTCATCATTGTCGAATAATGATCATCGTGATGATGATATATTCATTCAAGATGGTACTAATGCTAATGCTGGCAGCAGTAGTAATAGAATTGATCATTCTTTTTTACCAATCCGATCATCATCGCCTCCAATGCCTTTGTTCAATGATCGGAAAAGCTTTCATTCAGAAAATATCGAATATAATAACATCCATGGTGACGATTATTCACAAGAAGTATCATCTCCACAACCAAGAAAGAGTGAAAGCAGTATCATGGATCCTGAAAATTCAAAAAGTCCGGGAGAGTCGCTTGGAAGCGCTTTTAAAAAGTTGAAAACAAAAAAGAAAAATTTGTCCTTTTCCAAGTTTTCAGAAAATGTAGGTTACAGTCACATTTACTGCCACATTTCTCATAATGAGATATTCTTTGTACATAATTGTGTATTTCCGGAAATTATAATCATGTGCACATAATATGGTTAATTTTTAATTAATATTCTATATCATTTGACCCGAATTTATGTGATGTTGAAATTACCTGGACCAAATTCAATAACCCTCAGGTAAAAAACTTTAAAATTATGAACAAGAGCGCTCTTGAAGACTACACGAGTGACATTGAAAGAGGTCATACTCAATTATTGGATGCATGTGATGAATTTTTTGAGAAGAGAGAAAGTGCAGAGATTGCCTTGTGTAAAAGTTCTGACATTTTGAATACATTCGGCAATGAAGTGACAGAAAGTACCATAATTTACATTTTAGAAAAGATTGAAGCCTGTCACTGGGAGTACGGATACCACTTGCTCTCTGTGGTCATGGGATATGCTGGCAATTCAATTGGTATAACAGGAAGTTTTTCAATTTCTAAAAAGAATTGTAGTACTGTTCTGGATTGTAATGGCTTGAATACCATCATTTATGCGTTTAAACATCACGCATTTGCATTAGCCAATGTAGAGTTTTCTCCCTCTATTCCGATGGAGCAATTCGAAAAGGTGTGCAAGGAAAAAGAAAAGTGGTTCAATCTCTATGCGAATATTTTATATGTATTTTTAACAGTGCTTTCTTGGAATCCAAGCAAGGAGGTTCTTGAAGAGCTCAAGTATGACTTGTTTGACAGAAATGTCAATGAGTCACGAACTCAATACGGAAAGAAGGAAAATTCTGAACACTTCCTTATTGTCCTGCTAACACTACTTCGAACGAGTGTTTTGAATGATGCCACTGATCGTGGAAATATCCATAGCTTGAAGAAGTTGGTTATGCTCATGCACAAGACATTACACATTCTATTCATTTGCGATGCAGATAATTCTCACAAGAAGAAATACACCAAGATTACCAAAGTGTTACAGAAAGAACGTTCCAAGTCTATGAGACTGAAAGTGGCACCAGAGACCAAGGAAGCCTACATTAAGGTGAATCAAGGAAACGCCTCAAAAATTGTTGAAGAAGCCATCGGTGTGTACCAAAAGGCTCCAGAAAAGAAAGACACTTCCGAGAAGGTAGCAGATAATACTTTACCGAGAGCACTTATTGAAAACCCAAGCATGAAAGAAGTATTATATGTAAGTATACACTGTTATGGTATTGAAATGAATGTTATCATTTAATTATTTAAAATCATTCTGCAATATATTCACTTAATCAAGAGATTAATGCTTGAGGAACTGCCTGATTTTGTTGTGCTGATGTCGAGTATTCTTGATAAAATTACCAAAGGAGAATGCGGTGCCAACTTTTCCACAGTCGAGAAGAGACGCTATTGTAACATCTTGCTCAAGTCATTGCTATCTGTTGTGCTTTTACTGATCAAAAATTGGAGAAAGAGCTGCCAAATGCAGGCCAAATATCTTATCCATTTACTTGGAGAGGCTGAAATTTATGTACTTTTATTTCGATTAATTGAATTGGATATTAAGGCATTTATTTATCATGATGACACGAATGTTGAGGCTTTGTAAGTTTTTTTTCTCCAACTGTTCACATGACATCATATGCCACATTATCAGCTTTATGAGAGGAGAATCCACTGCAAAGAATACGACCTCATCGTTTTCCACAAAGACCAACTGGAGAAATGTCTATGTAGTCACCATCGCTTTGCGAATTATACACCAAATGACAAAAGATGATCCATTTTTAATTTCCAAACTCATTCGAAAGCACAAACTACATGTATGTATTTGAGTGTACCTGATGAACTAGGTTTTACAACGCAACGACAACTAACATTTGATTCAATTCTCAATTCTATTGCAACACGACAGAGAACCCTCAAAAAAGTAATTCAAGCAGAGGTCATTGAAGCGCTTTGCAAATATTCTTGTAAGATTTTGAAAAATTGCTTGCCACAACTTCCGCTTAAATGGAAGACTACTAACATGCTTGTCGTCAATAATATTTACTTCCATGTCCGCCCTACATTGACAGATACAAGTTGGATTCAATCTCTCAATACCACAATTCAAATTTCTCAAACAGAATATGTAAATGAAATGAAGAGAGTGGTTCATGACATTGAACATTTCCACAATGTGAATTATTTTGGTTGGTGGAAACATGTTGGCTACAGAGCAATTGACAAGCTTGCCAAAACAAAACGTCAAACAACTTCACAACAACAAGATTATGATCAATTAGTATTCTCAAAAGAAAATGGATTGTTGGGTGAGGATTATATTTCATACTTGTACAATTCTATTGAGCTTACTGAAGAGGAAAAAAGAAGAGCGTTATTCCTGCAAATTTAGTTATGCTAATTACTGTAAATACATTGATGACTTCCTTTGTAGCTCTATTTAACATACCATTACACATCAATTGTCAACAACTAATAAGTGGGTTCCCAGTCATTATCGTCGATCCAATCCTCGAGATCCGCATGGATATCAAGGTAATCCTCATCCTCTACGCAAAGCGCATGATCAATGTACTTATTCTTGCTCCGTAGAACCAAATTCTTTTTTCGACGCTTTGAAGAGTTTGAGATCGAGCCAGCTTTCTTCCTCTTGTGCGCTGTTGCTAAATTTTCATCACCTTCCTCATCACTCTCTGCGATGTCTTCATTGATCAATCGATATTTAGTCAGTTCTTCAATAATCACCAATCTTTGAAGCTTGGCTTTTTTGTTTCTGTTTTTATATGCCCTGTTGAGTTCTCGAATTTCAAAACACATCTTTTCCATTGCTTGTTCCAATTTTGTGTAATCCTTTGTCAGATCTACATCCATGTTATTTTTCGCTGTTGAAATACTGCCACGCAGTGACATGACATTAGAGATGGTATCGAATACAGATCTGAAAGAAGCACTACATTCAATAATTCGTGCAGAAGTGGTGCGATCCAAGTTTTTCTTAATTTTCTTTTTGAAAGCGATTGAGCTATTAATGACATAATTGCATAATCCTGTCATGATCTTATCAAGCTTTGAGGTCACAGTTTCCGTATTTCCAAATTGAGCATATTCTCCATGAACAAGTTTGACGCCTGCACTTAAACATTCCTTAATTTTCACAAATATTGAGGCTGGAAGAATGAGATGAGCTTGATTTTTGCGGGCACGTTCAGAAAATGTTGTGCTCATGTTGAAAATTTCACTTCGTCTCGATTTGTTGCTACTTTTCTTTTTAAATTGCTCATTCATTTTCACTGTGATTAATTCGACGTAGGACAAAATGACAGCTAATGCCTTGGATGAACACTCTCGTGTTTTGATGATATTGGCCATGTTGCACATGGTAATGCTGAGATCACGATTCTTGAGTGAATCATTCATTCTTGCCGACTCGTTGCTCGTTGTTTTACATACTTCAATACAGGACACAATGGTATCCTTACAATAGTCAAGCGATGTTGAAACACTGGAAAAATTGAGCAAAAACATTAAAATCTCTTTCACAAAAAGGGCGCTCGAGACAGATTTGAGCTCGTTCATAATGAGCAACTCAATCATGAGACAACATTGACGGAGACGTGGATCCATAGAGTTAGGAGACACGACATCTGAGCGATCCGAGTTGTCATCTTCGCTGCTACTCGTAGACATGTCATCTTGTCTTGGCTCGAAAGGAATACCCATTGAAACTACAAATGGATGAATGCCTGCAAAGGTTTTGATCAATTTCAAATAGGTGGTACATCCTCTTGGATTCTTATTCGTTTCCATGTAAAGTAATTTTGAAAAATAAAATGTCATGGTTATGAAATCAAGTGGTTTGATGTGAAATTCTAAATTTTCTTCTTGCTCTTCAGTTGTATTGGGTGTTTCTTGGTCGAGAGTTTCTTGGATGTGTTGCGCATTGAACATAAATTTTAACAACTTTTCCAACGATCTATTTTCTGTAAATTCCTCGCTTCCACTTAATTTGACTCCTTCAAAGTATACAGTGATGAGGTTAAGAATTTTCATTCTCATTTTCTCAAAGATGGAGCTGTCTTGAGCTAAACTTTTCCAGTGTGGTGACGTTCTTCCAATCTCATCTTCAAACTTTTGAACGAGCTCAGATTTTTTAAGTCGTGGTCTGTTTTTTTGACTATTTTCATCTTTGTAAAAACGAATGAAAATATCAAAGAGCGTTTGAATGATACGAATAATTGAAAGACTCATCTGCCTCTCGGTTCCAAGTACTTCAACTTCATCCAATCGCTTTCTTGTAATAATTTTCAAAAAACTATTTGACAGTTTCTCTTTGCATTCCCCAGCATAATAAGTTAAATGATCGATAATGCTAGTGAGAGTAATGAGTAATGATTTGTTCCATTGACGGTCAGTTTCCTTTGATATCTTGTTACACAATTCAGAGCATAATGATTTACAAGTATTGAAGGTGAGATAATTTCCTTTGACCTTCTTCTTTGACATTTTCTTTTCCATTCTTTGAAGAATTGAGTTAATTTCCAAAAGTTCAATAGAGATTTCATCAACTTCCAAAGTTTCTTGAAAACGCTCCTCAATCAGTACCTGAATAAGAGGAATAATGATAGTGAGTCTTTGGTTCGTTGTGATAGGTGTCTGCTCATCTAGGTCTTCATTGATTGCTAAAATTTTACATAACCATTCGATATCTCTGATACTATCCACAAGACTCTCGAACAGTTTAGAGTACAAGCTGCCATACAAATCTGAATTTTGCTTTCTGAGTATTTTGTCCATGAAAGCAAAACATTTAAATAACTCTTCAAGTGGTTCTTGTTTTCTGTATTTTCCATCTTCGCTAACAAGCTCAAAACACTTTTCAATCTCAAGACCATACATGTTTCTATCTTTGCTCATCGTGAAGTAATTCAGTAATTTTGACTTCAACATTTGAAACAAAATTTCACATGCGTCTTGGCTAAGGTGTGCATCACTAGACGAATGCATTTTCTTTTTAAAAAGTCGTAAGACTCAAGTTTTCCTCCCTCGGTTGGCTACTTACCATTAATGAATTGCTAAGGGATTTGTACAAATGGATTTTCATGTCTATATCATTAAAACGAAACGCATTTTGTAAAGCCGCTAATATGGTCACTTGATCTTGCTGATAGCTAGGCATTGAAAGCAGCATGGACAATCCGAATATGGCCAATTTCCTCTTGTCACCAAGCTTTTCTCTCTTGTTGTCCACACATAGTTTTTCCAGCTTTGCAAGTAACTCGCCACGAATGTAGTCGGATACCTCTGATATTGGAAGAATGGCCAGTAAAATTCTGGAACTGACAGCATACGCATATTGATCAAAGGTTGACAAATAGTCATATAATCGTTCAATAATTGAGCAAAAAGCAAATGCTCGTTCTTCAGCCAGCAATGCTTCTAGAATGACAATAGGTGTTTCACGTTGATATGTTGCTTGATTTTCTTCAGCGATACTTCCAATAATTTTTTGTAATATTGTACTTCTACTACCTTCACAAGCAGAAAACAGGAAAACAATACCACTCTTTCCTATTGTATTCAACATTCTATTGTTCATTCGGCACCATTCTCCAAGAATGGAAAGCATCTCTTCAGATACAATGTTCACATTGCATGCAGATTTGATAATGGACTGATAGTAACGTGTTAATAAATCATTGGTTGAAATTCGTTCGACATACCTCAACATAATAGGTATCAGTCATTTCTATCACGTCATGATCTAAAATAGATGTAGAGGACGAACCCAATGACTTTTTGGAAACAGGAGAAAAGAAAGGTTCAGCATCTGACATGTTTTGGTTATGAGGCGTTACATGCTTGTAAATTGAGTGAATAAATTTGTTGATATGAGTAAAAACTTTGTCCTTCACGAGCTCATTCTTATACGCCAGCAATAAGATCATAAAATCAATAAAATGCTCACTAAATGAACACTTATTCACGTCTACTGGTTTCACTTCATAGAATTGGTCCATTGCTTTAAGTACAATATTCAGTAGAGGCAATGAATATTGTAATGCTGATTGAATGATATAATATAAATTAAGTCTGGCATCTATATTTGCATTCGTCTTACTGAATACTGTTTTGATTACTTGAATATATTCTAAATTTGAAAAGCCTTGAGAGTTGTATTGTTCAGCAAGTTTCAATAGCACCTGTACAATACCAGAAATTTCTAAATTTCTGGGTGCTGTTTGAATCTTTTTAATGATGTAAACATGAAACTGTTGATCCACAGTTCAATTTTGAATGCAAATTGTAATGAATTCATATTCACATGCCAAGTGAGACAACAATTATTGTCTTCAAAATGTGCACTTACAATTGAGTTTTCATCGATTTTAACATCTAAAAAGATATTTAACAAGCTAATGAAATATTCAGCTTTCCATTGCTTCTCTAGTATGAAGGAAATAATTTCATGGTCTGTCTTTTCTTGAAAATTTTGAGAAATTGAAAGTTGATCAGAGAGACTTTTGCAAGTAGTAATCATGACGGGTATTAATTCTAGAAATGCAATGTTTCCATTCACGTTACTTGTTTGTCTTCTGTTATTAGGTGAAAGCATTAATTCTATTTTTTCATTTGTGAATTCTTTAAGATCCTTCAAGATATGTACAATGCATGAATTGAGAGCAAATGAAGAAATTTCAGTATTCGTTCCTAGCAACATTACCCCCAACAATTCTGACCCAGGATTATTTTTCAATATTGTTCCAATCTTTTGCTTTTCTACTTTATCGGTTTGAGCAATGTTTGCCTCCAGCATGTCTTCTTCATCAAAGACAAGAAGTGATTCTTCTTCATGGTTCGTTTTCTTTTGGCTTCTATTGGAGCCTTGTTCCAAGGTGAGTACAGAGGTCGTATGGCGAAAATGATACAGTGAGGAATGTACTTCACTAATAACTGACATGATGAGCCTTCCCGACAGTTCAATGGTACACGATGCGGATGAATCCACAAACGATTCTGAATAGTTTTGATCAATATTTGAACTGGTCAATAAATCATAAATAAAGTTTAAACTCTTCTTTCGAGTTTTGTCATATAATAATAGACATCTTAGGATGCTGGTGAAGTGTTGAATTAATTCATCCTTCTCCGGCATGTTTAAATTCTCTCTTGAAATAAATAATGCAGTTTTAAATAATTCATTGAATATGGATATTTGCTGATGAACAGTTCCATGATGATTTGTTGAATTTTCAATATTATTATTATTCGATGTTTCCTGTGATAATAATTGAATAATTACTTCCAGATCGTTATTTCCAATTCTGAGGAGCAATTCTGTACATTTCCGACTCAATGAGCCTTGCAAGGAGCTGGATGTTGATAACAAGAATTGGCAGCCATGATGTTGATTTTCCGATGAGGATGATACAAGCAAGGACGGCGAGCCAAAAGAAATCATCACTCGAATTTTTTTAAAATATTTATATTTATGTGATAAATAGCTTGTCACTTTCTCATTTGAAACAATAAATTAATTCCAAACTTTGTTGACCAAAGGTTTTACAATATTAATTTGTTGTATTCTTATTCAAGAACAACAACTTGTAATCTGACACAATAATCAAATTCATTACTAATCATCTAAAATCTCATGAGAAGCATTTATAGAGAATTTTGACAAAATAATACAATTTCAATTCCACCTTATTTTTGAACGATCCACGTACAATCGTCACACGAGTTACATCTTATTAGGATTGAAATGCTTCTTGATTCCAGACCAGCATTGATTGTAGTTTTGATCAATCTCCACATCCCACATGTAATATTCAGTAGGATTAATCATGAAGACAGATTCAAACATGAATGCCAAACTTCCTTCAGCGACACGTTCAGGCTTGAGCTCTGCATTGGATGCTTTTTCAAAGACTTTCTCTTCAGGTCCGTGTGGAATCATGCAATTATGAAGAGAGCCACCTCCTGGAACGAAACCATCTTCCTTGGCTTCATATTTACCTTCAATCAGTCCCATATATTCATTCATGGTATTTCTGTGATAGTAAGGTGGTCTAAACGAATGTTCTTGAACACTCCAACGAGGTGGGAAGATGACAAAATCTAAAACAGCAGTTCCCTTTTCGAGTGTTTGACAGGTCAAGACTGTGAAAATACATGGATCCAAGTGATCATAGGACACAGAATTGATCACATTGAATAAACGCAAATCATACTTATAAGGTGCATAGTTTCCGTGCCATGCAACGACATCGAATGGCGAGTGAGCACACTTGGCAACAAAATATTGATTTTGGAACTTTTGAATGATTTCAAAAGTGACATCTTGGTCACGATCTTCATACCAAGCAACTGGATGAAGGAAATCTCTTGGATTTGCCAGACCATTAGCTCCAATAGGTCCCAAATCAGGAATTACAAAATGGCCAGAATACACTTCACTCATATAGCCACGAGCAAAGGTTTCATTCTCCAAAGCAAATGCCACACTGAATTTAATGCCACGAGGAATGACACAAATTTCCTTTGGCTTGACTCTCAATTTACCACATTCTGTTGTAATCAATAATTCACCTTGTTCTGGAACAAACAAAAAGTCTCCATCACTATTACACATACAACGATTATGCATGGAAGTGTTAAATTGATATTGCAAAATTGCAAATCCAGTCTTCAATTGTGGTGATCCAGATCCAGCCAATATTCTCAATCCATCCACAAAATCAACCTTCTCATTCGATTGTGGCTTCTTTGGTGGTCTCCAACGTAATTGCTTTGGTGTGACCACTCTTCCCAAATCAATCTTGTTCGGATTGAGTGGTGAGAATTGTTCATTAGCCGTATAATTTTCAAAAGCATCATGAACCACACTTGGTCTAATTCTATAGAACCAGACACGTTGATTGGAAGAACGTGGAGCAGTGAAGGCTGTACCTTGTAATTGTTCGGCATAGAGTCCGTAGGCACACTTTTGTGGAGTATTTTGTCCGAGAGGGAGAGCACCTGGTAAAGCTTCCGTTGAGAAGGTGTTATTCCATCCGGGCATGTAAGAGAGATTGTCTTGCTCGACAAGAGTTTCCTTTTGAGAGAAGGAAGGGAAATTGAAATGAGTGGACCTGATCATCATACGAGTGGTGTGGATTCACGATGATGTATTTGTGGAAATCATGAATAGTAGTGTAACGAAGTGTGGTCAGGAGAAATGGACGGTTGACCGAATGGTGATTCCGCAGCGGCATCAAGGTGTGAGAATCAAAAGAAAGCACAACCACTTACGTCATTCCGAGATTCAAGAAAAATCCTGGTGAGCGATCAAAGTCTAATACACCGAAGGTGGTGTCTGTTGGGGTATTTTTTTTAAAGTTGTTGCCTGAAAGCATCGCTGCAGCAGCAGTCCGAAAAAGTAGATAATGCTGGTCTAGAGTTTACAATCAAGCTAAAATTGGGCAAATTTCGGGTCTTCCCACACTGTCAGAGAGATCTCTTCATGATGAACATAGTGTGAGCGAAAAATCTTCAACTTTATTAAGAACATCCTCATTCATCACCCACAGACTTGTCCACAGTTGTCACTGATGTCGACGAAGATACTTGTTGTTGTTGCAAAAGCTGCTTTAAGCGTTCGATTTCTTTTTGTTGTTCCTCAATGACACGATTCTTTTCTTTCAATAGATCGGTTGTGATAAAAGATGAACTATTACCAAACGATGATTTTCGTTCGAGGTGTGGAGGATTGAGAGATTTGATTGACTTTTTGATATTGATCTTCTTGGTCAAAAGTGTAATTCTGTCAAATATTTCGGCTGCGGTTGGCCTTTTATCTGGATTCTCATCGATGCATTGCTTCACGATGGCCATCTCCTCTGGAAATTTTGTACACATACTTTCTGGTATGATTCCGTTCTTTAAATCTTTTAACACAAAGGCTCTTTCCGACTTGGTGCCAAATGGGTGCAATAATTCGAATAAAATTACACCCAATGAATATATGTCCGCCTTCTCATTGTATTGCGAATGAGAGAGTTGTTCTGGACTTGCATAAAAATAGGTTCCAACACCCACGGTGTGATCGATGGCATGAGTGGGACTCATTGGAGCTCCATAACTTGAAATAATAGAAGTGTTCATATTCACATGGTTGTTATTTCGATGAGGTGTTGGCGCGTCGGTAGTTGATGTTGTGGCATCATGTTGCTCTGCATTAGCTCTCGTATGATTCAACGTTTCCAGGCAATACTTTGCCAAGCCAAAATCACCAATTTTGATCGTATTATCTGAGGTTAAAAATATGTTTGAGGGTTTCAAATCTCTATGAATCACACCACGGGAATGCACGTGCTTAATGCCGTCACAAATTTGGCTGAAAAAGTTGAGTGCTTCGGCATGGTCGAGTTTCTTTTCTTGAGATCGTTCTGGTGACCACAACCAATCTTCTAATGTATGTGGATTGCACAATTGCATTTGAATAAACAACACCATTTCAAATTTCTGATTTTTAGGGTTAAACATGTCTCGTAAGGTGTTCAGTAAATGAGTGTCATAAGGTTCTCTCTTTTGCTCCAAAGCAAATTCAAGATAGCTCATATTGTTTGGAGGTGAGCTGTAAGAATATTCAATATTGCCAACACCAAGAGTTGGTTGAGAGGTGGGTACAAGATTTCCACTTTCTGAGCTTTCAAATGAAATAGTGTTTGGATAATCTTTCGCAATCTGTTTCGAATCCATGTCATACGAAAGAGGACTTTTGGGAGTACCAAATCCACTCGAGAAGTCATTGTCTCTTGAAGTATGTTCAAAATTTTTTGAACTCTCTGAAGTCTGTAAATTGGCACTAACGGATCGATCATGATTCGTTCTGGTACCAATAGATTCCTCTGCATCCTCAAATTCTGTGTTGTGTGGAATTTCGTCATCATGCATGCCATTTCGATTTGGCTCGAACCATGCTTGGTTATAGCGAACAATTCTAGGATGATCTAGGGCTGCCAATGCTCGTACCTCTCTAATCACTTGTCCATAAACTTCTTTCAGTTCACTCTTATCCCTAAATGAAAATTTAATTTTCTTAATAGCATAATAGTGCCCATCGATCTTGTGCTTACAAACAAACACAACTCCAAATGCTCCGCGTCCAATACGTTGTTTGTGATGAAAATCTGACTTGTACCTGCTTGGACTGAAAAATAATGGATCAAATAGTGGAAGTGATGTCAGTAAAGTTGCAGGCTGTTTGCTCATATTTTCATGGCCAGCCGTCGAGAGAAATGAATGATAACTTTCAGACCTCGACAAACCACCTGCATGTTTGAGTCGTGATGATGACGATGAAAAACTCTCCGTTGTTTTTGCACGAGGTGACGTTCTCACAGTGTGATCACTATTATCTACAAAGGCGATTGGCCAATTCTCTACAACATCCTTCATAAAGTGTTTACATGTTTGCTTTAAAAACTTTTGGTCCAAAAATCTTGTATCTGTCAAATATCCTTCTTTGTGAAGCCTTCTCAGAAGAGAAATAAAAAAGTTTGGATCTGGATTGTATTGTCTTGAGACATGTTGTAACAAAAAAAGAGTCAACATTTCACGCTTATCCAAATTGTCCAATGACATTAAACTATTTTCTACAACAGGAAAATCCTCATTAAAATCTGTATCTTTCTGTAGAGAAGTGTCGAATGTCAAAGGCATAGAAATAGTTTCCTTGTCGTTAAAAGACGTCTCCTCTTCATCATCAGTAGTGCTGCTTGTTGTATCGCTATTGTTGTTATCACTGGCTGAATCGTCATGTTCAGAATTATCATCCTCCTCTTCATCATCAATGTTGGATTTAAATTTAAACCAACGATTCTTTGCATTGGTAGTATTGGATTTTTTCAGTTTTTGAAACTCTGAGGTTGGTTGATACGATTTGCTTGATGAATTTTTGCTCATATTTTCTTCGTCTGAGGCAGAGTCACCATGTTGGGAATCCTCTTCATCTTCTGAGCTTGTATATGATTTTTTAAATTTCCAATCATCGGCTATCGTCCCAAGAACTCTCTTGCTTGAAGGATTGGATTTCATTAAATTTGCTTTGGTGGGTAATGTTGAGCTCAGAATATCCAGCATGTCATCATGTTCTTCCTCATCCTCCTCGTCATGTCTGTGACTAAATGAAAATTTTGTTGTTGGTCTTGGTTTATGAGGAATGTTTTTTAGTTTCGAGTTTGCTTGTTGGGAAGTTTGTAAATAGTCATACATTTGATGCACAATTCCTTCATGGATTGGGCTTAGCTGAGAGGATTTCTTTTGAGATACACCATGTTGATGTTTTAATTGTTCATAATGTGGTTTTCCACTTAAATCAGCGCTACCCTTGGAAGTGTCAGAATATTTAGAGCTTGTATCAGGATTGTCGTATTCGATAGGAGATATTTTACAGGCGGAAGAGGAGTAGATCTGATTACTTGGACAAGAGGATGAAGTGCCGTTGCTTTCGTTGCTGGTGATGGAGGTAGAAGAAAAGGAGGAGTTTCCGAATTTCATTGAATAGTTACTATTCACACCAGTAGCAGCAGAATTGTTCAGAACATCGAGGCTCGCGAACGAGGAGCTCGTGGAATGTTGGGAGCTCGAGGTGACATAGTCTTCATGATTCAGAAGTGTGGTTGGCTTTGAGATGGAATTTTGCCTTTTGAAAGTAGAAGGAAAGGAGATCTTTCTACTGAATGGCAATGATGGTGATGAAGGTTTAGAGGAGGGTGTTGCTGATGTAGGGATGTTGTTGTAAGTACATGATGATACATGTTGTGGAGAATTGGAAAGTGTTGTGCTTGGTGAAGAAGAGGAAGTGGACAATTTGTGATTTCTGGAGGTAGACATGGGAGCACAAGTACAACGATGTGGATGATATCAATATTTCGTGTTGATGGTGATGATGATGATTACTATTGTTTTACGATTTCAACATTCATAAAGTAAGTGATTCGTTGTTGTTGTAGATCCGCTATGTGTGTGAGAGTGAATATTACAATTGCTCGTTTGTTTGTACTTGTGTTTTCCGAATAGTACAATCAAATGTACAGAAGAGAAGCTATGTACACGTAAAATGGTGGTCGTTTTTGTTGTGGAGGATTGGGTAAGCCTTCCCGAGCGAGGAACAACAAAACACACACAACAATATTTTTTGATGGTGGTGATATTCAGTTGCTGCTTGTTATTATTAGAAGCTCACTTTCTGCGCAAAATGAAACACAAAAATCAATGAAGATCTTTGCAGAGTAATAATTGGCCGCTCCGAGAGAGATCAGTTATTATGTATTGGAGGGAGGTTGGACTATGAAAATTTTGCTTCCAGACGACTAACAACAATGGCTGGTTTCAGTCAAAACAACAACCAATGCCGAAGTTTTTTTTGATTGATCTTCATCAAAAAGATTTTCGGTTCGAAACTTCCGAATGAAGTTTCCTCATCATGGAGTACGTGTTTTGGTTGTTGATTGAATTTTCAACTCGAGAGGAATTGGTGATGTCACTCTGCAATTCTCTCTTCTCAACCTTTTTAAAGAGTTGGTGGTGTCCAAGTGGGTTAAAACTGATCTATATTAATATCTGATTGGTGGAAGGTATCGAGGAATTGCGATTAAGAAGTGATGAAGTTACAAACCCGCCTAAAAAATCGGTTGAAAAAAACAACGAAAAAAAAAGACCAAAGGCCATACAAGCATTGATCGGCCACACTCGGTCTCTTCCCCTCTCCTAGGAAATGTTGAAAGAATCTAGGGCCTTGTTTGTTGATGATGATGAAGAGGATGAGGCAAACGGTGAGATCAATACATCAACCATCTCCTCAAATTTTTCATTGCGGAGACAATTAGCAAAACAAAAAGCCAAACTCAATGAACATAATAATGATCAACATAATAATGATAAAGAACCTCAAGATTCTTCAATTCTTACTTCTTCCGATGAGAAAGTAGTCAATACTTTGAATGAAGATACTCCAATTAATAATAATAATGAAGAAGAAGCGATTGAAGAAGAAGATGACAGTGGATGGATTAAGGATTTTTCGAAAAATCGGCAAAGCTATTACAATAAGATTATCAGTGAATTTGATTTGCTGCAAGAAAAGTTGAGAGATAAGACCCAACCTTTTACATTTCAAAAAGTAACTCACAACAAGCTTTGCCAAACTGAAACTGATTGGGATAAAGTTCTATCTCAAGACACTAAAAATTATATAAATATTTTAAGGAATGAAATTGAAACACTTGTTGAAAAGCATATTACGAACGAATCTCAAATGAAAAAGAAATACGAGTCACATTTAGATCAATTACGAAAATTCAATATGGAGCAATTCAAGCATTTACAAGAAAAGTGTGAGGAGCTTACAAACAGAGAATTCGTTTCTGTAGAGGTGAGAATCAAGAACGAGCTCGACAAGCAAGATTACAAATACAGAGCAGAGATTCACAATTTTAAAACAGAGTTAGCAAATTTTGTAGAGGCTTTTTTAAAAAGAGAGTTCAAAAATTACATGGACAACTTGTATTATTCGTATGGAAAATATTTTGATATAAGCAAAAGACTCTCGACCTATTCCACACATGATGTTTATAGAGAGGAGTACATGAACCTCGTGAAAACCCTAAAAATCTGTCAACCTTTTGATTTCCACTCCAAAGTGAAAGCTCTGAAAGAAGCTATTCTCACCAAATCTCAATTTGATCCAGTGACATGCGATAGGGCAACCCAAGCAGATGAGTCCAGTATTTTTATCGATCAAGCCATACTAATGAAACAACTCAGCTCTCACTATCGAGAGCAAGGTTGTATGGCAAAGCCTCAGGTATGGGATGTTGGATGTCAAACAAAAGCGATTTCGGGTCCCATTCCCGTTGACAACAATCCACTATCTGTTGCAGAAACAGCACCAACAAACAACACAGAGTCGACAAACAAACTCGAAGCTGCAAAACCGGTACTTCGGCCGTCTCCATCACGAAGCTCATTGAACGTACAAAATGCAAACAATAATGCCAGTGTTTCACCGAAACCTGGTCTATCCCGAGAAAAATCTTCCTCGTACCTCAGAAAAAAGTTTGTTGAGGCAGCACGGTCCTCTGTGAAAAATCTCAAGAAGGGTTTGTCAACAAGGAATCTGAATCAGGCGTCGAACACTCCCAAAGAAAAGATTGAAATTAAGGAAGCACATTTCACTGCTGACAAAAATAGTAGTACCATTGAAACTTCTTTGGACAGCAGCAATGTGATTGTTTCAACTGCTTTTCCCACTCAAAGCCAAGAATCAGACTCAAAGGTTGTAATTATTCAGAGTCGTGACCCATCCCCTCCCGTAATTCAAGAGAAATCAAACGAAACACAATCCAATATCGATACAATCGTCGAGGGGACAGCGAGCAGTAGTGAGCAAGAAAAAACTCCACTTGAAGAACAACAGGAAAGAGCAACAACAACAACAACACCTACTGTTACTCAGGAAACACCTCAAGAAACACCTCAAGAAACACATCAAGAGGAGTTAACTCTAAATTCCATTGACATGATGGAGCAATTTCAGCCAAAACAACAACCATCATCATCGACCACATCCTCTCGTCAATCGGAAAGAACCAAAACTGAAACACCACCGCCTCCCTTAAACAATGCTAACTCTAACTCACAAAAATTTCAATCCAATGATCAACATGCATCTTCACAACAGCCTCAGAAGCATTCAACACCTTCCACCTCTCGCTCTCAAGCAAGCAAGTCCTCGGCCAACCGTAGGTTATTGGAAAAACCACCTTCCAATGCTTCCTCTAATAGAAGCTCGCATCCAATGATACCTGGACCTCCATCTGAACAAAGCCATGACTCAGGAAATAGCAATAAGAAATCATCGTTTTTACCAAAGATTGATCGAAATGGCTCTTCGAAGGATGAAAAACGACCTCAGAACACAAACTCGCATGCCAGCGAAGAATTACCATCAGCCAGAACTATCACATCGTCGAAACAATCTCACTCTGTGCACAGCTCAAAACCCACATCTCCCATTGTTGTCAACAACACAACGCCTGGTGTCAAATTACCACGACTCGAATTACCTAAGAACAAATTTGAAACAAAATATGATACTGAGGTGGTTAAAGAAGAGAATGTCTCTGATACTCAACGAACCGATTCTTCATATGCACAGCTTTCGACAGAGAGGTCACTCAATAAGAGTAGCGTAACAAAAAAGAAAGTTCGGCTGAACGCAAATGAAAATTCTAACACACCCAAAACAGATCTCCTTCCCAAGCCCAAGAAAAAGATTCCAAAAATTGATGATTATTCCCTAAATCCAAAGAATGCGCAAGACTTGTCAACAGAAGACATGGAAATTTTGAAAAAGATGAAATCGAGAGTTGGCTTTTCTATTGATGATCATTTATTACCTGTGTATACAGACATTTTCCGAAAAGCTTCACTAATGCTTGCTCCACACCACGTCTCAAAATTTGAATTGAAACAGAACGAGCATTATATCGTTAAGCATCATCTTTTTCCTGAAAGTCTTGACTCTCTCAACAAGTTACTCGAGGCTCCCAAAACGCCACATCTTTCTTATTTAAGTCCAAAGAAAAAGGACTCATTTGAGACTGAATATGAAAAATTAGCTCGTTTCGTGAACTATCTAAAAGAATCATTTGTTAAGAAGGAGGAATTGCTTAAAACTCAACTGGTGAACGTGGAAGATAAAATATCAACTCTACTCAAGAATCATGACGAGGAGCGCTTGCATAGAGAACGTTTAATACAAGACCAATCTCAATCCATTGTGAAACTCTCAAACGAAAACATTGCGCTGATGCAGAAAATTGAACATCTTAATAAGCACATCCAAGACATTACGAAAGGAAATTGGAGATATGACGTCGATAAGAAAGAACTCGTGTATGTGAAATACGAAGACCTTGTGTCACAACAACAGCAACCACCACACTATTTATTTGATCACTCAAAACATGCCTTATCACGAAGCAGTAACATCAACTCCAGCAACACTCTTCGAAATGCACCTGCCTTACAACCCACTCAACCCACACAGACCTTTCATAACTTTCAACAACCATCCGCTCATTCACTCTATCCCTTCTCCACATCTCTAACAAGACAACCTTCACTCGTTTCCTCTCCAAGAAATTTAGCTCCTACTAACCATGGCATGAATTATTTGTAATAATATTATATAATAATTGAAAAAAAAGAAATTATTATTTGTGCACTGTCTCTTAGATATACTTCCTTTATGGATAAGAATTGGACAAGAAAAAACCAACAAAAAAATGCAACGTGATTTATTCGTCAAAAAGCTTTCATCATCATCGGAAGTGAATCAACATCAAGAAAATTCAAATATGGGACCTCCATCATCCGTGATGATGTCGAGAACTTCCTCAAGATCACCCCAAAGATCTCCCAATTCGAAATCTCCTTCCACTTCCGAGCAAGATCTTGAAGCCTTCAAACCGGTGTTGGATTACTCAGCATATTTTGAACAACACGACGTTCATTTGGAAGAGAGAGGAATATTTAGAGTGTATACAATCAATCATAACATAAATTCTTCAAAGAAGCAACATGCACGAACGATACTTCCGACATCGGAGCCATCCACAATCTCGAGCACATCAATGAACCATTCAATTCTAGGAAAGAAAAACAAATCGGATACTGTACTGGTTTTTATTCATGGAGCAGGTTTCACTTCATTGTCTTGGGCTCTTTGTATTAAACATTTGCAACAATTTGTTGTTAAAACTGGGGGAAATGTGCAAAATATTAATTTCCTAAGATCACCTCCTACTCCAATGGAAATGGGTAATAATAATAATAATAATTCTTTGACAGATGCACTCGATGATTATGAATATTGTGCAATTGATTTGAGAGGTCACGGAGCTAGTCGTGCAAGCTCAAATGATTTGGATTTAAGTATTGAGACTCTTGTCGATGATATTATCTCGGTCTTACAACGAGTGTACCAAGGAAAAAAGAGAGATTTTGTTTTGATTGGTCACAGCTTGGGTGGAGCAATTGCTGTCAGAGTTGCAGTCAAAATGGATCAGATGGAAGATGAACAGAAAAAAGCTGGACGCCCACTTGATTCCATTATGGCTGCTCGAGGAGTGATTGTTATTGACATGGTTGAGGGAAGTGCTCTCTCAAGTCTTCCCAACACAAAACGATTTCTGGAATCGAGGCCTAAAAAGTTTAAAAACATGGAATCAGCAATCAAGTGGTCTGTTCAAAATGGCATTGTCAACAATATTCAGAGTGCTGTGATTAGTATTCCTTCTCAACTTGAAGCAATTCGTGATGAAAATAATTCTGAATTACAGTATTACACATGGAGAACAGCATTGGAACAGAGTGAACCATATTGGGCGGACTGGTTTACAAACATGTCAAAATTATTCCTTTCAGTACGAGGAATGAAATTGCTCATGATCACCTCAACAGACATTTTGGATAAAGAATTAACCATTGCTCAAATGCAAGGCAAATTCCAAATGAAAGTTCTCAACAAGACTGGACATTGCATTCAGGAAGATGATCCCTCTCATACCGCTGAGGTCTTGTTCTCGTTTTTGAGTCGATTTAGGCTGTAGATGGATGTATTGAACGCCAACATTGTAGAAAATATACCCACTATTGTTTTCTTTATTAGAAGGAGAAATAACCATAGAATTCTATGTATCATTTTCATATTCACAAAGTCGTAGTTCTCATGCTCTGCTGCTGACCAGAGATATGATTCAACACAAAAAACAAACACAAAGCAACGGTTGCAAAGACTCACATCATCAACAGAATAACAAAGACTTCAACATGCCACTCTATGAAATTGCTTTTGGCTTTGGGACTTGTCGTGATTGTCTTTCTCATATTTTGTGCCTTATCCTTGACTCGAACGGTGATTTGTCAGATATTACTTTGGATGTTTTAGGAAAGGCTGGATTTGGTAAGTAGTTGTGTGTGTTTTCGAAGATATGGATTCAATCGGTGGTTGTGACAAATTAATGATATGAACAATCATCACAGGTTTGGACTTTTCCATTTTCGATCAAGTCAATATGGAAGGAAGAAATTTCAGAAAATCTCTCGAATTCGTGTTTATTTAACCCAGATATCATTGGTTAAAGAATCCTTGTTCAGAATCCTCGTCCATTCCTTTCAAAATGGACTGGTCTCGATCGAGCCACTCAACTTGTGAGTGACAAATTGAATGAAATCATTCGAGAATGAAAAGAAGTGAAATTCTCAATAAGGGAATGGCTGATTTGTCATCTGCCTCTGAATCCAATTCGGAAGAAACCCAAGCTTACCCGCTCGTTGGAAAAGCAACAATTCTTGAATATTAGGAAATGTTTCTGCGAAAAACTCTAATAACAATTTACAATCAAATATTGGCAAATTATTACTACGCGTGTCAGTTGAAGGATAATTCAAGTATTGAAACTTCTTTTCCAAAATAGGTAGTGAATGTTCTGGTGTAAGATGGATTGAAAATAAATGCTTTGAAAGGAGTTCCAATATCTGAAATGCCATTCAAAAGAAACACACAGGTGACCAAATCATACGAAATGTTTCCATTTTGAGAATTATTTTTGATTCTTTTAAGGAATCGATCAAACATGTACGAGGTGTAAGACATTTCATCATTCTCATGGGGTGTTGAGAACGAACTACGAGATTGATCATCCTCTCCTTGGACGGAATTTTGTTCAAAATTTGAAGAAATTCCTGATTGGTGAGAAGAGAATGCGAATTCAGTGAAATCCTCTTCACTAATGGAAGAGAGACATGAAAGGAAGAAGAATGGTTGTTTTTCACTTCATGGAAATAATTTGTATAGGCCAAAGTATTCGTACGACATTCAAATTGTAAAACATGTGGTTGTGTTATCCTCACTCGAAGATGACCTGTCATTATTCCATCAAGAAGATTTATCCTACTCTCCAACTCACCAAACCTGTTACAACCAAAAGAATACAATCTTCGTTTCGAACTTTTTAAAATGACGTGAAAATGTCCCACAATGACATCTTCCACACGTTCGTCATTTTCTTCCAATGAAATTTTCTGAAAATCTTGAACTTGTCTGTCTTCATGAAGACCCAACATTTCACCTCCTCCACACACCAAACAAGAACCCTCCTCCAACAAGATCAAAATGTTATACTTGGAAAAGATCACCTTTTTCACATGATGCATGAAAATGGGATTGTGATAATGAAAGATTTGATAACATGGTTCAGCAATGGGACGATCCTGATCGTATTCATAGACGACAATGGCTGAAGAAACTAAAAGAGTACCATCTTCTAATAAGAAAGCAGTATTGAGATCGCCACCAACGATCGTCTTGACACGAGGAATGCCTTTCGAAAATTTTGCAATTCTGCTCGAAATATTGGTGGGTTCCTTTAAAAATTCTTTTAAAGTAATCATCGAGTGCCATGTCATGGCAAAATAATTGATCGGTATCGTTTTTTCCACACGAATAGACCGAGTTGCGTTCTGAAATGAAAAACGATTGGTAAGGTCCAACGAAAATCTTACAAATACGAGTCAAATCGAAATATTTGGTGGAAATTTCCTCTGGTGAATGAATTTCTTTTTTGAGAAGATGTGCCAATTGTCCAAATGCATTGGAACCACACGAAAAGACACGTCCCTGTTGGGAGAGAAACAAGACATGCTTTTCACCACATTGGAAATTTACAATTTTGTCATCCTCTACATGTAAATCAGGAAATTTCACAGCAGTCGGAACTTGTCTCCCACTCCAAGGACACCACAAATGTTCTTTCCAAAAGAATAGACACATCCGAGGTGAGTCAAAAGGATGCAAAAATCATGAGAAATGTCAAATTGGATAATGAAATCATCGAGTTAAAAATTCAAACAAATCAATTTTGGAGAATGTGTTGTGAACATCGATAATGACGGACGACGTTTCATTCTTCACTTGTTCCTTCGGAGTAGAACTTTTGATCAACCGCCCTTGCCATGGAATGGATTTACTCCAAAAACCTTGACCAAACCCGAAGAAGTTCTGTCGTGGGTGTTGTTGTTGTTGTTGTTACGGATGATATTGCTTGAGGATTTTCGTGGTGACATGTCTCTTGAATCTTTCTTGAATCTCTTTCGGAGAGGTCCTCATCTTCTTGTGTGAAATGTTATTTGAACTCTTTTTTTTGTTGGTGATCGAGATCACCCTCTCCATACAAGGTGTGTGAAATGTCATTTGAACCTTTCAGTAGTAGAGAGTAGGATTAAATGAAACCCAAACGAAAGTTCTATAGAGACAGATACATTGACAATAAAACAACAACACTGAAGAACCTCTCAACCTGCTGCCAGTACTGGTCACAACTATTGAACCTTCTAAAGTTCCATTTTAATTTCTTTAAGGTGTCATGAACCTTCTAAAAATCTCTTAAACAGCTTTGAAAAAAGGACCACGTCTCTCCTCGTGTAAGAAAATCCAAAACATTTTTCACTTGTCGCATGGTTGGGCGTTTTGTCCAATCTTTCTGCAACAAATTCAATACCAAATCGATACACAACTTGGGATATGCTTTCAAGGAAAGTTGTTTGGAAATTTCTTGATGTGTTGCCCTTTCGTCATGCAACAGTGCATCAGAAATGTATTGTTCAACACCATCTATTGTAACTTTTGATTGGAATGTAAGTAATTGATAAAGCAAGACTCCAAATGAGAAACTATCCGTTGCTTTGAGACTCTCTCTAGAAAGGTGACTCTTGGTTTTGATTTCTGGTGCTACTGTTGGTAAACTACCAATATACATGGCTGATCTCTTCTTGTTAAAACTGTCTACGAGATTATTGTTCAAAGAGGATGATGATACAACTCGATCGCCTTCCGTAGTTACAGAATGTGTGGAATGCACCTGGTGGATATTCGTCATAAATCCATAGTCTGTGATTTTGGCAAATTTATGCCTTCCTCCACACGATTCAATCAAAATATTTTCGACCTTAATATCTCGATGTACCAAATCGAGCTGATGTAAATAATCAATACCTTCCGAAATTTGATAAGCAATTTCATAAACATCAATGATGGTCGTTGAGTCATGTTCCATATCCGAATGATAAAAGATAAGATCTGATAAATCTTGGTAATAGTAGGGCATGACAATGTGACAATAAGACGCTTCAGATTTTTCTTCATTCTCATCACAAAAAGCTTCCAAGTACGGAACCAAATGTTTGTGATTGAGTTTTCGAACTTGTTCAATATGAGCTTGAAAACTGCCTTTTTCATTTTCTGAAACCTTCATGTGCTTGATGACAACATGTTCTTGTGTTTTTTTGCACTTGTATTTGTGAATGAGGCCTTCAGATCCACTTCCCACTTGTTCAATAAATTCAAAGTTGTCCATAATGTACTTGTTCGTTTCTGAATAGTTTTGAAAAATATTAGTCGCAGAGTCATTGTGAGCTAGTGTTTTTGATGGAGACGAATTAGTCGCATTTATGATATTCAAATCGACGAGTGGCAAATTTGTGGTGGACATAATTGGTTCATCCTCGTCAACCTTAAAATCTCGCAATAATAAAAATAAAGAATTTCCACATGCAAAAACTTGTTGCAGAGTGGTTGATAATTTAAACTTTTCACGAACATTCGAAAAGATCATACTAGGAATGTGAGAATGTGTCGAATTGTGTAATAATTGCTTGTGTGAATTGCTTCCCCATGTAAAAATTGATCCGCTCTCTGTCAAAACTGCAGTATGAGCACTTCCTGTGGTAATGGTGACAATCTTCTCGTCGCCAAATAATTTGGGAGTGATAGGAGTTGGGATATGACTCTTAGATGTGGATGAGGGATTGAGTGCTACTTGCCCATTTTCGTTAATTCCAAATGTGAAAATTTGATGGTCATCGGTCAATACAATAGAGAAATACTTTCCAACGGAAACATCTTTGATTTTCCCCTTAATTCCATCCACTCGTGTGAGTGAAAGCACAATTTCATGACTTTGTGAGAGACCAGCTTGACCATAGTCCTGTGTTTTTTGTCGATCAGACATTCCAAAATTTTTTCATGAAATGGTTGTGATTGATACTTACATTTCCACCCAATGAATACAGCGCATTATCTGGTGTTCCAATAACTAATAAATGGTCAGCACCTAGTGCTATTTTCCTTGCTTTAAACTCTCTATTATTATACATGGCCTTATAAATTTCACATTGTTGTGTGGAGGGTTGTAAAAATTGTTCAAAATTAATGAAAGAGTAATATACATGGCCGAAAGTGGTTAGCCACACGGCTAAATTGCCATTAAATTGAAAATCTGCAATATTTCCCTTAAATAAGGTGGAAATTGTCTCATTAAAAATTGGAATTCTTGAAGAAGGCTCTTCATGATTGCTGGTCCATATTAAAAAATCATCTAGCAATTTATCAATAATAAATAATGGTCCAACTTCTCTTCCAAACTTGGATGCTGTGGGTGTGACAACATTTTTGACAGTGAGGGGTGAGACCATTTTAACTAAATATCGGCTACCACTCTTTTTTTGTTTTGTATCTGACGAGTTTTCATCCAAATGATCTAATTTGTCTAATTTTCGCTTAAATATTGCTTTAATACTCTTTTCTTCTCTATCACTCCACTCTTTCATTTGTTCATACATTTTCACATGCCACAAAGATTCGTCGTCATTTCTTTCGTCATGACGAATCGTTTTCGAGAGAGTGATAATTCTATTTTTCACTGTATGGATCGCGATCACCGTTTGAAATTTCGTTTCCTCATGATGAGGGTTGTTGTTTTCATTACTACTTGTGCTCGTATCATACACTTCTTTGTGTGAGAAAACTGAGGCGTCCTCTTCATGAAAGCACTCAATTCCAACAATTCCATCTCCGTGAGGTAATTGCAACCTTCGATTCAATTCACCAAAACTGGCCAACATGTTTTGATGTAGGACCGACGGTTGCTGAGTGGAAACCATTGCAATGGTGTGCACCACAGTATTTGAAACGAGAAGAAAAAGAGCAACAAGGAGCGTTATCCTGCACTTGAAAAATCGGAACGTATGAGGCTGTAACATGACGTTGGTTAGAATGGCTCTAAAGCATGTTTGTATACCCTACAACTAGTAGTTGGCCCCAGCTTGTATTTACTTACTGATGATGATGGTAAAAGGATGATAGAAAATCGGAATTAGAAATTCTCTAATGATGATTGTAAATAATAAACGTTTTTTAAAAACAATTTCCACGAATTGAATTGGAGCAAATTAATTTCAAACTGAACGAATTCGCGTCAATTTGGGAATGATTCCACCCCAACACTATGTACCAATAACGCAAAAACGTTTTAATTTCCAATTCCGAGAACAAAAACACAACAGCCAGTGAATGATGATGAAAGTGAAGGTGAATGATGATGAATGGTGTGTGCTGCAATGCAGTCAATCACTTTCTCTATTTTTTAAATCGATCAATTTTTAACAGAAATCAGGCGGGAACTATCACAACTTTATGGATTTTTTTTATTAATCCAAAAATGTATTTTTATTGGGACGACAGTTTTTTGAAGGTTGGCATTTGGATGACATATTCGAGCTAAATAGGTGGTGTGAAATGATGTTCACTTGCTTTTATTGGGCAATGGTCATCCACTCACTCACTCCTTACATCTTGCAAGAGATTTAGATTCTCTCTAAGGAGAGACAATGACAAGTGTTGGATCTAAAAAGGAATAGCATAGAACGTTCTCTCTCTCTTGACTTGAGAATTTCTCAACATTTAAGTGATGTGGCCACATTCATGTCTTTTCTGTTCTCCTCATCATACTTGTCTTTTCAATATTATTAAACACGACAAAGTTTCGCAGCACTCTTTTCATCCAAAAATTGACAAGATAAGGATAAAAACCATGTCGAAAATAATGAAAGAGTGAAAGGACATAACAAATAGTGCCATAACAATAATTCACACACTTCTTCTTGTCCATAGTCCTTATTAAGACTTGAAAGACCTGCCAAA